TGAACAGGTATATATGTATGCACGTGATCCCAGCCTTATTATTATCTCAGCAACCGAGATATTTCAACACGGTCAACAACAGAACAAACGGCCAACAAATATTCAGCGATAGATAGTGAAGAATAAATTGTTCAGAACAAACGGTCAAGGGTGAATAGTCAAGAACAGTGTAAGGAGTGATAAGCAGCAGACTATGCAACCTCTAGTGGATCCTTTTCTTCCGCCGCCTTTCTGAATATACGCCTATACGTACTGAATATACTTGAGGGATACGAGTCTTCAGAAAAATGACATATAGACAAAGCTCGCCCCCATATTTTGAGTAAAAGAAGGAGAACGCTCCGATATCCTTAAATCAGAAAGTCCTCAAGATTCAAATCTCCTGAACGTTCACGCAAATAGGAAAGCCTCTACAAAGTGTAGGGAGAAAACAATAAGACTATAAGATAGAATCAGAAAATTAAACAAAGTGCACGGTCTAACTCCACCCTAGTAAGATTGCTATATGGACTAATATCGACCTCGTCAACCATGCTACAACAGAGGACCAAATTGCAGCAATTAGTACATACACTATGGCCACGCAGTCGCGCTGATTATCCTTTGCATTTCACAAGTGGAGGAGGAAACGCTAGGAAGTCTTTCGTTTATTCCGTAGGTCTTGTGAGCAATCCTTGAGCTAGCCAAATCTTCTGGTAAACAACCAAAATGATAATAGAAAACAACTATGGTTGACTCTAGATACATATTGGTGGTATTGTGGTACTCTTCTATTCCCTATTTTCCGCTGTAAAAATCAACCCCTACCAGATATCATCGGTATATGAAGAGGAGGAGTAATTTATAGAATGTTCTATCATTTGATTAACGTGATTTAGACTAGGTTTCGAGAAATATTCTATGTGAGCAAAGTGGCGAAACTAATTTCGATCTATTCTGTATGCAGGTCAGTATTGAGGGAGACGGCATCTTAGTTCGTCCCTAGGTTCCAACAACCAGGTGTTACGATATATGATATGCCAATGAAAATTCATTACTTACGTGGTATACGCTTGACAAGGAGACTGTGGCTATACACGTTGTATTGTATTGTAAGGGTTATGTAAGGGTAAGTATCAGATAAAAACAGGGTTTTGCAGGACATTCCGTAATCAATCTATATTCAATAAGACGTTTAGGTCGCATTCTTATGTGCGCCGTTATCATAGAAGAAAGTTCGCATGATTACTTGTAAGTGTAAGAAAACCTAGCTAATGAAGTCTGATTTAGGAGCCAATAAGTGAAATAAAAGCGGCATATTTTGGGGCTACTATTGTCTTAAAGGAGGGGAAGAAGAATAGGGTGCAAATTAGCACTTAATAGAGTGGCGTGTAACAGTGTCAGTTATCTCCGTAGAGCTACTCTTCATACGCATTTATAACGGTGAACCTCTTTTCTTGTTTAGCGGACAAACAGAGCCTAGGCAATGGCTGACGAATAAGCTATACTTACTTTATAAATAACATTCTTTAATACGGTTCGCCAATAGCTTCATCAATAGTAGGAAAGTGCCAAATCTAGGAGTGTGACTCTATTCTATTCGTACTGTAACTAGCACTATATTCAAGCCCTACCCAAAGAATATAGTAATCCCCGCGCAAAGAAATCAGCGCACGGTAGGCTTCACGGTCTGCGACTAGAGGAATAATCTACAAGCTAGCCTTGATACGTTGCGCCTCGGTAAAATAACGTATCGAGTGAACCTTCTCTGCATGGCTTTTGAACGCTCGATGCCCACGAAAAGCAAGTCCGCATAGTTTATTAGGGCAAGAGATAAACTAGTCTCTTTCGAAATTACGGAGGTGCTTCTCGAAATACTCTCTTGCCTTCCGTGCTAATACAAAATAACATTGATAGTTTGGCTCAAACACGCAGAAGAGATAGTGCCGAGTTGTCAGAGAAATTGGACGGTCCCGTGGTTCTGGTGATAGAGAAAACCGTTGTTCTGATCGAGTGGGCTCGTCTAGCGAGGTCTCCTAGCTTTCGGTGGTGATTGTATACTACGCCGACTTTTTGGAAACCAAGTTTTCGGATGGCACCCTTTCGACACGGCCAAGATCAATAAGGGCATTTATTAAAACAACCCTTCGCGTGACGTTATCCTCTTTAGAGAGCTCCTAACATAGGACTTATATTAAGTCTGCCACTCGGCGACGTTCTTTGAGGCGATAGGTAATTCTTTAGGGCTCGTAAGTATCCTGTTTTATGTCTAATAGCGATAGATCAAGTTGCTTGTTGATTTCCAGAGTATTGATAGTGTCAAAGAACTTTTTGCGGGCACTAGTGAATGTTGCTTCCTTCAAATTCTTTTTTGCTGTCCTTAACGCAGCTTCCGCCTTCGCTTTAAGCTCTCTAATTTTAGTACCGCTTGCATTTTTCATGGATCCGTAAAGTTCTTTGGCCTCTCGAGCAAGGGTATCACGTATCTATTGTAGTTGGAGGATCTCCGGGTGGTTTGAAAGCTTAGTTCTCTTGCTCTCGGGTAGATCATCGTATTTGGACGGAGCTCGAGGGTCAATATAGCGACTTTAGTGACTAAGGATATTTATTAATGCGTCTTCCGAGGGAATTCCAAGGAATAAAGCCTAAATATGGGTCTAGACCCGTTCGTTTATATATTTCTAAAATATGCTAGTATAAACATGGCCTATTACTTGCTATAGCAAAGGGAGGGATGCGGTTTCTGAACAAATTTTGTATGTTAGTCCCGGAAAAATCACTATAACCAATAGTATCAAACTCACTATTAACTACCTCACTAGTACCGCGCCGAAGGTCGTAGGGTTTCATTGCCCTAATCATCCCGACAGCCAAGCTTAGCCGCTACAAATAATAGAGATACGTGTGATACCTAAGTGGCTTTATAGGGTGAGTAGCCATTCCAGAATAATATAAGTCTGGCTAGCGGCAAATTGGCACATTGAGTTTGTCTTTCTTGAATTTCAGTCTGACGGAACGACGTGGTAGGGAGACACGAGCCATAAATATATCTTCGATAGAACGTATATTTGCCGAAAATGCGTCGTCAAGTATTGCTATTGTAAGCATAAGGACAATAACGTCGAAGATAGGTTGTTTGACTTTAGATATTAGGAAGATTTTCCTTTTAGAAGAATTAGATTGGCGTAACATAGATCCTTGCAATCACTAACCTCTTTAGTTTGGTATAATAACCCTTAGTATGCTTCAAATCAATTTCTATCACAAGATAGTCCCGGAGTCCTCTAGGATTTGGGAGAAGAATCAAACTAATCTAACCGTAGCATAGTGTTTTTAGGTCATCCTCTCTAAGGTCCCAATCTTTATTATCTTCCTTATTTTTATCTGCACTACCGAAGAAATACTAGATATTAGTCCGCTCGTTTTGGTCAACATAAACTAGCGCACCTAGTCGACTGGCGGTATATACTAACACTAAAAGGAGGAAAGCGAGTTGAATTATTTGACGACTATCGGGATAGGGAGTTATGTCTCTTGTCCAATGGTGGTAGAGAACGATATACAAATTATTAACGTTTATCACGGGCTTCTCCCTAATAGATAAGTCGAGGTTGTAACGTACGACTAGATACTCTTTTATATACTATTATATTTTAGTTAGAAATATCAGAAAGCGAACGAGTGAAAAGGCAAAATCATACTTATATCATTGATATCCTGACAACTCTTCGCATGAAGACTTCGCCCTATAGTTTTGCGGTAGAGCTAGCACTATTGCCTCTAGTTCTTATATAAACTACTAAACTTCTTGATCTTGGAGTTATCAAGAATCCACTCCAGAAAAACTATAACGTCTCCCTTCTATGCTTCAACAAGAAATTGGAGTGGATCTTCCCCTAGATATTCACAGTGCCTGTTTAGGTTAGTCTTATATCAGGACAAAGAGTTAGGCACGTTATTACCTAATCTATCGTCCTTTAATTTTACCAATGTTGTTCTTGGTTGAAGTAGCATGTCGTTTTTGGATAATGCCTTTCTTAAGCTATTGACGACGTCGCCGGTAATACTTAGGACTATAAGCCTGCTTCTTTCTATTCGCAGTGGTATCAAGAACAGACATGGCATGAATTGGAGTAGGAACTAGGTAGTAAGAAAACGAGAATAATAGTAGAAAAGAAGGAAAGAGAAAGAAAAGAGAAAGAAAACTGTAATAACTAAGAAATAGAAGAGACCTAGGAATTGGAAATTGACGATGTACTTGCAAATCTTGGACGAAGTGCCCTAAGCAAGCCCATAGGTTGACGGGGGGCAGAGTCTCTTTAAATATTAGAACGGAGTGCTTGGAGTGTGGGAAGCGTTCAGCATTTAACAAAAGGACCTTTCTATTTTTGCAAATAGCGGCTACAATCGGTCAACCTAGTGGGCAAAACATTATGACGTCCCTGATTGTCTACCATGAGTACCCTGAGTGAAGGGTGAGCTAATCACTGAGCAACCATGAGTGCTCAGGGAGCGCTCTCTGAGCACTCAGTGAACAAATAGTAAGAGTGGGCAGAAATGAGTCACGTGATTGATTAATGACTAAGAACCTGGTAAATAGAACGCTTAAAATGGCGTCAAAACTAGCTGTTTTCGGCGTCCAATTTACCGTCACCTAGCGTTGTGGTGTAGCCCAGTGGCTCAGTTACTATTGAAAGTTAACGTAGAGACACTTAAACTACGCGTGGAAAGACTACAATGCATCGAAGATAAAGATATGGGGTAAAAATGTTTCAATTCCATTGAAGTTGGTCTGGTGTAAGCACTTCCATAATATGACCCCTTCGCATTTGTCCACGTGTCTGTCGTTAACTACCTTCGCAATCCAGGCGAAATTCTCCTTTTTCTTTTTTTTTCCCACTACCTTTTTGATTGGACGATATTTCCGTTTCCTCATTTCGCTCATTTCGTCTCATAACTTTCATTCTGCGTATCGTAAATCGTGAATCATGACCCGGGCGTGATGGTCAAGCGATCAGGCTTTAGACGCGGGATGTAGTTCGTAAGGTCGGTCGGACCGGCTCGCAACGCTCCTTGGAGATGAGAACTTCGAACATGTCAAATCCAGCTTCCAGCTGCTCCATGATCGCCTGATCTGGAACATCGCGCTTCAGGAAACTTAAGCCGTAAAAGCTCATGCGGGCAACAGTGTTGACACGAGCAACAAAACCAGCTTTGTTGTGGTTAGGAAGACGAGTGGATGTCATCAATCGCACGTGTCTCTCAGCACAAGGGCAGTGACGAGCGGTATTGGCAGTACATTCATCGCAACAGCGACAGGTGGATAGGCAGATGCATTTGTGCTCCTTGGTCAACCAGTAAGATTCGAAAGAGGAGCGGCGGCGGCGTTGTTCTCCGATACAAATGTGGTTCAATTTTGCCAAAGATGCATCACGGTCGTCCTTGAGTTTTTCATCGGTCCAGCTGATCGGTCCCAGCTGGTTTCGTTCAACGAAAGGCAGCTCATCGTAGGGGATATCGTCAGGGAGCACAATGACTTGGTCCACAGTTCGATACTTGTCGGACAGTAGCACGATAACGCCTGGAGCAATGGTATCAAAGCATGGGATAAGGGAGCTCCACTTCTGATAATATTTCCCTTCTTTGTTCAACAGAATGCTCAACACGTAACGTCGATAGCCAAACCGATCAAAGAGGGCCTCTCCTTTCTTGTTGACGATTTCAGTCGCAGATTTAATGTACCGTCTCTGGTATTTCTCGATAATCTCTTTCTGGAGCATTGCGCAGATTTCCCGGGAGTCCATCACGATCTTGAACGCAAATACGATGCGGTAAAGATGTTCAGCCGATGGCAGAAGGAAAGCTAGGCTATGGGCTCGTCTCTGTGCGTTTTCGTCTTCGGCGAGAGAGCAAAGCTCGATGTTGGCAAGTTCGATAACGACTCGAGCATAGAGAACATAATAGAGGCTTTCAACAATGTCAATCAACACAGCAATATCGTTACATTTCATGTTCTCCTCGCTGCGTATGATCCAGAACATCAACCCATATGGTGAATCGTCTACCTAAATGGGTAGAAAACCCCGTTATTCCTTAGGACTAAGTGAAAGGAAGGGATGGGTTTGATTAAATACCTCAACACCGTATCCCAGGAGTATTGTCTGCATGAGCTTTGCCATGGCGTAAAGCTTGATGAAAATGCGCATCACAACACCTAGGTGAATCATTCATCAATCCTGTCCAGTCCGTGAGCCACAATCTTTGTAGGAGATAGAGGCGAAGTGGTCGATTGAATCATGATCCATTCATCGCTGCTAACAGTGTGAGTACGAGCGCCGGAACCCTGAAGCGAAGGCTAGAAGAGAGAGTTGATTAGTGTCAAGTTGGAGAGCATGAGACATATTCAGTCCTTTCGTTCTCGTGACTTACTGCGAAATTGTCAGCAGTTTGGTCAAGAGATGGACCATGCAATGGCAGTGCTCTGTTGGCTGGAATAAAAGCAGAGAAATTTAGAGCTTTGATGAAGTCCGGGTCGAAGTCCTCACATGGGTCTTTCTTCAAGCCAATAGCAGCGTAGTTACTTGGGCCAACTGGAGGCTTCTTTGAATCGTTGTCCTGCATATCCGAGTCGCTCAGCTGTTTCTCCAGATCATCAGACTCCTTAAAAGAATACGTGCTTGAGCCGGAAAAGCGGCTGATCTCCTTCCGTGAGGGTTGTGACTTCAAGGTCTCTGACTTGATATCCGGGTTGGATGGGCTTCTTGGAAGGGAGTGATCGGCTGTCTGCTGCTGCAAGGCAACTGACTTCTTCTCGAAATATCCACTCTGTTGCTGCTTCAGGACCTTTGACTCCTTAGTGCAGGTGGAGCTGATGGTTCGAATGGAGATGTCACTTGTCTTGAACGGCAGGGCATTGGTATCATTCTTGAAGTAACCACTGATCTGTTTCTTCATGACCTTGGGCTCCATTCCCGCGTAGGGATCGTCGCTTTGTTGATCTGAGCGGTATTTTCCGCTGTATCGCTGAGGAAGAGTGGGCCTGGGAGTGTCATCATCGCCTTGCGATGGAGGGGGCAGCAATTCGGCCTGCTCGTCCATGAACATACCGCTGGGACGCTTCTTTGGGCGGTCGAAAATCTTGGCTGGGTACGTGATAGGTAGGTCTTCGTTCAGTGGCTTGGTGCCATTGGCAACACACTGCTCCAGGAGGTCGGCTTCGTGTCCGATCGAGTCAGCATATTTGAAGAAACCATCCTTGATATCTTGAAGGCGCAGCTTAGATTCAACGATGTTTTCAGGTGTGACTTGAGCAACGACGTCGTCCATCATTGTCATGCTGGCTTGGAGGTGAGCGTTTAGGCACTGCTTGGACAGTATCTTGTGAGTGGCAACGCGATCGTCGTCATCTGACAAGAAGGCAGCAACACGAGCCTGGGCAAGGTTTGTAGCCATTTCAACGGGGTCCATACTGGCAGCAGAAATGGACTCAAAGCTTTTGGGGGTCAAGGGAGTCATGGGCATCCGGGACCCCGAAAGGGAACTCGAGCTGGTGGGTGTGCGATGGTTGTCGGGGTGTGAAGCAGTGGGGGATCTGTGATGGGGGTCCACATGCAAATTGCGAGAGTGGTGGTTCTTGACACAGAGTTGAGATGCATGTACGCTAAAGACATCGCCCTGAGGAATGGGGTCAGATACCTTGCGCTTTGCCTTCAAGCCCAGCTTGGCTAGGGCCGTCTCCCACTTTCCGTCAGGAGCCATCATGTAGACAAAATGTAGAACAGAGAGAAAAAAGAAGAATGGCAAACATCACTACTTTTACTCTCAGGTATATGTCCCAAACGGGGAAAGCGGGTCCAACTAAGCGGCGAATGGCGCGCAATCAGCCCCTTCCACTTACTTTACAAGAAAGGCCATGTACGTGACTGTTGACCACTTAAGCAATAGGCAGAGGGCAGTTGAAGGACTGCACAGAACATGCATGTATGATAATCTACACACGATATCAGTTGAGGCTATACTGTTGTTCTGTTTCATAATTCCTGCTATGCAGATTCGAGCAATTGCGGGTACTGAGTAGCTTGGACGGAGTAAAAGCTGGCCAAACGGGCAGGTCATACTTTTATGGCCTTTGTGCTTATTTTGTGTTCGAGATTTATGCGTCACCTGCATCTGCATGTCCTGTATGGAATCCATATGTATTTGCGTTGGAGAAGGTCAAGGACAAGGCGAGGCTCTACTTGCGCAACAGGAACGAGGAACATGGGAATCTACAGAATACAACATTTTGAGTTAAGAAAGCAGGCTAGTTTGGAACAATCAGATTGGCTTATACAAAAAGGTACTTCTCAGGCGAATATCAACATCCCAGGTCTAAGCCTGCACTCGGAAGGTACGACCACTAGCCGTCTTCCGCTCACGGTCCTCGTTCTCGGGTCTGGCTCGGTTAAGAACTGATTTACGTTAGCAGCTATCCATTGTATGTGCGAGCTGTGAGGTTTACCTTGCAGGAAGTCTGCTGTGCGCTTCCTCATACGGGTGTGGATGTAGGCCTAATGTTGGTGATTAGTCAGCCGCTGGTTATCAGTGGGCACGTGGGTCCTTACCTTCGAGGCCTTGATGTGGTAGTGGAAGTAGTCACGGAAGGTCTGGATGTGAGAGATGTTCTCATAGCGACGCTGGGGGGTCAAGTGACGAGGGAACAAGACTGCAGGCTATGTTAGTAGGGACTGGGGGTATATCATGGCGGGCACCTCACCAAAGGTAACATAGCTGACTTCGCCTTCGCCAGCGCCCTTAATACCAGGAACACCTGCAAGCTCCAGAGGTGGGTCATTGCGGAAGAGAACCTGGGGGGCGTTCTGTAGTGTCAAGACACGTCGCCGGGCATCAACGAATTCCTGGAAGCTGTTAGTACATGCCCTTATGGATTGACGGGAAATTGGACAATTGACGCACCTGAAGGAACACCTTTCCGAAAATTCGGTCTGTCTCTTCCCGGAACACAGTGCTGAAGATTACAGTAACACGGTCGAAGTTGGCCTTGATGTAGATAGCCTCTTCCTCACGGTAATGAATCGCCATGACCTCACCACCCTCCTGAATACCTGCTGGTGCTGACTCTGATGTGTATTGAGAAGCCTCCTCGGCAAGCTTGTTGAATTCGTCGAAGGCTCTCTCGAACGGAGCAGCCATTGCGTTCCGCTTCAGGAGAGCAAGCTTCATAATCAGGTCACTCCTGGCTTCCTCCTCCGCGGGGAGGTTCTCAAGGTCGATTTGTACTGAAAAATCATAGCCCGGTTCGGGGGAAACGATGTAGGGTCCATATTCCCTCTCCAGAACCTCCTGGGCTCCGTATTGAACCAGCTCCTTGAAGCATTTCACGTGGATCGAGATGAGGATCTTTGTCTTGGACTCGGGTGTGCTGAGATGGAATGTCACTCCATCGAAGTCGGAGGCCACTTGGTCAATGGAAACGGGGGGAGCGCTGCGGTAAGCTTGTTAGTTGGGAGCCTGCGTGCGATGTGTATACAATGCGCGAAGAGGTGCGGGGTGAGGGCAATTCGTACTCAGAGAACCGCTCCGTCAGGAGGGACTGGATCAAAACGTTTTGATAATCTAAGAGAAGCATGACGGGCAGGACAATGGCTTGGAGTGTAGTATTAGAGTGGCTGTTGTCGAGGTGCCGTGATCGTCATGGGCGGTGGGGGAGCCGGAGCGGTCGCTGTCGCCGCCCGTATTAATTTTATCCTATCGATAGCAGTCGGAGATCCCAAAAATTTTCCCATCCACCCCCAACGATGGTGAAATCATACTTGTACGTGCGGTTTTCAGAAATTCGAATTGCTTGATCTATGAGCTAACATTTCTCTAGCAAATTCGAGCATTCGAATACGTTCGGGCTCGTCGCTTCGGCATCCTCGAATGCGATCTGGGCCAAAGAGGAACAGACCGGTGCTGCACGCCAGACAGGCACCGGGCGGGCCATTGTCGGCGCCAGTGAGGAAGTTCTCTGTTGGGATGTGAAGAAGGGAGAACTTTTGGGAAGATGGCGCGATTCTGCTTGCAGAGCGCAGGTTAGTGTGGTCACGCAGAGCAAGACCGATGAGGATATCTTCGCAGTCGGGTAAGTCTCCCCAATTGGCCTGGCCCGGATCGCACACTCTAACACTGTTGTTCTTTCAGCTACGACGACGGAAGCATTCGTCTCTGGGATTCGCGAACCTCTACCGTTCTCATTTCTTTCAACGGTCACAAATCCGCCATTACACAGCTGGTCTTCGACAATGCAGGTGTGCGCCTCGCCAGTGGTTCTAAGGATACGGACATCATAGTTTGGGATCTGATCACTGAGACCGGTCTTTTCAAGCTCCGTGGACATACGGATCAGATCACCTCGCTGCACTTCTTGTTCCCTTCGGCGGAACTGCTCACTGCTTCCGGCATGGGTGACCATGCGGGTTTCTTGTTGACCACCGGCAAGGATGCGTTGATCAAGGTGTGGGATTTGGCCTCGCAGCACTGCATCGAGACACATGTGGCACAATCGAACGGCGAGTGCTGGAGCTTGGGCCTTTCGCCTGATCAGGGCGGTTGTATCACAGCCGGCAATGACGGTGAATTGAAAGTCTGGTCGATCGATGAGGCGGCTATGGTGGAGATCTCCAAGGAAAAGGTTGGCGTGGACGGTCGCAGAATCCTCTCTGACCGAGGAACCTTCTACCGAAACGGCAAGGACCGCACCATCGGCATTCGCTTCCACCCCCGCTCAGACTACATTGGAATTCACGGCTCCGAGAAGTCGGTTGAAGTCTGGCGAATCCGTTCCCAGTCAGAGGTGCAAAAGAGCATGGCACGGAAGAAGAAGAGAAGAAAGGAGAAGGACACACAAAAGGCCGAGGAGAATGGCGCAGAGCAGGAGGCTGACAAGGCTGATGATGTTGCCAATGCTCCTGTGTCCGAGGTCTTTGTTCCCCACGTTATTGTGCGGACTGGTGGAAAGGTTCGCTCTTTCGACTGGATGCTCAACAAATCGAACGGTTTGAACCTTCTGGCCGCTACGACGAATAACCAGCTTGAGGCATACAATGTTGTGCCGGCAAACAAGAAGAACACCGACAGCGAAGACACCGACTACTCTCGGAGTCTGGCCGTTGATATTCCCGGTCACAGAACCGATATTCGCTCAATCGCATTGAGCTCCGACGACCGCATGCTTGCTTCTGCCTCAAACGGCAGCCTCAAGATTTGGAACGTCCAAACAGAGAGCTGTCTACGAACTCTTGAGTGTGGATACTCCCTGTGCTCTGCTTTCCTTCCTGGTGACAAGATCGTGGTTGTCGGCAACAAGAACGGAGAACTTGAGGTATTCGATATCGCATCCTCGACATTGCTGGATACTATTAAGGCACACGAGGGACCTGTTTGGTCACTTCATGTACACCCCGATGGAAAGTCGATGGTCAGTGGAAGTGCGGACAAGACTGCCAAGTTCTGGGAATTCAAGGTGGTTCAGGAGGAAATTCCTGGAACCAAGCGCACCACCCCCCGTCTGAAGTTGTCACACACAAGAACCTTGAAGGTGAATGATGATATCCTCAATCTTCGCTTCTCTCCCGATGCTCGTCTTTTGGCAGTTTCTCTGCTGGACAACACCGTGAAGGTCTTCTTCGTCGACTCGTTGAAGCTCTTCCTCAATCTCTATGGACATAAACTTCCTGTTCTGAGCATGGACATTTCTTACGATACCAAGCTAATTGTGACCTGCTCTGCTGATAAGACAGTCCGACTCTGGGGTCTGGACTTTGGTGATTGCCACAAGGCCTTCTTGGCTCACGAAGACAGCATCATGTCAGTCGCCTTTGTTCCCCACAACAAGGACGGGAACGGTCACAACTTCTTCAGTGCTAGCAAGGATCGACAGATCAAGTACTGGGACGGTGACAAGTTCGAGCAGATTCAGCGTCTTGTTGGTCACCACGGCGAGATCTGGGCTCTCGCTATGAGTCGCTCTGGTGAATTCATCGTCAGTGCCAGCCACGATAAGAGTCTTCGCATCTGGCAACAAACAGATGAGCCACTCTTCCTGGAGGAAGAACGCGAGAAGGAAATGGAAGAGCAATACGACAGCACACTCACCGCATCTCTCGAGCAAGACGAGGACGGTGAAGATGGTGAGAAGCCCGAGGCCGTCGACGCTGGAAAGCAAACAACCGGTACCCTCATGGCCGGAGAAAAGATCATGGAAGCTCTGGAGCTCGGTATCGAAGATCTCGAAGTAGTGCGCGAATGGCGCCTAGTCAAGGCCGCCAACCCCAACGCCGCCGCCCCAGACCGCAACCCAGTCTACCTAGCCTTGAACAACGTCTCCGCCGAACAGCACGTCCTAAACACAGTGCAAAAGATCCCCGCCGCCGCACTCCAAGATGCCCTCCTGGTCCTCCCCTTCTCCGCCCTCTCCAACCTCTTCACCTTCCTCAACATCTTCGCCGACCGCGAATGGAACGTCCCCCTCACCTGCCGCGTACTTTTCTTCATCCTGAAGACCCACCATCGCCAGATCGTAGCAAGCAAGATGATGCGTCCAATGCTGGACAGCATCCGAGTGTCGCTGCGTCGGGTCCTCGCCCGCCAAAAGGACGAGATGGGCTTCAACCTATCCGCGCTTCAATTCATCGGAAACCAGATCCGCGATCAAGGCACATCGGACTACATTGATGAAGAGACTTGGGAGGAGCAGCAAACGAGAAAGGGAACCGGCAAGAAGCGCCAGTTTGTTAGCGTTGCCTAGGTCTAGGTTGGGATATAATTGGTTGTGTAAAGCATGTCAATTGGCGTTGTTTATTCATTTTCGACCTTACCTTGGAGGGTCTCTACTATCTGGTTGCCATACAAAAGTTTTATATCCTTGGGAGTTCAAGAGAATATCAAGGGATGTATCATGGATCGATTTCAGAGTAACATAGATTTGATTCGAATGTATTTGTCTAGGGAATCTGAGAGCGTGTCTTACCATGTCGAGAGAAGATACATGTACAGTCTTCCCACCTGATTAATATCGATAGACGGTGGTCGCTTCAACCTTTCAACCGACTTTCTTCCGTACATAGCTATATATCTTACAACACGCATCAAAGCGTTACGAAGGGCAATCTGAGAGTTAATTGACCCGCGACAGTAGGTATTACATTGGTGTTTACAACAATAACTTTATCGTGGTAGGAGATTTCCATTATTCTAGCTATTTTAAAGCAGATATATCCAATCGGTCGAGGTGAAACGAGAAATCTGTTGCGAAACATTAGCAAATGCTTCACGGCAAGGATAACTATTGCTCTCTTCTGACGACGACAATCGAGATCAAAGAAAAGCAAGCATCAAAAACTCTTTCAGAAGAACCATTCTAAGCATCGACAACGGGGGATTCCCGTTATACCTCTTCCGGCTCTTCCTAAAAAAATCCGGTTCTTGAGAAAATATCTCATCATATAAGAGTCTTCGTGGTGCGATGCTTGTTTTCCTTTTCTTTGCCTCCAATGCGGCGCTGTCAGGAGTGTTGACTGATACATACCTGTCACTTATTTATTCCAGTGTGGAGGACTGATCATCTGCATTGTTGGTCTATTGTCCACACTGTAATTGGGTGTTGGAGAAAGAAAGGAGTGGCTCGGGGATTCAAGGAAAATTGTGAAAGAAATTTGGGTGGAGCTATTTATGCTTTGTCATGGTCACGTGCTGGGTTCTATAGAGATTAGAAAGGAGATAGATGAAGCTTCGGATTTCATATTGAGACATAAATTATTTTCATTTAACATGGTACATGGTTTTTCCATAAGGGCATAGTTGTGTGCAAGGTAGAATAGAACCGTTTGAGCCCTATTTAGGAGGAGGGCTTCATGGTTCCGCAGCAGGAGCATGTCCACCACAGCGTTTCCATGAAGCTGCCGCACGAGGTGCAAACCCACCCAAGGGGTTTTTTGTTGACACCTTGGTCTAGGTCTTTTAAAGAATCTTTCGCACGGGTGCGGTTCTTGAAGGCAAATGTATCTTTGGGGTTCTTCTTGTCATCGTCCGCTTGATCAGGAGGTAAAGATCGTTTCGTTGAGGCTCGTGAGACTGATCGCGAGGTTTGATTAGGAGCACTGGCTAGTGTAGACGTGCACCCTGGGTTAGACGCATATTCTGGTTGAGTATTGGTCGGAAGCGGCCGTTCTGCTGCACAAACATCACAGCATAGAAACCGGGAAGGATTCTCCAGAGTGCACATGGGGCAGGTCCAAGGTTTGTCATATGAGCTGTTATCGGCTTTTTGGTTTACATGCTGACTCTCATTAGAGGTTGAGGCTTCTTTTGGTGGCACAGATGGGGTATCAGAGGTAATAGGCGGCGTATTGGATCCAGTAGGTGGTGAAGATACGGTTCGAGGTCCAGCTGGATGCTCTTGACTGGGTGGAAGATATGAAGATCCATGCTTTTCTCGTTCTTCTTCCTGTATCAGTTCAATGAAAGCCTCCATAATAGCCCGCTCGTTTGCGTCGTCCTCTTCGGCCTGAGTCCTGAACCCATTCCTAGATGCCTCTTCGGCAAGCTCGGTGCCTCTGTCTGTGCCAGAAGCGCAGCCCGCGGTGACTTCAGAGCGCCTCTGGGCAGCATCGGCACGAAGTTTGCGTAAATCTGTTCCCCGGAGAACAGGGGCACCGCCGAGCTTTTTCCCAGAATTTTTGCCGAGTACTCGTCGCTGTTCGGCAGCAGCACGAGCCTGGCGTCGAGCTTCATCCAATGGAATTCTTGTGCCACCAAGGCGCTTTCCTTGCGATAGGAAGCCCTCTCCGGTGTAGCCTTTTCTGATGAGTTCCTCATGCTCGTCGCGGAGTTGATTCCACAACGCATGAAATTGCTGGTTGTGAGGGCCAATCACATTGTGACAAAGTCTGTACTTGATTAATCTGTGTACTTGGTCATATCGTAACATAATATCACTCACTCATGAAGCATCGTATCCACAACTTCTTCGATGGGTAGAAATTGTTTCTGGTCAGAGGGATACCGTAGTCTCAGGCAGATTTTCTGACCGTGGTTGACATTCAATCCCAGCAGATTTCGCTGCTGTGGAAAGAATTCACATAGCGCACCCACTCTCCAGGCGCGCTGTCGCATGATCGGTTTGACTAAGGACGCGACCTTGCGCAGGATGAAGAGTGCCTCCGATTCGCGGGGGCGTTTCTTTTCATGGCGGTACTCAGATATTAACGTGTCAAACTCTCTCATTTTGCAGGGCTTGATCTTAGATAGTCTTGCGATCTAACGAAGGGTATTGTCGCCAGCATGTGACCGAGGCCAGATGTCGCTGCCTCCCTTAGGATAGCATACTCCAGGGTCCTAACCGAGTGAATTTCGCATCAAAACTTGAAGTGGCAGTGGGATAGATGACCACCAGGTCTGTCAGCACAAGAAGTGACAGGATGGTTCGATGCTCATCGTGCTTCGCATTGATAATCAAAGCAAGGCAACCCTCGCCGCCTGATATATCAGGTTGTATTTTTATGTTGGAACTTGCTGTCTTCCGTAACTTGCTCAGCCAATGAGGGCATTGAAATCTCTGTCATTTATTACTTGCTATTTCTTGCTATTTATGCTATGCTCATCCTTAGTAATCCGCTCATTCGGAGTTACTATAATTCCGGTTCTCAATCCGTATTCATGAATGCAGCACTGACACACCCCCTCAGCAAGCGCAGTGTCGCTGGCTTGCTGCCACTGGGAATAGCTTCATGAATCAGCAAGCTCTCCAATTGGCCCGTCAACCTCTCCCTGGCGTCTTTCCAGCATCCACCAAGTGGCTGATGTCCACCAAGTGAAGCATTTTCACAAAACGCTCGTGCTGCTGTCTTGGCAGCAATTTTGTGAGGCCGTCGGCTACCATTCTGGCAGTAGGCACCCATCGGATCGAAATCCGGCCTTTCTGCACTTCCTGTCTCAGCCATAGGTGGTGAATGTCTACATGACGAAGCTTGGTGTCGAAGCTAGCATCCTGAGACGTGAGCAAGTTGATCGCTCTCTCATTGTCGCATTCAATGCTAATAACGTGAGAAGGATCGAAACCAACATGCCGCAATAGTCGTCTCCACCATTGAAGGTGCTTGCCAGCTTCTGAGAGCCCAAGAAGCTCTGCTTCCGTTGTTGATGTAGTCACCGTCCGTTGTTTGGTGGCCTTCCAGTCCACAGGTCCTCCATAAACCTGGCAGATATATCCTGCAGAGCTCTTCCGGTCTGCATGATCTCCATACGACGCGTCACTTGCCAATTGGACGGATTCGATGTCTTCCTGTTGAGACCCATACTCGATTGCGTGGTACCGCGTTGAATAGAGGTAGCTGATCAGTCTATCAGCCGCCTTTTGGTGTTGAGGTCCAGGATTCGTCAAGAATTGAGCAAGCTTCGCATTCGCTTTTGCGGCATCCGGTCGGGTTATCGTGGTGGCATACCCGGCCGAGCCAACCTTTTGCTGGTATAGATGCACTGATTGAGCATCTGCCTTGCCGTGATACGGCTCTAATTCATCAAGCGACAGCGGTGTCGAAACCGGTGGCCTATCCGTTAGGTGATACCGGGCCGCGATACTTGATATATAGCTGTCTTGGCATAGCCACAGCTTCTTTAGACGCCGGTCTCTGATAATGCGGATATTCAGAAACCATTCCGCGTCTCCATGATCTGTAAGCTCCCAATGAGCTTCGAGATCTCTTTCCAGTTGATCAGCAAGCTTCCTGACGTTTTGATGACTTGCTATCAATATATCATCGACATAGAAAAAGACGATGATCCCATTTCCGATAAATACGCATGGGTCTTCTGGCACTTGACGGAGTCCTAATTTGGTGAGAACTCCGGCTGCTTCTTGCTGCCATAATCGAGGAGATATCCTCAACCCATAAAGCGCCTTTCGGAGCTTCCAGCACTTGCCAGGGGTTCCAAACCCTTCCGGCATTCTGGTATAGACGTCCTTGTCGAGCCTGCTATTCAAGAAAGCAGTGACAGCATCTCGCTGTCGAAGATCAAGATCAAACGCCGCAACAAGTGCGAATATCATCCTTGCTGTTCTTGCTGCTAGTGTAGCAGCCCGCTTTTCATCTGATGATATGGTCTCAAGATCACCTCGGACGCAAATTCTGGCTTTCAGTTTGATAAGGTATCCATCCTGATCAAATTTGTACGCGAAAACCCAGAGAAGTGGAAGTATTTGCTTCCCTCGATCCTTCGGACGATCGATGATATCGAATGTCGCTTTTCTAGTAAGCGATTCGATCTCTTTTCTCATAGCGGCGAGAAAGCCTTCCTGGAAGGGATGATTCATGACATCCTTCCAGTTCCTAGGAAGCTCAGGGAGATCATCTCTATGACGTCGAGTTGGCTTCTCGGCGTACAGACCAGCAGCAAATGCATGCAGATACGCTGGCGGTTCCATCGCGACGTACGAATAAGCATCATCTCGCTTAGGCTGACGTCTTCGAGAACCAGATATGATGTTTGTTTCATCGACATCTCCATTGATATCCCTTGGTGCGAGCCCAGCAAGCAATTGCATTTCGGCTTCTTCATCCGAGTCCACTTGCTGATCCTCTATAGCTTCCTGTACGACTTCTTGCGTATCATGAGCCTGGTCCCTTGCTAGATCTTGCGTGCCACGCGTTTCATCTAGCGTTTCCACCCCCTGACGAGACTCAGGATACTCGCTTGGCGGAGTAGGTGGAAGCGGGACTTCCTGGGGAAATGCGCCTGGGATGATGTCTATTTCATCCCGTCTTTCCCTTTCGGGTGTATTGTACACCCCCTGACCTCTGAATGTCTGGTCAGGCTTTTCCTGATTCCTGATTGGCTGAACGGTGTCTTTTGCAGAAGAACCGTCGCTGTCCAATAGAGGAATTGCTGCTTCTTTATGAGACGGTTTTTCGGCCGAAAAACGGTCTCTTTGTCCAATGTCTAGAGTCTCATGTTGAGCTTCATTGCTTCGGACATTAGCATTGCTATTAGCATTGCCATTAATGTTGACATCTTGATCATCGTCATTGAATGGTCTTGCTTCTAGCTCTGATTCAGGCATTGATCTAGTCGAGATCGATGCTTCGAAGGCTCTCGTCGCCTCTGTTTGGTCCAGTTCTTGCGGTTCTTTCAGTATTGGCAATGGCACTTGCTGGAAGTGCTGAAAGTCCGCTGTATATCGACGTGATTCATCGAAGATAGCATCCCGAACGAGCCGTATTTTGTTGGCTTGCGGAAACCATATTTTCCAAACGTTTGATGCTATATAGCCTACCAAGAAGCCAATCTCAGCACGAGGATTCATCTTGTCTGACTGAACCTGCTTCTCGATACGGCAATAAGCGAGACTGCCGTATAACCTGACGTTGGCCAAGTTGATTGGTGGCGCTTGCTCGCCGGCGAAGCTCTTCATGACTTCACCCCATGGGACTATCCAACGTTTCTGATCAGCCAGATACGTTGGGGTCCGATTCAGCAGCCAGACTGCTGCCATTGCTGCTTCAGGCCATAGCTCCTTTGGGAGCTTGCCTTCGAGTATCAGCATTCTCATGCGAAGAATGATGACACCTCCTGCTCTTTCGGCATACCCATTCATCTCGGGGTGCCTTGGTGGACTATGATAGACCACAATTCCATCGGATGTCAAGCTCTGCTCAGCTGGACGTCCTGCAGCTTTCTCATTATCATAATTGAAAGCTTTGATCGGAAGTTTCCACCAGTTCTTGGCCAATTGGACGAAATGATTGATTGCAAGCTGACATTCGGGCTTGTACTCATGCGTCATGACCCAGTGGAACCTTATTCCTTCAATATAGAAGTGGGAGATCCAGTTATGCTTATTGTAAGCACGTGGAAGCTGTATCAGATCAAAATGAACCCTACCAAGTGGCCCGAAAACCCTTCCAATTGGTCTTCTTGATACTTGGCGATCTGATCTTCCTAGGTGGCAAGTCTCACAAATTGCGTGATCCTCTGTCCTAGCGTCAATTGTGACGCCCTCGACTAGCTTTGCCACTTGCTGTACAGTCTTGTACTGCGGATGGCCTAGTCGACGATGCCATACTTCAGCTGATGCGGCTGACTGTTTTGGCGATGATGATGATCGGACGGCATTTGCTGTCCGTAACGGTGCTCTCCCGGGTTGATCGAAGACCCATAAGCCGGCTGACTTCCACAATTTCAGGCTGACAATTGGGATGGCATTGTGATCTTCGATATAGCCTGCTTCCTCAGACCAATGTCCGCCTTTCTCCTTCAAGCGAGCGTACGACACTAGGTTTACATGGAAACCTGGTGCGTAATAGACGTTGCTTAAGGTAATCACCTTCTCCTTTCTTGTGATTGGATCGATGCCATGAAGCCTTGCTGTCCCTTGCCCGATAACAGATGTCTTGCCGTCACCGGTCGATAGAGAGTGCTGGCAAGTGGAAAGGTCCACAAAGCGACTTCTATTATTACAGACATGTACGCTGGAACCGGAGTCCAAGATCCACCGGTCCTTGATGGATGACGCCGGTAGGTCTAGTAAGCTAGTGGAGAAGGCCATGTTTCCAGTGACTGCATTTGACAGCTTTGGCGATGCTTTCTCAATAGCTTCATTGACCCATTTCTTCCACGCTGGATCTGCAGCAAGCGTTTTCTCGGCCTGTCTCTGCCTCTCTTTTGATACCGTGAAACCGTCGGGTCTCATCGCGGCATTCAGAGTGTAGCAATTGGCGGGTTTGTGGAATTTGATTCCACACGGGCATGGTCTTGCCTCAAAAGGCGTGTCGTCCAATTTGCCTTTTGAGTCCTTTTTCGCATCACTTGGCGCATCAGTTTTCGCTTCCTGATATCCTTGCCAGGTGGAAAAAGACCCCTTCAGTGCTGCCGCCGGTGGCAACGCTATATTAGGTCCAATTTCACGATATGTCGATCGGAAGGACTCGATCAGACTTTGAGTCTCTATCGATGCTTTCTCCATCACGATCTCTTGGAATTTGGCTTGCCACCAGATTGGTAAGACCTCTTTCACGGCTTGCAGTAAGTCCTTATTTGCGTTGGCAGTTTCAATGATTTTGAGACTGACTGCTCGCTCATATAGCTCCACCCATGAGATCAGCCATTTTTCGACATCTCCGGTCGGCTTTTGGGTTGACAAAGCTCTCCATTGCATGCGTACTTCTTCAGTATACGCTTCAGATCTAGCGAATCTCTTGCTGAGATATACTAGACGGTCGTACGGTGTTTCGCACTTCAAAACTGCATCACGGAGTGATGCATCCAGAGAGTTGACGATAAGATCATCAATCTCATTTAGGCTTTTGCGCTGTCTATCCCAGCGGTTTGCCTTGATTTTATAGACTTCGAGGCGGTCTCTCCAGTCTCGCTTGTCTTCCTGAGACCCATCATCAGGGTAGTCAGCTGCAATAGGCTCTCTGAGAGCCTCTGGACGATGCAATTCGTCCGCATCGGGGTTGCAGAGATCCCAAATGTCTCTGCGTTGAGCGAATACCTTCACTCGCTGGTGCCACGACTGCCATTGTGACGAGTCCTTCAGTTTTTCGCTCTTCATAGCGGAGAGATAGGTGCTCGAGTCCATTATGTTCACTTGTTGATCGCAGCAAGTGAGTTCCTTGGACCTTTTCGGATGGATGAGGGTATTCGGAGGATTCAGGGGTTCAGGGGTAATCGGACGGCGACGAGAAAGCTCTGGCAAGTGAATTGTCACCTGTGAATAGCTTCAGAATAGTCTTGCTGTCCAATTATGGGCGTACCGGGCTCATAACTGTTGGAACTTGCTGTCTTCCGTAACTTGCTCAGCCAATGAGGGCATTGAAATCTCTGTCATTTATTACTTGCTATTTCTTGCTATTTATGCTATGCTCATCCTTAGTAATCCGCTCATTCGGAGTTACTATAATTCCGGTTCTCAATCCGTATTCATGAATGCAGCACTGACATTTTATCCACGTGACCGGTTTTGATTGGATTTGTTTCATTTCCTCTGTTCATCTGTTACTTATGCGGATCTGTAGGGAATTTTCCGATAGTATCCTTGTATAAGACGCTATCCTCTAGGTGAAAATGGAGGAGAGGGGGGTGCAATGTTCTTGCGTGTTCTCTGCGGTCATTTTTTTAACTAATGTAGCGAATATAGTTATTACATTACCATAGAATCTGATAAAACTGAAAACAATGCCTCGAATCATCTACCACGCCAATATTAAACATCATATCAAGGAATCCAGCCATGGAAAACCAAATATGACAAAAGATAGAAACTATCAATTCCATCGAGCTCTTATAGATTCGGCTCATGTGACCGGAAAGCGCCAAGAACACTTATCGGCCATGATCTTATCAACTTTTGTCTTTCTTTTTCTTTCTCTGCGCCAAACTAACAAAATGACGAGCGACGATCAGTTCTTCTTTGACTACGTGAGTACTTGCATCAACCGAATCCCCTAGATGAAACATCGCTGATTTTTGGTCGTCCTAGCTCTCGTCTATACCCCATGACGTAAGGCGATACTCACTCGAAGTTGCCGACTCGATCGACCGACAAGTTGACCATGCCGCGAGCTTGATCAAAGATGCTATCGCCCAACAAGCATGGCTTCCTCCCGCTGTTCGTCCATCGCGCCCTTCCCAACACATGCGCACCCCGCAAGGCCTGACGGACCGGGTGCAAAACTGGGTCTTGAGGAATCGCGCATGGACAGCGGCCATCCTTGCATTCGTCGGCACTGGCGTTGTTATGTACTATGGTGGCAACAAGCTTCACGGGAAGCGGAGAAAGGCCAAGAGAGCTGGTAACGGTGGTAGAAAAGAGATTGTTGGTATGTGTCATACGTCGATGCTAGTTCGAGGTGCACGAGTACTAACTGCGATGGTAGTCGTTGCTGGATCGCCGCATGAGCCGATGACTAGAGCTATCGCCATGGATATGGAACGCCGTGGATACATTGTATATGTGACAGTTTCTTCCGCGGAAGAAGAATACATTGTTCAATCTGAAAACCGTGTTGATATCAAGCCTTTGTGGTTGGATTTGACGACTGTTAGCTTTACCCGGAAGCTTTCACCCAAAAAATAGCTAACCAACTTGAATAGTCATCTCCTTTGCCATCCGAGGTCCATCCCTCGTTGAACGGTCTCCGTTCCTTGATCACCCAGCCCCAGTCGCCTACTGCTGGAGTGCCTCCTCACACCTGCCAGCTAAGCGGCCTGATCATTGTGCCCTCAACCAACTATAGTGCAGGCCCCATCGCAACAATCCCACCGTCATCCTGGGCCGACACAGTCAACACCCGCATCCTCTCCCCCATCCTCACAGTGCAGGCTTTCCTCCCTCTCCTCACCCTCCGCAGCAACAGCAAGACTGTTGTTTTCGCCTACCCCTCTATCTCATCCTCGCTCTCGGCACCCTTTGCCGGACCTGAAGTAGCCACAAGCCGAGCAATGTCAGGCTTCGCAGCTTCACTGCGTCAGGAACTCAGTCTCCTCGAGCAGGGCAACGTCGACGTCGTCGAACTGCGCCTCGGAAATATCGATTTGGGCCCTACATACCGACACGGTCAGAGCCAGGTCGCAGGCACAGAAGTCCTCGCTTGGAGCACACAACAGCGAGCCCTCTACGGCTCGCAGTACCTATCCAGCGTGGAACAACGACCCGTTGCATCAGCCGGTCCCAGTGCTATCCGCGGCTCTCCCGCACGAAACCTCCACTACGCCCTTCTAGATGCCCTAGAACCCAGAACCCGGGGAATCTTTGGTCAGAAGACCTCCAAGAAAACCGTCATGTACGTGGGACGTGGAGCGCGGTCGTACAGCCTGATCGGTAACTGGGTTCCCAGCGGCCTTGTGGCCTTGATGATGGGGTACCGCAGCGGCAGCCCAATGGGATCACACAGCCCGAGCGGCAGCAGCAGTGAAACCAGCTGGGAAAGAGTTTAAGCACGGTCTGCCATATTTGGATATATTCCCTTTCCTTTCCCTACACCCCTTCTCCCATCTACCATCTACAAAAAGCACATGCTTGCTTAATCTACTCTGTATATACTACCTTGGCAATACTCTTCGCTCTTAATGACATTTCACAGAATTTGATTCTGATATTGACTTCATTATTCGCATTATGGTATATCGACGGAAGTCAGGGCTCATAGTCACAGCTAGCAATTAGTAGGTATTCAGGAGAAAAGGGTAATAGTAAAAAAGGTATCATGCAGCACCACCATTTGTACAGCCACCCAACGCATCATCAACCTTCCAGCCCTTAGAAGCCTTAGAAGAATAGACAGCATCCTCAAACAGGAACCTCCTTCGTCTCAACAACCTCCTCCCCAACCCCTGCCACACCCCCATTCCCAAACCCATCACCACGACAAAGCGAGTCCCTCCTCGCGCGCTTAATCTTCCCATGCGTCAACCAGCGACGCAAATGCATTAGTCCATAGACAATGAAGAAGATGACCAGGATGGCAGCTAGAATGCCAAAACAGTATCCTGTCACAAGACCACTCTTCTGGCCGTGGTCGCCAACGTCTAGGAATGTGTAGGGGTAGTAGCCCTCTGTGTGGTGGGTGATGTATGCGACGCAGAGGTAGAAGACGAGGATTAAGATTAGGAATGGGATTGCGATTAGGGGGAGGGGTGCGGTTGATGGGAGGAAGATTTCCAGGAGGGCATAGAAGGAGTTCAGGCCATGTTGGGAGATCTGAAATAGAGAAACGGACATGTTAGTTTGAGTTTGTTGTTGTTCTGTGGAATGTAAGACAGGAAGTGGGGTCGGGGAGAGATAGAAGCGAGGTTTGGATAGATTCAAGACGAATCCTATATATTCGGTGGATATATATTTTTTTTTAAAAAAAGACAAAGTCAAAAGACGAAAAGCGACTTACATTCTGCCAGCCGGTAAAAGTAACCTTATACCATGGTGAGCTGTAAATAAGCACCCAGAAAACGATCGTCACAAGGAACGGGTAGGTGGTGATCGTCGCATACAACAGGCTATGGAGCACGCGACAAGCCCTGGGCCAGCGATCGAAGAGGACCGAGCGGCCCGTCCACGCATAACAAGCTGTATGGATCGCAGCGAAGAGCATGTAGAATCCCAGACCCCAGTACGTCAACCAAGTGAAGAAGCTGAAGGTTTGGCCGATCACATAGCGTTCATCGTGGGAACCGTACCAGCCCCAGATGGTGAAGATACTGGTGAAGACGTAGAGAGAGATCAGGCCGCGCAAACAGGCGAGCAGGGTTGGTGGGAGGATCCATGATGTCTCGAAATGGTGCTTGTCGTCATGAGGCGCGTCCGCTCCGAAAAGCGTTGTTAGTGGAATGCAACGCATGGCGACGCAGTTTGGTGCTGTTCACTCCTTGCTGGGAACAGCCGCAGAGGAAGCAAAAAGGCACATACATGCACATGCGAGAATTGAAGGGGAGAATTTTTGCCCGTTTTTTTTTTTTCCCTGTATAGTCCTTCGGTTGTGCCGGATCCGGTCTACATGACTACGTCGTGCTATCCGCTGGGAGCTATCGCTTTTTCGGGTTTAGGTGAGGGGATGGGTTGCACTGCAGCTCCGGGTGAATGCAAGCTCAGCCTGTTGTAGGGCTCGGTTACGACGACAAGAGCTGGTTGTGCATGAACTTAGCTCTTAGCCTTGTTCTTAGGTCCATTTTTGCCCCCACTGGCTTCGGCGGTACATACCGAATGAGTGCAGTGGTGATTGAATCAGAAACAGAATCAGAACCAGCCAGCTCTAGGCTCGAGCTCTGGAATTGGTTGTGCTCGTATTGAAAGTAAGATCGGAATCTTCGATTGTCCGATGATCAGCGCGTTTTGACCTCTGTAGGGCTGTGGGGATTATGTGAAGTGAATAGTGTATTGATCAGCTACTGTACAGTGTGGATTTCAGATGCATTGCATGATCACATTGCAAGCATTTGGTCCACGCAGAGACACAATAGAGAGAGACGAAGAAGAAGCAAAGAGCGCGACCTTCTGCAGCGCCAAATTAAGAACGGAATGGCTGCTCCACCTGGTAATATTTGATTGGACGGGGGTACCGGCACCCGTGGACACATGGATGGCCATTCCATGGTAGAGTTCCCGACCGGCCTGAGGTGGGAAGGTATATTTATATCCGAGTACATTACTTAGATCTGTCAGTGAGTACACGTACATGGTCTCTGGCGAATGATATTGTATACGGAGTAGTGTAACAATTGAGGTACTCACGTCATCTGCAGATCGTCGATGGGTCCAGCAGGCACGGCATATCTGGCTTGGCAGTCGTAGACCAGATACGTACTCTAGGCTATAACAAGGTCATCCTGTCTATGCTTAGCTCTAGGCTGGCACAATGATCTACAACAAGACTGATAGCATTAGAATCTTTGATACGCATGAAGGTCAATCGGCTTACGATCTGCATATTCGGAGTAATGACTAGGTTGGACCAGCGTTGTAGCATGAAACACGGTGGGGATTCTTGAACTGATCAGCAAACGGTAACAGTTAGTGTGTAGCGTGTACCTTCACTTGGAAGGTGATTCAGATACAGTGCAACAAGGGCCCGATGACATAGGAGTTCTTGAATTATGGATACAGTATTTGCCCAGTGGGCATCTAGAACAATGCGATTCTTACCCATCGGTCACATATATACTTTTTCCAATTTCTTGATTATTGTCTAGCCAATGTGTCTCCTAGTTCTCAAAATATTGTCAGTCAGCCCTTTGTAATTGGGCAGCATGTACAGTAGCCCCAGCGGATGAATTCTCCCATAGGCCAAGACTGAGGACCATGAAACCGGTGTGGGGAGACACGGATTCTAGAAGATTGCGGGTCAATAAACAAAACACTTTACGCCCGAATAGCAACAGTACAGAAGAGTCAATGGTCAATAGTGTACGGTAGGAGGACTAAATAGCCAATACAATACAATGCAGTGCTCGGATGGCGTCAATTACAATTCTTGGCGGCCCCCTGAAGTTAGAAACTTCCCCTGAGATCCCTTGAACGTCGAGACCCAGTGGAGCTTTGCACGGGGCGCTCTATTTACGTTGTCATGTTCCATTGTGATCGTCAGGGCCTTCCGTTTTTCTCCCTCTCTCCTTTCTACCCTCCTTCATCTCTAGGGCTGTCATTCCTTTAGCTTAACCTTCGCCTCCCCCGCCCTTTCTGATTCCTCCGACCCTCTGGAATGATCTGAACACCGTTACGGATAACAAACCCGGCCATCATGGACTTGCGTGGGAAACTGAGCGAATGTCGCTCGACATCCCACGACACCCTGCGGAGTGGTATGCCCTCACCGCGGGTAGCGCACTTCGACGGTGAAGTTCCTCCCGCCCTCTCACCCCTCGATGCCTTCGCCGCCCAGGGCCGATTCCTGGCCCGACAGCTCGACGAGTCCCGCCGCGGAGACCGACGTATGAGCCGACTGCCACCATCTAGTGTGGCTCGATCACTTTCACAAGGCCGCCCGGGCTTCTACCGCTCCAAGTCGTCCACCGAACGTCGCACCGACCTGACAGGTGAACCAACTACCGAGCTCACCCGCAAACCCACGCAGAAAGGCCTCCCCGAATTTGAGGAGCCCAAATACCGCCCCGTCTCCGAACACCCGCGCTTCAGTTCCGTTTCTAATGCTAGCACCGAGGCTAGCGTTTGGGAGGATGACACCATGACGCCCCGGACATCGATGCTCCAGTGTAGCCCACAGGTTTTTGAGATGCCCCGTGCTGAATCCCCCGAGGAGGATACGTCGCTTGCGAGTGGAGCGGATGGTGTGCCGGTTGGTGTTGCTTTGACAGAACCGCGAGGCTCATCGACCGACTCCGGTTCGCGCCTGCACATCCCCCGAACTTTGGCACCACCTGTGTCGCCGCACTCGCGATCGACTAGCAGTACCAAAGTTGCGCACACCGAGAGCTCCGATGACGACTACAGCAGCTCTAATGGCGGATCGACGTTCTCCAAGCCTCGCAAGATGTCCTCTGGAAGTGCCGTGTCATTGCCGTATTCCCCCATGTCAACATACCCCACAAGACCTCACCCTCGATCACCATCTATGAGCTCCGAAACCTCGAATACCGGAAACCACCATCTGCCGCGCCCTTCTTTCAACTTCTCCCGTCCGCTCAGTCGGTCCAGCACAAGCTTGTCCGCCCAGTCTGCCCCGGGGGCTTCAACGGCTTCCGAGCACACCGTCACTCGTCAACCCAACCAGATGCAGCGTCGCAGCAAGCCGACTCCGATCCTCCTGCCACTAGCAACCGAAGAAGCGGACAAACTTCCTCCTGGTGAAGGCGACCCGCTTTCTGCTGTGTCCTCTTACACATATGCTAGTTATTCGCTCCCCCGTGGACGCGGACTTTCAAGAGACTCGGTGGTGTTTGCAGGCTTGCAGACACCTCATTTCGAGTGGTCAGAGCCATTATTTGAGAAGACACCTCGCAATTCAGAGGAACCACCCCGTACAGCACGGACGCCTTCGCCTTCACCACGCCCTCAATTCAACCACTCACCTAAGCCTCATTCTATGCACGAAGTTCCTGCCTCTAACACGCCTCAGCCTCACACCCCCAAGTCTGAACGAATCCCACCTCCTCCGCCTATACCTACTTCAGTAGAAAAGAAATCACAGAAAACTCCTGAGAAAAAGCCAGAGACGACGGTGCCACGGCTCTCTGCTGAAACGGCCCGATCAACGACCGAGAAGGATGAAACCGTCTCTTCTGCCGATTCTGCTAGCACCATGCGTCCCCAGACTGCTGCCGCCCAGGTCACGGCATCCGGCCTCACGGCCGATGATCACGTTGCCAAGGGCATCGAGTCCCACGAGAAGGGATCGTTGAGTGAATCAACGTACCATCTGCGAGTTGCCGCAAAACAAAATCATCCGACGGGAATGCTGCTTTATGCGCTGGCCTGTCGGCACGGCTGGGGCATGCGGTCCAATCAGCAGGAGGGTGTACGGTGGTTACGCAAAGCCGTCGATTCCGTCGGATTGGAAATGCTCGCCGATCCCGATGCTCCTGGTGCTTCCAAAGCAAAGGAGCTGCAAAAGGCATACCGAGCTCAATTTGCTCTGAGCATTTACGAGCTGGGTGTCAGTTATTTGAACGGCTGGGGTATTGAGCAGGATAAATCTCTTGCTCTGCGCTGCTTCGAGATTGCCGGTCAATGGGGTGATGTCGATGCCATGGCCGAAGCTGGATTCTGTTATGCGGAGGGTGTTGGCTGTAAGAAGGACATGAAGAAGGCTGCGCGGTTCTACCGCCAGGCCGAGTCCAAGGGTATGAGCATGGTGGGCAACAGCTGGTATGTTACAGGAGCACGCTCAATCACTTGAATGTCGCTAACAATTTATCAGGATCTACAAAGACAAATACATGACCGAGGCCGAAGCCAACTCTCGCTCCCGCGGCCGCAATCCCAGCGGCGAGAAGGACAAGAAACCACGAAGCAAGTCACGTACTCGCAGTATCTTCCAGCGGAAGAAATCTATTGTCCCAGAGGCGTAGACTTGCTTCGTGGCTCTGTCTTTTTGTTTCTCTTTCTCCTCTCGTTACAGCTGTTATGCAGCAACCATCCATCTTGCATCTTGCAAAGTGCTTGGAGCGTTCTGAGCCTTTTTTTTTTTTTTTTTTTTTTTTCGCCAGCCTTTACAACTACAACATTTCGTTTTTTACCCTCCTTTCTCTTCTCATATTTACTTTGTCATTTTCACCTTTGCACCTTGCCATTTCATCAGAGCCGCCTGGGCAGCTGTTTTCGAGCGTGTCGGACTGGAAATTAAATCCGTCCCTCTATCTCGCAGGCTTAATACTTCAGTTCTTCGTGGATACCCTTTATTTCTCCCCATCATTGTTCCCCTTTTTCACTGTCTGATTTTTCATCATTTCTCTTCTTGGCCATATCTTCTGGCGGGCTTGATCCCCCCTTGACCTCTTTTCCCTTTTGGATCCCATCGTTATTTGCTTCTCCTTCGGCTGGCGCTACTAGCGCGACCCATGAACTCATGCCAGAATTAAGATATCTTGACCTCGTACAGCTATTGGCATTAGCAATATTCACATGTGGACAGAGTAGATGTATAACACTCCGAATATAGAGCCGATCATGATCCAGCTGACCCCGGACTTGGACCCCTCATTAACCCTGGCTCGGCACCGGGGAATTGTCCCCAAACGTGCCTAGAGTGCAACAAATGGGCTTGACACTTCCCCAAAGAATACTGGCGTTCCTTTAGAAAACGCCACAGGTCCGGCCAATTCACTTTCCGAAGCTCAATACGGGGCCTCTCCTTGCATCCTAGGGTCGCCTCCCTGCTTGGCATGCCCCATGTAAGCTGCTAGTTTCACCAGTAGCCAATAAGACCATTTCCCCCATGCAGGCATTCCTGAACCAGTGCAACCCATCCAAGGACCAAATGCGCTGTTGCACAACGCCCAAACGACTAGTTGATCTGGGCGTCAGAAGGGACATTCTCGTCTCAACTTCACCTCGGCCCATGGGGGTTTCAAATGCCAAAATTGCTCCTTTGATTGTATCTTTTCTGAAACATATCGAGATTTTGCCGTCGATCCTCCAGATTTTGGCCCCGGGTTTCTCCAGTTCTCCAGTTTCTCTCCACGGAAGTCCGGTTTTCCCCAGGAACTGCTGTCCACTTTGGCCAGACTTTAATCTATTCTTTGCACAAAAGAACCGCCACCCCTTGGTTAAGATTACACATGTGATAATAGGGTTGTCGACTTTGCTTTTGAACTACTTCGGACATGCAGCCCCATTTAGTATAAGATACTACTTCATTACTCTTGTCTTTTCTTTCTATTTTCACTCTTTTTCCCGTTTCTTTTTTTTTCTCCCCTGGGCGTGTGACTTGGTAAGTTCGAGGTTGACTGTCCAGTCAATATTTCACCGTGACAATTGACTCTTCTTCCCTCCCACTTTCACTCCAACTAACAAATCCCAAGACTCGCCAGAATGTCTTTTTCGAAGAGCCAAGTCGTGGAGGAAGCCGAGACAGTCCCAGGCATCGTCACACCGAAGCCATCCTTCGGCGCACGAGTCGGCGCACACTTCAAGCGATTCTGGTGGGCGCATTTGATCTTCTTTGTGGTTTGCGTACTGGTGATCTCGTTGCCAGTGTAAGTAGAACCAAGCCAATACATCAACGCCACAGCCAGATCTATATCCCTTGATTCTTGTCCATATCGCCTTGGCGAAACACAATCACACCTACAGACATCAGCGCAAAACTAATCACAGTCCAGTGTCTACGTTGCCTACCCCAAAATCGCCCAAGATGCAGTCAACGACTCAACCCTCGACATAAAAAAGATGGTCATTAGCGACCCAACCCCCGATTCCTTCCAGCTGAACCAGACACAAGTTCTCGGCTCAAAGAGTCCTTACCACCCACAGATCTACGAGTTCGATGCTAAGGTCTCTCTCGCCGGTGCTGCGGATCCGTTCACGACTGTCCGTGTGCCTGGCGTTAAGTCTGTTGATGGTGTTGAGATCCATGTTGATCAGATGGTTGATTTGAGTGATACTGCTGCGTTTGGGGATTATGCTACGGCTGTCATGCTTAATGAGGAGGTTAAGTTGAATATTTATGGCACTCCTGGTTTGAAGCAGGGTGGTTTGCCGAAGACTTCGGTTACTTATAATAAGACTGTTGTTATGAAGGGTGGGTTTTTTTTTTCATTTCGGTTTCTGGTTTTGATTACTTGGGAGAGATTGACTGACATGGCTGTGCTATATAGGATTGAACAAACTCGAGGGCTTCGCTGTCCCCGATTTCCACATCATGATCCCCTCCGTGAATGGGTATAACATGAACGGAACGGTTTACATTCCTAACCCGTCTGTCATGACCATCTCGATGGTACGTCCAACCACAAACAACCCAATCTTCACCCTTGATATGATATACTGATATGAACCAGGGAAACCTAACCCTCAACCTCGCCGTCAAGGGCAAAGCAATGGGCCAAACCTACCTCAACGACCTAGTCCTTAAACCAGGCAACAACACCATCCCCATGCTCGCAAACGTCGATCAAGCAGCCATCTTGACTATGCTCTCTCCAGCCAACAACCAATACAAAGATGGCATTGTCCCATTCACGATTACTGGCAATTCCAGCGTGTATCACGGCAAGAACCTGGAATACTTTACCAAGGCTCTTGCGGCGAATGAATTGACTGTGAACTTGAACGTTTATCAGGCGCTTAAGGAAGCTGGTCTTGATTTGTCGGGTAGCTCTTGAACTTTGAGTCTTCCTTACGCTTGACATTGAGCGTGGTGGGACCAGAGATGGTTGTATAACTTACCGGTATTGTTCCGGGTACTACTGTTCTCGGCCTTTTTTTCTTTTCTCTTTATGGTTTATGTTTTCATATCTTATATTTCCTTCAATGTGCTACTCATGGGTAGTAGAATTGATTCTAGGTCGGTCATTTTTTTGTGTTCCGGGGCTGTTTCTTATGTGTATATTTTAATACCCCTTCATGAATGCATAAGAATTTCGATATTTATCTTTAATGGTGAGAGAGTATCTTAGGCTTCTTGCTTTGAATCGGCTGATTCTGCATACAGTCCACCAGGAAGTTTCTCTACTGTCGCCCGGAGACAATTTTTCGACTACACTCCAGTCCAGGGCACTCAGCAGCCTCCAATGTCTCTTCCAATGGCAGGAGTCATCAGAGACTTCGCTACTCCATCTTGAGCAAAGGAAATTGAAGTCCTCGAATTGGTATCCCTGCACGACATAGCCCTTAGGGCAGAATAAACCGTCGGTTGGGTTACACGCGATTCGGTGATGCTTAGCCCATCGGGATCGAAGCAAGCTACTACCTTAGAAATTTGGTTTTGACGGGTATCGAGCTTGCGTCCGGACAAGGTAGGGCTCACTGATGTCCTATCTTCTTACGGAACTGCGAGACTACTCATGGCAAAGGCAAGGAGGGTGGTCCACGGAAAGTGCATTGCCTAAAGAAGATAATTTGGTAAACGAGATCCCCTAAGGTTGAGCCATCAGTAGATTCAAACGTTGGATTTTGCAAAGATATGCTAAGGAAGGCTCGAGATGTGTTGGAGGTGAACTTAATATACCGTGATGTGATACAGGGCTGGGGATTTTAACCCTTTTTTACTAGCACGTCGATCTTCGTGCTCTTGCTTTCATCCTTCCATCTTACATGCCCTGTTGCATAATTTTTTCGTCTTTGACAACAGAATGCCTTTGAGACTTCTTTGGTTTGGGGGAACAATTTTGTTTTTTAATGGTCTTGGACGTGCAAGAGTTGCATCTCTTAAGGCAGGATTACAGCTTCGGGACATGAAAAGTACGGTAACAGCAAGAAATTCTAACTGGAACCAGTTTTGCAATTCCATGCAATTCCAAGACCTCATACTTTGAATGCAATCTGTTCGATACAATGACTACACATGCCTTCAAAAATATACAATTATTGGATCAAGTATAACAGCGTAAGTTGAAATGGGAATGCGACCCGTAGTGGAGTCATGTTTCCCAAGGTACATTTATGCTCACGGCTAACACGAATCATGCAAGGCTGAGATGCGGAGAAGGCGGGGAACTACCTGAAGTCCGAGGTCTATGAAGTACACGAGTGACTTATGCAAAGGATGTGGAGAAGATATGCATATGCACATGCAATGAACAAAGAAATCGAGTAACTTATGTTGACTCTGTATCACTGCTCCAGCCACACAGACCAGAAGATCACTCCAAACCCTGTCGCTGCTTGATTAAGTCCCTCAGCTGCCTCATAACTGTTTCCTCATTGGATGCATTCTCCAAAAGGGCATCTGAAGCGTCAAGTAATCCACCCTTTGCCTTATTGACCTCTTGATATTTGCCATCCCAGCTGTAGATAACCTCAGCGTGACGCTGTTGATCGGTAAACAACAAAGCCACGCTCTTCGCCACGAGTTCAGGTGCCTGAACACCAACACCAAGAGATTCGATGAACGCCGATGGGATCATTCCAGTGGCAGTCCAGGATGGCGCAACAGCATTTAGTCGCACCTGTCCTTCAATCTGATGCTCCAGTCCGCGAATAATTCCGAGCACAGCATGTTTCGTAATAGTGTAATCGCCAGCGCTGAAATTCTGGAAAGATGATGTAGATGCAGTGACAACTATACTTCCAAGTTCGCCCTCTGCACGGTGACGCGAGTGTTTCTGGATAAAGTGCGCGGCAAGATGCACAGTGTTGAGAACACCAATAAGGTTGACATTGATTGTGCGCATGTTAGGAGGTAAAAGTTCGCCATTCTCGTCAAGCTTCGCATCAAGGAAATCCGTTGTTGTTGCCACGCCTGCGTTGGCGAACACATGGTCGATTCGACCGAACCACTTCTCTGCTTGAACGAATACACCGCGGAGACTTTCCCACAATGTGACATCAACTTTGACGAATTTAAATCTGTCTGTTTCCTCCAAGTCTTGGGGCGGGTTGATATCGCCAGCGACGACAGTGGCGCCGTGCTTGAGGCATAGCTCCACAGTAGCCTTTCCGATTCCAGACGCGCCGCCTATTTGTGTTAGGTTTTGAACTCCTGCATAGGACAATGGTATGAATACCCGTAATCAAGATAATTTTATCTTGGAGGCTCAAAGAATCATCTGAAATTTGGAAGGTCGCCATGGCTGGATGTTTTGATACGAGACAATGGGCGCGCAGGAGTTTATCTGCACTTTCTGCAGCTTGCAATTGACGGCGAAGCCCGAGGCTGAAATAAGAAGAAGCTGATGCCTAGGTAGTTCCCAATCCCGTTGAGGGGTAACTAGCTCCTCTGGTGGGGTTATACATGTACGTGGGTGATGGAAAGCGAGGCTCGGCTATACTTCCTCTATAGTTCCAGTTTCTTTGTTTAATGATGTTTCTTTTAAAAACATCATGGAGCCTCTTTTTGCTGTGGATGATAAATGGAAACTGATTGTCTACTTGATTCCGCAACTAAATGCTGACAGGCTGACGTTTCATTCAAGCCACAAAGAACCGTGCATATTTGACAGCTGCCCAGCCAAGAACGCCGACTACAGGAATAGCCACGGCACTGAGTCTCATGACGGAAGCTATAATCTTGGGCTGAAGGAATTCTTCGACCATAACCTGGAATTTCTCAGGTTCGTTGCGATTGGGGTATGCCACATCTGGGATTGGGAGGTCAAGGAAAGGGCAAATCTTTTCCCAATCAAGACCATCTTCGAGTTGAATCAGACATAGACGGTCTGCAGGAATTGTCGCCTTTGCCAGGTTGATGCTGGACCAGTTGTTAGCGCCATCAACGGATATACTCACGAGGGGTACAAATACGCACTAGTCGGTATAGTACTGACGGAGATTCTCCCTGTTGTCTGGGTCACCCATTTCTGTGCAACCCGATAATGCCTTATAAACAAGGTCATTCAGATCAAGGAAGTCATAGAGGGTGGCATCGAAATATTTGAGGATCGAAAATGGAAATTCATATCCCATTTTGGCAACTCCTCCCGCTGTGTTGTTGACGGAGTTCACCCACTTGTCAGGGTCTCGCTCAGTGAGAATAAATTTGACCTCTGGGTCTTTTAGATATTCTCCAATGAGATCCATGCCCATGTAGCTAGGAATCTCAACGAGACACTGCATGATATCAGCACAATGACCAGTCTATAGTTCGGTCAAAAGATCCGAGTCTACTCACGTCATATTCCCCAAGCCATCTGTCATAATCAGTCTGATTGAACTTCTTCACCCCAGCTATCCGATTATACTGGGCTATTATAGCCTCTTTCATAGCCTGCAAGTGGGGTAAGCCGTTCACGGCAATGCACTCATAGAGATGGTACGTTTTGAACCCCAGGATTTTCATTGCTTGGTAGAGACCCAGTGTACCAGACCTAGCCAAAGATGATTAATCAGTATGGTGTAAAAGCGGGTGCATATTCGTTCATACCGACTAGGACTGGCTACAATAACCTTCATCCTTCTAACCTCTACCGGCATCGGCAGTTGATCAACCTTGCGTGACATGTCGGTAGTTCAATTTTCGAGTGTTTGGTGATTGTTGTTTTCCTTGTTGGGAGGAGGCAAGGATTAAAACTACCGTACAGGCAGAGGCTCATTTCTTATTCTAAAGGTTCAGGCGCCACCAAAGATTCAGGCGTCCGAGCGACTGAAGGCCGAGCGCAGCCCTCTGGGCTGCGAGCTAGCCTTGCGCTAATCTCATTTACACCGCTGATATGCTGGTATCCCCGTACACGAACCAGATTGAATTCCACAAATATCCTATTTGCCTGCTGGCGTAGGCCAAAGGTGGTAGACTCAGTAAAGATTGGAACCGTTTCGGAAGAGACAACAGCCAATGGTGTACTCGAGTTCAAATACGGGTTGAGGCGGAATGACAGCTATCTAGACGCGAATAGACTCTAGACATGAACCAATCATAATCACCATGACCTTTCAGCCCCGGCTGCTGCATCCGCTATGACACCTGGGGGCCATTTCTAGCCTCAATATGAGTCCTATCGGATTCTCTTCGTTTCGACTGGGTTGGATTATAATGGACTTTTCCTCCGTATCTATAGATCCTAGGACAAATCAACCATATTGGCGTGAACCGGGTAACGTATTATCAAAATCAGGTTATTTTGGGCTGCTGGGCACAGCCTTAAAAGGCAAACTGCGCATAATCTTGTGGAATTAGATCTGTTATTGGCTGGTACTTTGTTCCATGAAAATATTATATAATAATTCCAGTCAATATCTCTAGGTCATCTAACTGTTTAATGTGGGTTAGCCATGGATGGACAATGTAATTGACATTAATATTCTTGCTATGTGCCGGAATGAGGAGCTCTGCATATGATGTTCAAAAAGCCAAAAATTCCCTATACAAGCCTTCGTGGTCTAGTTGGTTATGACGTCGGTCTCATATTTCCTTTCTTATGACATTCTTGGTAACAAGATTGACATCCGAAGGTCTCCAGTTCGAACCTGGACGAGGGCATTCTTTTTGCTTTTAGAAAAACTAACTCAATTCTTAAATTTTTTTTTTTTTTTTTCGAAGTTTCATGTTTAGAGTTCACTTGACACTCGTGTTCGAACCATGGGTCGTGCGATCCCGCGATTCGCAAATGGTTTAGGGTTAAGTGGTGGTCATCGACTTCACGCATTCGTGGAACCGGCCATGAGTTGGCTCCGATCACTTTCGATCGATTTCCAATCAGGACGCTGGCTGGCAGATCGAATTTATTTAAACGGGGGATGATCAGGCTCTTGGGGTTGTCTTTTCCTAGGCCAACTGCATCCCATATCTATACTTCGCTATATTTCCTTTGTTTTTCATCATCAAAAATATGTCGTCCTTGTTTGAAAAGTGCCCGGCGTGCAATGCGAAGACCTCTGGACATTTATTCTGTTCATCGCCATGCCGCTCATCCTATCTATCGCCATCACACATCCAAATTCCCGTCAATACCCCCGACGGAGGTAGAAGGAATTCTTCTGCGTTCCCGTTTGAGATCAAGCGCCCTCAAGCTCCGTTGCGTATGAAGACATACCACACGATATACAGCAACCCAGGGGCGCAGCACATCAATCCTAAATCGCCTGCGCAGACTGGAATGCTCAGCCCGAATGAACTCAAGCAGTACGAAGACTATTTCGATCAAGATCGGGCCTTGAAACGACGCAGTGTCTCGTCTACGAACACACACGATTATCCGGTCACGGTTTTGCCAGCCGACGAATAACCAACACATCCTTCGATTCAACTGGGAGAGACGACCCAGTGTATATATATTATACTATGTCAAAATACTTTTATCGATTCTACGGACAGATTACGATTGTACAACGAGGAATACTTATTTTTACTTCAAAAGTCAAGATCATATGCACCAACTATTATTGCTTCATCACTATAAAACGTTTAGTAAATCTCACGCAACGTATTGTGAGACACCATGTCTCTTCATCCTTCACTGAGATGGCAAATATTCCCCCATTCTATCCCTCGCCCGCTCCACTTGACCCTCAACATCCAAATCCCAAAGCCACCGAGATCGCTCCTGAAGAATTTCCTGTAACTTATCCGCATCGTCACCAATTCCATCCAGACATAACGAAAACAGATAGGCGTTTTCCTTGCTAGTAGTAACAACTCTCTGGCTGCGAGGTCTTCGAATCTCGTCATATGCCTTGAAAGCAGCCATGATTGCCTGCACAGAATCCACTCGAGAATCTGCCAGCAGTTCAGCAAGAACATGCGCATCTTCGATGGCTTGTCCAGCACCAGCACCTTGATGCGGCGTCGAAGCATGCGCCGCATCACCAAGAACAGCAATGCGAGACCGAGTATAGGTAGATATATGAGGATGTTCAAAAATAGCCCACCGAGAAGGATCAGGCATGCGCTGAAGAAACAAGGTCAGTATCCCACCATCCGTCCAGCCAAGTATAGGATACATACCTCAACAAGCGCCTGCACAAACTTCCCCATCCCCTTAGCATCCCTCTCCATATCCTCCCTCTTAGCCGGACGAACCCAGCTATCCCCCTCCCACTCCTCACTCAAAACATAAAACCCAACATTAACCTTCTTAGCCCTCATAATAGGATACGAAATTCCATACCCACCCTCCCCAATATAAAGCGTCGAAACCCTAGCCCGGTGATCCCCAACAGCCTCAACCATATCCTCCATATCAAGAACAGCCCGATACCCATACATACCACTATACCTCGGCTGCGCAAGAACCGACTCATCAGGCAACAGAGCCTCCTTAACCCTAGATTTAATCCCATCACACCCAACAACAACCTCAGCCATCTCAACGCTCCCATCCTCAAAGAGCAGCCTAATGCTGTCCCCATCTTCCCCCTCGGATAACTCAGCAAGTCTCTTCCCAAACCTAACAATACCATCAGGAATCAAAGCCAAAAGCTCCTTCAAAAAATCCGCCCTCCGCACCGCCGTCTGTCCAGAAGGCAAAGCCTTGAGATCCATCAACAACCCCCCATCCCTCCAACCGCCCGCCCAAATAAACTCAAACCACGTCTCGCGGAACGATTCATACCCCGGACTATCGGCATGCGTCGTAACGAGACTGTCGTATATGTCCCTGATTTGGGGGTCAATTAGGGGCATTGCGCGGTGCGCGGCTGGGCCGAGGGAGAGACCTAGTCCTATCTCGCTGAAGGAGAGGGCTGCTTCGTAGATTCTGACTTGGATGCCGCGGCGAAGGAGGCCGGCTGCTAGGACTAGGCCGCTTATTCCGCTGCCTATTATTGTTATTGTTGGTTTTGCGGGCATTTTGGCAGTGGTTTTTTTTCCTGGGGGGTTGGAGGTGGGATGATGAATATATGTGTGGTGTTGCAGGGGGTTTGAGGATTGGGGCTGTTTTATGGATTGAGGATTGAGGATTTAGTTTCAATGTAGTATTTCTTTGTTCCCTGTCCCTTGTTTCTTATTGCCGAGTTGCGGGGTTTGCTTGATTGGATTAACTTTGGGGTTGTCCTGCTGCTACATCTATATCACTAAAAGGGGATATAAGGCTGGCTTATAGCGCCCCCATTTTCTACTTGCGAGGCTAGATAGACGGGTAAGATAGGAGATAATTATGCTTACGCATGATTGTACTTTTGGAAATTGGACGTCCGTCAGTCCCATAATGGCCCCCGCGGTGGCGCCGATCTGCACTAGTGCGACACATTTGCTTGTTTTCTTTTCATTTCGATTTGAAATATGAATGTCAATACTTCTGAATTTCAGTCGGGATATGAAAAGAGAATAAGCGAAATTAAATTGGAAGATAGGTACAAAATAGCGCCAGTCATCACATCACTCGTCCATGCGAAGTGAACTTTCAATGTGTCGGTCTCATATAGAGGGAAATGCGTACGCTGGCTTACATGCATATTCTGGATGTGTAGCTCAGGGCGGAGCCGCGAACCGGTCGCGAAAGCATGCCATTAAATGCAAAGAAGTGCAGTTGGCATGGGTATGGGTGTACAAGGTATTGGCGACCTGGTGTGGTGAATATGAATATCCCAGGTTCGCGTAGAATGATTGAAAAAGTATTGGAAAACAGAATGAAATCAAATTCAAATCATGGGAGCTGGTACAATCCGTTGACGCTCCCATTTGGGAGGATGTGCGAAGGGGTCGTCGCGGGAGTAGAGCTCCGATCGGTCCCAGTCTGGGTCGCTGTCGATTGTAGATTGTTTGTCGTCTGAGCGTAGTGGCGAGGATGTTCCCGAGTCGTCGAGGGCGCGGCGGAAGCGGATGAATTCTTCTGATTCTATTGTATGTGCTGGTTGCATGGTGCCTGCTTGTATAGACTCCAGGGCTGCACGCTGTAGATGACGGATGTCGTCTCTCAGACTGGTGACTTGGCTTTCCAGATTCCTGCGAGCGGTTTGTTCACGTCGAAGGAGTGTGACTAGCGTGCTGTATTGCTCGATTGAGACACCCTGGTAGTCTGATAAGGAGGTTGCGGATGGGGCGGGGCGGAGAGTTCGCGAGTTCAGGCTGTCCTGGCGGATTGTACTCGTGCTGGAAGGACGGTATTCAATGTTAGGGAGAGGACTTGCGGAGTCAGTGCTGTCCGCGGGAGACCGAAGCCCTGGGGATATTTTGCGTGTTTGGGGTGGATATGAGTCTGCATGTTGGGGAGGTCTTGGACGAGGTGCCTTGCCCGTGGGGCTGTCTTGTGGAGATGTTTGCATTCGTGCAATTGCGAATTCTAGATCAATCATCTTCACTTCCAGGGTGGTCAGGCGCTGGTCCAAGGTGACGCTGTCGTCCTGTTGCATAGAGCCAACGAAACTAGCCACATTAGGTGGGATCGTAACAGGCCCAGGACGTTGGTCGGAACCAATGAAAGATGGGGCAGCCGACTCTCGAGCCACACTGGTCACGGTCGTGCCAGTGGATGGCCGGGAAGACTGGCCGCTGTTGGAGCTTTCCTCCTGTGGGGATCGTGACTGAGCGGTTGAACCTGGAGCGGATGTTGTCCGCGGTGGCCAGCCATTGACTGGCGGCGGAGATGACCAAGCAGCGACTGGTGGCAGTTGCTCATTGAGTTCGCGCAAGGCCTCTGCGCTCCTTGATATCCTATCCGATAGCAAACTATGTCTGCGCTGTTCTGGTACGACAGATCTATCATCATGGGGGTCAGAGATGGCGGAGGCAACCGCAAACCGAGATTCATCGTCGGAAAATATAACACTGGGAAGAGTCGCACGTCGCCGGCGCGGCGGCATACCGCCCGCCAAGGACCCGCCCAAAGAGGCTGGAGAGAGTGGAGAGAGCGGGGAGAGATGGGTCTCTGCGAGCTGAAGGTTCTCTGCGGAAAGTGGACTCCGCCGATTCGAGTCCAAGTTCAAAGGAGGAGGAACAGCCAAGAATGGCCTCCTCATACGAGGTCCTGTAGGCCCAGGCCTCCTGACTGGCGGTGTTGAAAAGGTCGATTCATAGGGGGCTTCTTCCAATCCATCGGTCTGACTCTGTCGTTTTCGGTTGAAGATCTTGCGCATGACTGTTTTCAAGGTGCTTCCCGTTCTGCGATGTGCCATTGTCGGAGGAGGGTGAAATTCCATTGAGGGCAAGGCCGTGTCATAGTTATCTCCAGTGTACGAAGCAGGATTTGAGGCCGGACGCTCTCCGCGAGCGGGCGAGGATCGTTGTCGAATACTCCCACTCCCGACCGACTCGCTACCGGCGCTGGCAATTGATCGTGTAGCGTTTCTCGACATATCTGCGAATGTGGTACGGAGGTTCACACGCGACAAGTAGTGAATGTATAGAACTCCGAGCGATATCCAATATGATGATCATTACAAGCGAAACCTGCCACTGGCAAATGGGGTATATATCGTCGCAAGAAGTCGCAAGAAGTTGAAAGACAGTCGAAAGCCAATGAGCGTGAGCGAGTGTCAAGAAAAGAAAACCGAAGGGTATAAGGTATCAAATGCAAAGGGCCGCTCAGCGGAAATCGATTCGAATAAAGACTGGGGGGTTTTAGTCGACTCGTGGGACTATGCAAGAAGGCTATATCAAACGCATGTTAGTTGACGAACCAAGAAATCAAGTAATACAAACGCGACCATACAAAGACTATAATCAGGCTCATAATGACAAAGGCTATATGCGTTTGCCTCAGACTAAGAAATGAAAGTAAAAAAAGGGGGTATGAAGTAGTAAACGAATGTCGGGATCTCAGAAGGAGAGAGATGAAACAAGAAAGGGGAAGAGCTGCAGCTTAAGCTACCCCCACAGTCAGAAACCAGGTTCAGGGCCGAAGTGGAAGTGGAAGAGAATTGGGGTGGAGAAGCCTTCAGATTGTGCGCTCTGCTTCAATTCAGCAGATAGTGGCGCAAATGCGCATGGAACAAGGCGCACTAGTCAGTAGTTGCTGGCAACTTGCTTTTCCGACCAACCCTAAACTGCAGCAGAAAAGCAGAAGCCGAATCAGACTGCAGGATCGTCGGAATTTCAAATGAATGCCGCGTTGGCTCCGAGACCAAGTGGAGCGGCCAGCGAACGGTCGTTTAGGAGGAGAAAAGACCCGCCCGGCCAAGGCACAACTGACTCGGCTTCATGTTTTGCGGTCTGAAACCCATGGCCATCGCGCACAGACAAGTCGGGCAACTGTTGTTCAGGACCTACACGAGCCAAGTGGCACGAGAGGCCGTATTGCTTCTCAGGCGAAAGTGCTGGGCCAATCAGTCGGAAATGATCTACGGCCCCCAATCTCACTGACTCGAGACTGAAGTCCAATCATCAGCCGAAACACATCCCTCGCTTTGCCTGTCTCGCACGGTGGTTTCGGGTTGAGACGGTGTGCTAAGCCCTAGCTGATTTCGGGTACTCAAGCGAGATCTACGGGGATGTTCTTCCTTGCATAGCGCCACATCTAATCGATCACCTCTAAATCTAAAGTGGGGAGTTTCTGGAACGCGGAGGGCCCTCCTTTTGAGGCATAATAGCCGGTCTATTCTAGGATGTCGCTGGCGTCGGGGTAGCGCAGGTCGGCGTGTTCCTCAAGGAAGTCCATCCAGTGTTTGAGGAAGCTGCTTCCACTGTACAGATGCCGATCAGTATCAAATATCAAACTTTAAGGCGCAGCGCGCATGAGGCACTGAGGGTCATATACTTACTGGCTGATCGTCTCTGAATCTCCGCAGATACACAGATGTCGCTTAGGTCGTGTCATAGCCACTGCATCATCGTTAGTTCCTTTTTGAGGTCTCTGCAGGTGCTACATGACCAGACTCACCGTTCAATCGTCGCTTCTCGCCGAGGAAGCCCACTTCGTGCTGCTCATTGCTGCGCACTAGGCTTACCACGACAGCTTCTTTCTCCCGGCCCTGGAATCCATCCACGCTGCCCAATTCAATGCCTGGGTATTTCTCACGTAGTATGCGCGAGAGGAGAGCCAATTGGCCGTTGTAAGGGGTGATAACGGCAATGCTCTCGGGCCTGATGCCTGCATCAACGAGATTATCCACATGTCGTGCCACAACCAACGCTTCCATCTCATTGCTCTTGCTGTCGCCAAGCAAACCTTTCTTGCCAATCTCTTCGTCCTCCACCTTTTCGGGGAAATCACCACCTTGCGTGTCCCAGAAAACCAACGGTTCTTGTGTGTCGTCTGTGCCTTCTACCTCGTAGGGCAGATCTACCAACAGTCGGGCTTTGACCGCTTCTCCGGCGATCAGCTTGCCCTCGTAGAGTTCGTCGGACGGGAAGCGCATGATCTTCTCATGCATTCGATATTGTGTAGTCAACATTCGTTTGATGCCGGAACCGTGTAGCGCTAGAAGACGGTCGAATAAGGTTCGTTCAAGGGAGACGCCTTTCAACAATTCCTTGTCGGAATCCTCGGTCTTGCCCTTGGACTGTGCTTCCTTGGACTTCTGACCCGTGGATTTGACAGTGGGGGGTAATTGCAGATGATCACCTGCAAGAACCACCTTCTCTGCACCTAGAAGCGAGATCCAACACTGGGCTTCCAATGCTTGACTCACTTCATCGATGATTACAACATCGAACCTTTGATTCTTGAGCTGGTGACCCCCGGCTCCATGAAGAGTCGCAAGGACCACGCTGCTCTCGCGGACAAGGTTGTCCACGCATTTAGATTCGCGCTCTCTGAACTCCTTTCGGAGCTGCTTCAGATCATCGTAGATCCCTCGTCTCTCGCGACCAGAGCGAGTCTTGCGAATACTAGCTTGCTTTTCATCAATCTCCTTCCGAACATCTTTGACAATACCCCCAGCATCAGATGTTTGAGTGAGGACCTCGAGCGAGTGCTCAAGCACAGAAGGAAGCAGACGAGCTGGATGGCCAATTCGAACAACAGGGACCTTCTTCGGAGCCAAGCGCTCGACAATATTATCAACAGAAACGTTGGACGGGCCACACACGAGAATGCGCTTCTTTCGCTGAACCATCTGCATAATCAGCTCAATCAAAGTATGTGTTTTTCCAGTGCCGGGTGGGCCATGAATGAGAGCGATGTCCTGCGACGCCAACGCAAACCGAATAGCATCCTTCTGAGAATCATTTAATGTCGGATCAATGAATTCAACAGGACCAGCTGCTTCTTCGTCTGGTCGTAGCGGGGTTGTCTGTCCAAAAGCAACACGCATGAAATGCGAGTAATCAGAATCCGTCATCTTGACAATCTTCTCCATCGTCTGCCTCATCCTGGTAGAAGTCAGTACCCAATACCCAGACACACAAGCATAAGTGATATTCAATCCCCCACATACCGTCTATAAGTAACATCATTGGCAAGCTTAATCCTGCAACAAAGTCAGCACCTCCACCCAAATCCGAGATCCAACCAAAAGATTCAGAACGCGAACATACGCCCACAACTTCTTCCCCCAAAGCTCCTCAACAGCCTCATCCTCCTCCTTCGACCTCCCCCCACCACCCTGCTGCCCAAAGGCAATCCAAACAGCCCGCTCACTGGTCCTAGTAACAACACCCTCCGGACCACCCTTCTCCCCCTTCCCATCCTTCTCCTTCTCCTTCCCACCATCTTTCCCATTCCACTTCTTCCCCCCAGCAGCAACATCATTCACCCTAACAACATCTCCAACACGCAATCCATGCGCCGAGAATCGAGGCGTCCCATCCGACGACCGAGACTCCTCAGAGGTAATTGCCGGGTCAGGTGTGAACTCGCCAACAACGCGGCCGCCCATACCGGTCCGGCATTGCGAGAGGACGAGCCCTGTTAGGGCGGAGCCTGTTGCTTGGAGGGTTCGTCTTGTTTGGGGAGAGACGGAGGCGGCTGTGCTGGCTAGCTTTGAGGTTGAGACTTCTGCTTCATGTTCGGAGAGGAGGAGGGCAAGTTGGGTTTCTGCGAAGTGGGGGATTGGGATTGGCGTTGGTGGCATTCTTTGGGTCGATTGTGTTGATGGTATCGTTGGGGGTTAGGGGTTTGTGGTTTGTGAGATTCGATTTGGGACTTTAATGAGTGATTGTCCCGAGTGTCGTGGTGGGTTATTGGTGGGAGGTGTTTTATGGTGGACGTGATGAGGGACGGGGATAGTGAAGCTTGGAGAGCTTATGTCCGATGATATCATTGGTGTTAGTCAGCTGTATACAATTTTTGTTTATATTGTTATTTTACTGTCTGGTGATGATCGATTTTTGTTGAAGAGGGTGAGTATAACTTCATTTGTCCAAAGTAGGCCTGGTAAACAAGAAAACAATGCTCGTATGTATTCCAGCAGAGTACAAAGGGAAGTTGTGGTCGATGTCTACACAACCCCAGGTGAAGTGGTAGTCATGACATCCTTGACAAAAATAACGACCATGAACATCAAAAGATACAACAACAGAGTAAATAAAGAATCTTCTTCTCCAAGCTCGAGCCACAGGCCCAAAGATTGATGAAAAAGCCCCCGAAGGGAGAGTGCCAAAAAATAAGCCGCCAACAGCCCGAAGACCATTGACCAAATGATCCACAACGGAATGAAGTGACCATTGTGGTGCCTGCCTTCATGATCGTAGACACCCAGCAGATCCTATGATGGAAGAAGAGAAAAGAAAAGACAAGAGAAAGACGAGCGAAGGAAGCGTATATATAGACGGAAAGGACGCTAGTCCGAATGAAGAAATTCAGGGCTGTAGACGGCATCAAACATATGATCAAATGGTAGCAGGGAAGGATGCACGTGGACAAAAATGATATGTTGGTATTGAAGAGTATGCTTATCACATCCACGTTTATCGTCAGGAAAGTGTTGCTTGATATGCCTCCCAGGTACATAAATTGTTTAAACAGCCTCAATCTTAACCTTCGGCTCATCCCCATCCTCCCTCTTAGCCCCAACCGTAGGAATAGATCCCTTGACCTCACTCATGCAAAGACCCTTCCCAAACAGATAGCAGTCACCACACCTACGCTTAACAGGCAAACAAACCGTCTGCCCAAGCCCAACAAGCAATTTGTTAATCTCATGCCACTTCTCATGCGGCAACCAAGACTGCAACGCCATTCTCGTCTCCTCGGGCGTTTTCGTCTTATTCCACCCCCAAAGATTGGTGATGCGGTGGACATGCACGTCAACACCTATACCCTCGTGTTTGCCCCACGCAGCACTGAGACACAGGTAAGCCATCTTGGGGCCGACGCCGGGGAGGGCCATGAGCCCTTCCGGTGTTGATGGGATATCGCCGTCGTGGTTGTCGCGGAGGAGGAGGGCAGTTGCTTTGATGTACTTTGTCTTGTTGTTGTGGAAGCCCACTGTGCGGATTAGTTCGTTTAGTCTTTCTGGCGAGACCGCAAGGATGTTGGTTAGTTTTAGTGTGCTGTCTTTTGCTGATGTTGATAGTTGTTTTGTGTCTGTGGTTGTGTCGGCGTTGTCTTCGAGTTTGATCTTGACTTCTTCTTCCGCTTCTTCCTCCTTCAATTCTGGACAGGTAGCATCCGACTCCGGCCCCAGCTCTGTGTGTAGTCGTTGCATCGCAACCGCAGTAACAGTATCCTTCGTTTGAGAGGACAGCATCAGCGCAATGAGAGTCTGGAATCGACGGTCCTGCGGCGCGGACGCGCGCCAGTATAACTCCGCGCAACCCATCGTATCGACCGGCGCAGTGGGGTTATCCTCTCTCATCTTCTTAACGGTATCATACATTATCTCCCAATTGGACGGTGGCTCAACCTTGACCGAACCATCGGCATCTCGAATTTTCCTAGCCGGCATTCGTCGCGCTTTCGGTTTCGGCACGGGTTTCTGATCAGGCTCATCCTTTATAGCAGCCTTGCGAGATGTCCGAGGACTCTTCTTTATAACCCGTGCGGTGTCAGGGCTTGTATTGCGCTTCCGACGTTTCGAAGGCGGTTCAAGGAGGTCTTCGATATCCGCTGTATCAACCGAGGAGAGGGAAGATTCATCGTCACTGCGAGCGACAGAGAGACTAGGCGGGCCGGACGTAGATTCGGACTTGACGGAAGGGATAGTAGGCGCATTGGCAGTCGGATTGCCATTGTAGGCAAAAGCGCTCAAGGCACTGACATTTCGGTCAGAAGCACGCGTCTGGCGTCGCGCAGGGGGCGAAAGGGCTTGTAGGACTTTCGCCGTATCCTTAGAAGCACGAGAAGTGCGCATTGTCAAAAACAAAGAAAGACGAGAGAATGATGGGAATGACAGAGAAGCGATGATCGAGGGTAATTCACATGGAGTGGATTAGCAATTGGGGAACCCCAGCCTCGGCCGCAGACCGGCTCAACTCCAACTCCGGTCTTCTCTCAGTCTTGACTCTACACTCCTCATACAGACCTGTCCATTCACCATGTCAGGGCCATCGAGTAACACGACACAACGACTCATTCGCGAGTTGAAGGATTACAGCAAATCCCCCAACGAGGCGCTTCTCCACCTCGGCCCTGTCGATGATGAGGACTTACTACGCTGGGAAGCCGTGTTGAAGGGTGTCAATGGGACGCCGTATGAAGGTGAGTCGCATTCGATCTTCAATCCTCAACCTGTCCCCAAGTCCTACTCGCTATCGATTGCCATATTTCATTCCATTCCACCCCCTCTCCTCTCCCGACCGCAACTCGCGCCTCAACTAACAAACGTCAGATGGGCTCTGGCACCTCCGAATCTCAATTCCACCAAACTATCCCCTCTCCCCACCGACAATCCACTTCACGACACGCATATCGCACCCAAACATCTCATTCAGCACGGGCGAGATTTGCCTGACGCTCTTGACGACGGAGCATTGGAGTCCGGTGTATACACTTTCGACGACGTTGACAGCGATCCAGCAATTATTGACGGACCCACAACCTGATTCGCCGTTGAATGTTGATGTTGCTGCTTTGTTGAGGGATGGGGATCTTGCAGCTTGGGAGAGTGTTGTGAGATATTGGACTGGGGAGGAGAGGTGGAAGGGGGCTGGCAATCTTGGACGGTGATGATATCTATGGGGTTGATGGGGATTTGATTATATTATGGATGATGTGATTTCTTGTTCTTTCTTGTTTGTTGGCTTCCTCTTGGTTGGATTGATTGCGCATACCATACCCCTCTGCACATTCCGATCATCTACATCTTATATACTTCCGATGTTTCACCTATACATCTATAACTACAGGGATAATATACTGAAGCACTTTTCGCATTATCTTCAGTGAAGATGGCTAAAGACTAGTCACATGAAATATTAGCGTGTGCTGTTCGCTGTAAATGTCCCACATCAGGAACCAGATGCCCCATGGCTGAAATTGACGCCGCCCATTGAAAACGCTTGTAAAAAAGGTAAAGGAGAGACGTGGTAAGTCGTAACGGGTCGTGCTAATGAATGGTTGGATGACAATTGTCATAAGAAATGCAGAGCCGATGCGATGTTGCTGAAGAACGCCGGTGAAATGAATAAAAGATGCAAATGGCGCAATAAGTTCAAATAAGGACAATTACAGGACCATGGCGACCATGATGGCACCACCGATGATTGTGATCATCTCACGAGTCAGACCGGCGGACAGGGAGGCACCACCGGTCTGCAGACCAGGGCGGCCGGTGCTGCCGCTGCCTTCTGAGGAACCGGTTGCAGTAGGGTGGATGACGGTGATGGAGGTGATGGTGCTCACACTTCCATTGGGCATGGTAGTGGTGCTCTTGTAGGTGGAGGTGTAAGAGCTGGTGTTCTGGGTAGTGTGAGTGGTGGTGGTACCATGGCTGGTAGTGGTGGAAGAAGAGCTGGAGCTGGACGAAGTGCTGGTGGCAGTCGTCAGAGTGGATGGAACACTGGTAGTGGTCGAGTGGGTAGTGCTGGAGCTGGAGCTGGCCGATGTGGTTGGCTCAGCAGTGGTAGTCGGCTCAGCAGTGGTGGTGTCGCTGGAGGACGAATGAGTAGTGCTGGAGCTGGAGCTGGCCGATGTGGTTGGCTCAGCAGTGGTGGTAGGCTCAGCACTAGTGGTGGGCGCGGCGCTGGTAATGTTGTCGGCACTAGTAGTGGGCTCAGCGGTAGAAGCCGAAGTGGTGGGGTTGGCCTCCGAAGTGGTGGGCTCGACTGCCTGGCTGGTGGTCACAGCAGCAACAGAGGTGGTAGTGTCAGGACTGGCAGTAGTATTGGCCTGACGCTTGGCAAGACGGATCAGAGTGGCAATGGCAGGTTCTTCGTCTTGAAGCGCCTCAGCGGCATGGAAGTCAGTCGGGAAAATTCCATGGCGAAACTTGGCGGAGAGAGCATGCAGAGCATCGTGGAACGAGGTGGCCTTGATGTCGGCAAGCGCTTCCTGGAGGGACTCACGAGGAGTGACGTCCTCGAGCTGGTCAGCTGCAAAAACAGCAGACAGGACGAGCAGCGTCACGAAGAAGAATTGCAAAAAGTTGAAGCGCAACATGACTGATAAGCAGATTGGAGATTTAGAGATTGGGTGGCGATGAGATGGGAGAGATGAAGACAGGAAGAGAAAAGAAGAGAAGAAGAGAAGAAGAGAAGAGAAGAGAGGTGAAAAGATAAACAAAGATTTGAAGTCCCGATTAAGCAGGAACGAAAACTGAGGAGCAAAATGATGCGCCTTGATTTCTTGTTTTCGGCTTTTTCACTAGTGATAAACACTTAGCGTTCGGAGTGGGCTTTTTTAGCTTCCATGGAACTTCTGTTGAGTTGTCTCGGATCGACCGATTCTATTGTCACTTGGCACACCGTTGACACACAACTATTCAACTGATATTGCATGTACCCCCCGAGTAAGTGCATAATAAGGCGTTACATGCAGCCTGTTGCGCAGAAAACCTTGAGGCAACTGTTCGTCGTATCGGGGATCCACAAGCCCCATTGGCCTGGTCTCACTGAAAATAGCACAAGAATAGAAATAGAAGTCATGTCGTCAACTATTGATTTGATTGACTTTTTAAGGGGCTTGACTCAATTATGTCCTCGGAACTATGTATGGCTATCTTCATTAATGTACAAAAGTTACTCGCGCTTCGTACCGATGCCGAATCGGGTTCCCCTATTGTGGGCTCAAGTATACGAATAACAATAACCGGCTCTGGTCGGGTTCATAGCATCACGAACCGATCGCGGCTGATCAAGAACTCCAAACTCCATGTTCGTATCCAGAGTTACCGGAATCCCATCGGGCGGGTTGAGGATGGTACTAGTGCCATTTAGAGCGAACCTGCGATGCCGTTCATCCCGAGCCTGCCATTGACCCCACAATCGATCGATCATGCCATGATGCAACATGAAAGCCGGATCCTGCGGCGAAGCGAAAAGATCTTGCAGCGATGAGCCCAGACTGAAATGGCCGCCGCCATGGACGCCAAGAACTCCTTCGGCGTTGGCGGGCCAGTGGTCCATCACAGTCTGGAAGTCAATGATATCGGTCGAGGCGAGCAGTCTATCGACGATAGTCTCATTGTTGTAGTTGGTACTTACGAAGTTGTTCAGACTTCTGTTGAAGCATCGGGGGTTGTACTCGAAGCCTGGAGCTGGGATTTCGGTGAACGAGGCTATATTCCGTGAAAAGGGTCCCAGGTGGAGTTCCATGTTTTTGAAGGGCCCGCAGCGGACACAGCCGCCGCCGCTGCCCCTTGGTAGGGTTACGCTGCCGCCTTGGATGCTTTGTTCGTCGGGGTTGTATTCGCCGTCGCCAGAGAGGGAGCTGTCGCTGCAGTCGAAGAGGGGACTGGCAGCGAGATTGTCAGCCCAATAGGGCCAGTTCCAGTAACTGGTGCTGTTAGCTTGGCTGGGTTGGATGGACGGAGTGACCTACGGGAGTTGTCCATTGTATCCGCATTCGTCTTGTAGCGCGGTCTCCCAGAGCCAGAGGAAGTGTCGGTGCCATGGCAGAAACAAACCGCTGTAATGGACATTGAGGGTGTAGTTGATATGAGTTCTAGATCATGTCAGTACGCAAGGGGGAAGTATAAAGTCGGGCTAACATACGCCACAAAATCGTCGAACCGATTCCGAACCCCGGGGAACTCCTCTCTCGGGAGATGCTGAGGCTGCGTTTGCATACACAGCACGGCGTCTGTATACTCAATTCGCTCGGCAGGAGTCAACTCGCCCCTATTCGATGTCAGAAACCCCGTAATGACACATGAAAATCTAGCTAAACAAACCATTCTTTCCGGGAAGCTTGAATATTCGGACCACACCACTCAAACCCAAGATCCGGCAATACAGAAGCACCAACAGATCCCGCCCCAAGAGCCAAAAGCAAAGAAGAAAAAGCAACCATACTTTCAAATCGTCAATTGACAATCCCACAACCCAAAACCAATCTCTGAAATCTTCCAGCCTACAGCATTACATTTCCAGGCCCAACCCAACCTTTATAGTCCCCGACCCCCGGACCCAAAAACACAAAAAAACCTGCGTATCCCTTGTATGATCTGTAAGTAAATGGATACAAACCCAAGGTTCAAGCATCGATCCCACCAACCCAAAGCCAGAAGATCACCGGAAACCAGGAACAATACGAACCAAGTGGGCTCTGGTCCTGTGCGGGTGTGAGCTGTCACCACGCAGGGATCGTAGTGGCGTGAACTATAAATGTCCGGTATGCAGCAACAGGGATCTAATGCTCGATAGTGGAAATTCTAAACAATTGCCCTGCTGTTGATTGGGAGTGCGATTTTCGTTTTATTTGTCGTGAAGTCTGGCCCTGGACTTCTTGTGCAGTAACGGTCTTGGCTTGGATGCATTAGGGTGTTAAGCTACGTGCTTGGCGGCATTTTGGTCAGGGGTTGGTGTGTGATTGGGGTTTCATTTGGTATGTTTCTACTTGGTGATAGAAGTATTGCAATTGATTAACATATCAAATATTGCACGTGCGGGAGAATACTGGTTTGTATTTGAATGAGTGTCGGATGATCTATGTGTTGAGTGATAGGCGCTGTAGGATGAGATTTTCAGGGTAGACATTGTCAAAATCATTATTTACACCTAGTTCTCGACCTCTGATTTGCTCTCGTCCTTAATATTTTTGGTAATTGCAGTGTGTCTCGTACGAAGGTTCAATTGATCTCATGAAGTTGTACCAAGTGACCAATGGTATCATCTGGGATCTGAAGCATTTTCCCCTGGATACAACTACCTGTGCGTATTCACAGCAGTTTAGACACTAAATACTTTTTTTTTCAGGTGAAGCATTCTTGTCGGGATATTTTTTGTCAAACCCTGTCATTCCCCACTGTTATGATCGATATTCTTGGTTGGACTGAAACACACATGGTTTTACTGTACCTCTTATGCATGTAATTTATACCAAGTCATACCTGAGTGCCACACGACAGATATCGCGACCTACTGGTAAGCAGGTGTTCACGCTTAGATGAACACCGTAGAATGCGTAAAGTGACCTTCTCATGCCAAAGCTAGTACGACAACAATAAGAAGAGGTTCAATTGTGAATTAATAGGCGAGAGAAAGATGAGCACATGCCACGAAAGTCAACAAGAACATCATGCGCCTCTAGCATGGATATGAATGCACCGAGGGTCATACTTAGTGCGCAACGTGTGATGAACAACGCCAGGAAGGGAATCACAAAAGAACGCCTGTAGCCCCTCCAAGACCAAGAGCAAACCCCAACAAAATTGAAAATCAATTCCACTTTCTCTCATAAATACCAACCCACTCACCCCATCCGACAACCTTCCCATCGATCTCCCGTGCCATCTCCTCGACTGTAGGCAGCAAACTCAACCTGCCAGGATCGACTGGCTCGGCAAGAGCGACCAGGGTGAAAAAGTACCGATGGGGTCCATGGCCGAGCAATGGCCGAGGTGGGATATAGACATTTCCCCTGCGATTCTTTCCATACCGGAATCCGCCTTTTAGAGTCCCTTCTTCTGTGGTAGCCTCGATATCATGGACGGAAATTGTTGTCGTCATTGCGGGGATTCCATAGTAAATACCGTGGATGATTGGATTAGGCAATGGCGCATCAGGATCCTCGTTGATGAGGAGATACTGTTTAATCTCGGGTGATGCCGTTGGCCAGTTCAGCGTCGGGAAACGACCCGCTCCGTCTGCCGAGTGCTCCACGTCAAGGTGCGACCCTGATGGGCCTACTTCTTCACATTCGACAAGGATTGTTGGTCTGGGGAATTTAGTAAATGCTGGGCCTTTGGAAAAGAGTTTGACATCGCGGCCTTTGGCGTTGGCGAAGAGCCAACTTAGGCTGTATTCAATGTAGCTCATCATCTTGGTCGGGATTAGTTGGTCGATATAACTAACTATCTACGCTTTTTCGATGCTTACCTTTGAGATGTAGGTTTCAAGAATGGGTGTTAAGAATAGTTTATAAGCAAAAGACAAGAAAATGTGAGGCGACAAGTGTGCCTTCATATTGATTGCATTCGTCCCGTTTCCGGCCCGTTAACGGGATTGTCTTCGTCACTGACTATGCTTTGCTCACATTCGGCTTATACTTCGATTCATGCATAGATGTATACTCATCATCCGATCGACGATCACAGGTCAAAAATTCCCGAAGTTTTCGGCGTTCACATGGATGGAACCGGTAGCCGAGCCACAGCCACTGCGGGGGCAGCTGAGCAGATTCTGGGGAAAATATAAATCGCCAGACCCTGCAGAATCTGCCCTCAGATCTGATCTCCGATCCAAGCTCTTACGTCTCGAATTTGAGGCCAACCATATCTGCAGTCCGCCATGGAGACACCCCACTCTTCAATGGACCAGTTGCTGCCACAAGCCTCGGCTTTCTGGGTCCACATTGTGAACAGCTACTCGCCCCAGAAAATCGAGTTCGTGGGCACACTGTTGGTCCAAGTCTTAGCATTCTGGATACCATCCCTGTGCTACCTATTCCTGGACGTAATTGCGCCGTCCTTCTCAGAGCGTCACAAGATCCAACCGGCGCCCAAGCAACCGACACGGCGCGAGATACTTCGCTGCTTCCGCGTTGTGGCACAGAACCAAATCTTATCTTCTGTGCTCCATATAGGACTACTATACGTATCCAGCCAAGCTGGCACAACGTCCTCGTACCGTGTCGAAGCAACATTTCCAAGCACACTTGAGCTCGCGCGCGACGTCGTCCTCAGCCTGTTAATGCGCGAGGCGTTGTTCTATTACAGCCATCGACTGCTACATATCCCATACCTCTACGTTCGCATCCACAAGAAGCATCACCGTTTCACGGCACCCATCGCCCTCGCGGCTCAATTTGCGCACCCGCTCGAACAAATCTTCGCCAATGCATTGCCCATCTCCCTACCACCACAATTGCTCCACAGCCATATCCTGACATTTTGGATATTCCTAGCATGGGAGCTCTTCAATACCGTCACCGTACACAGTGGGTACGATTTCTTTCACAACAAAGCCAAGATGCACGACCTGCACCACGAGAAGTTCAATTTAAACTACGGGTCCGTAGGACTCCTGGACTGGGCACATGGAACAAATAAATTGGAGAAGCGACGCACTGATTAAGATGAGGCATCGATTGGCCCGATATTTCATTCGGAGAACTACCCAAGCCTTTGTATATAGTCTAAAGAAGACGTGGATGCTTATTTCGCTGTTCTGTCCGATTACCCTGCCGATATTCCCCGTAGCATTTGGAGCAGCTTACCCTACAGATGCGGGGATACACTACAAAAATCATGCACAGACGGGCCTATAGCTTATCTCCAGCCCTGGAGATGTGAAGAGTTCTCTAATTCGTGACTCCATCCCTGCTTATCGTCTCCAAATGACCCCAACGATGATAAGTTTATCATTTGGGGTAACCTGCTATCACGGCGATCACATCCAAATGAATGAGGAGGAGTATACAACTTGCTCCTTCTCACTTCGATAAGAGACTATATAAACAATGGCACAAAACAACACCCCTGCCGATTTGACCCCGACAGAACACTCCCTCACCAACCACACAGCCAACCCAAAAGGGAAACAACAACAAAATGGGCTCCGAACTCCAAGTCCTCCCCGCGGGAGCAGGCTATGGCATAGTAATAGGAATAGGCGGAATCTTCGCCCTATTCATGCTAGGCCTAACCTGGCTGCAGAACAGATATACAACCTTTTCAACCCACTCCGCAGAAGAATTCAACACAGCCTCACGCTCCGTTAAACCAGGCCTAATAAGCGCAGGCATCGTTTCCTCCTGGACATGGTCCGCAACACTCCTGACCAGCTCGACATTCGCCTACAACTACGGCGTCTGCGGCCCGATGTGGTACGGCGCCATGGGCACGCTGCAAATCCTCATGTTCGGGCTCATCGCTATCAAAATTAAATCCAAGGCGCCTGGCGCTCATACCATGCCTGAGATTGTTTTGGCTAGACATGGGAAGGTTGCGCATGTTACGTATCTTTATCATGGGCTTGCGACTAATATGCTTGTTGGGGCTTGCCTTGTTCTTGGTGGGGCGCAGGTTGTTGATGCGCTTACTGGGATGAATGTTTATGCTGCTACTTTTTTGATTCCTGCGGTTGTTGCTGCTTATGTTATTGCTGGTGGGTTGAGGTCTACTTTTATTGCGGATTATACGCATACTGTTATTCTGTTCGTGGCTATTTTGGTTTTTGGGTTTTTGACTATTACGACCAGTGATCTTGTTGGGAGTCCGGCGAAGTTGTATGAGTTGTTGCAGGAGGCGTCGGAGAAGATGCCTATTGATCGCAATGTTGGGGGTTCTTATTTGACTTTTCGCTCTGTTGGCGGGTTGATTTTTGCTTTTGATCTTTTTGTTTCGAGTTTTACTACTGTTTGGCTTGATCAGGCTTATTGGCAGCGGGCTATTGCTTCCAAGCCAGAGACTTCAGTCAAGGCTTATATCTTTGGTGGACTTGCTTGGTACGGTGTGTTGCTTCTAGAACTATCTCAGATGGGTATAGGCAAGTTATGCTGACATGTGAGGGTTTAGGAATTCCCTTCGGCTTTGCGACGATTATGGGCCTTGGATGCGCTGCTCTCACTGGCGATCCTCGTTTCCCAACTTATCCAAACGCATTAACAACCGCCCAAGTCGAATCAGGACTCTCGGCACCGGCAACAGCAATTGCATTGCTGGGCAAGGGAGGGGCAGTCTTGATGCTAATCCTCCTCTTCATGGCCGTCACCAGCTCTACATCCGCCGAGTTGATTGCCGTCTCTTCTCTCTTGACATTCGACGTCTACAAAACCTACTTCCGCCCCAACACTAGCTCCGAGGCACTAGTCCGAGTCAGCCATTGGGGGATCGTGCTCTACGCCATCGTCCTGGCCGTATTCTGCTGCATCCTCAACGCAGCCGGCATCAGCTTAACATGGGTCCTCACCGTTCTGGGAGTGATAGTCGGTGGCGCGGCATTGCCCGTCGGAATGATTCTACTCTGGGAACCAATGTCAACGGTCGCAGCCGTCGCAGCACCATGGATTGGATTCATCTGCGGTATTACAGTGTGGTTCGTGACAGCCTATAAACGGTCAGGGACAATTAATGTCGCGACGACGGGTGACACGACAAACGCTCTAGCCGGGAATCTGGCTTCGTTTGGTGTTGGATTTATCATGGCCGTGGTCCTGACATTTGCATTCCCCGGAAAACACGCCGATCCAAATGCTCAAGCTCTTGCTGGTGTTGCGGTCCCTGTTAAGGAAGAAAATCCTTCATCTGAAACTGGCGCTGGACAGGCTGCAGACAAAGATCAAACACCCTCGATCGATGAAAAGATGACCCCACCTCCGATCTCGAGCGAGGTTGTCTCACCTGCTCCGGCCACTAGGAATGAGCTTGTCGACTATCTCGAGTCTCATGACGTGGAACCAATGGATCCCGTTCTTGTCAAGCGAGGCGAACGAATCGCGTTGACTGCTAACGGAGTGTTCTTCTTCGGCGCGGTGATATTAGTACCGTTTGCATTGTTTGGCAGCAGTTACATTTATAGCAAGTCATTTTTTACTGGCTGGGTTGTTGTTTCCTTCATCTGGATCTGGATGAGTGTCTTAATTTGTGTTGTGTGGCCCGTTGTCGAGAGTTGGGGGGCATTGCATGGGATTTCATCGGGCTTATGGATGGATTTCAAGTCATTGCTGGGATATCGCAAAAAGATGGGAAGTACTGAAACAGTATGAGGCCATTTCAAGGGGATCTCTCGTGATCGTCGTCTGTCGATCTGGTTGAAGTTTCCATATGGAGAGTTGGGCCCTTATTCTGATTTTCATACTTGTAACATGTGCAGTCAGTCAATGCTCTAATGTCAATTTTATTAATATTTTGATGCATTCCCATGGTTTCAGAAACACTTTGAATCAAACAGACACATGTGATTGGGTACATTTGTGAGGCGCCTGTCTCAGCCTAAGTATAGAAAAAGTGAGCCGAGAGTGTGGTGGAGCATAACACAGTATTTCAGCCAATGGAGGATATCAATTCACCCCGGGATTCTAGAATCTGACTGGCCCTGAGACCCCTATGAAGACCCCTAAGTGGGATCGGCCGATTTATCCCCTGCCCAGAAAGGGGCGCGTCATCGCCAAGCGAGGATCCACTGGGATAGGCAGAAGGGTTTGTTTATTGTTGATTGTTTACTTGAGAGTAGGCATTGAGAGATATGTGTATGTGTATGTGAGTATGGTGCACCCTGTAGCTACGTGTGGGTTACAGTGAAGTATAACTGTAAACAATTAAGCTAAACACTGTACGCTGAGGCCTAAGACCAGCCACAATAACCACTATGGACCCCCCTAAACATTTCAGGGTAAAAACCCCCACAACAAGACTCCACAGCACCCTTGCAGTCTGATCGTCGCGGGATGAAGCGGCGAGAGCCAATAACTTGGCGTAGCACAGCCCAGTGACCCTGCGAGGTACCCTTGGCCTGGCGTATAACCCCTTCATCCCTACGTTCCTGAGGTCTTTTCTTCTTCCACTCTCGTTTGCACGTCTGTCATTCATTACTCTCTTTAATCCAATCTTCCTGACTCTCGTTTATACCAACTGAATATTCACTTTTCGTTTATTTTTTTTTTTCCAGATTTCCAACGACATCATGAAGGCTTCCGTCGCCTCCGTGGCTACTGCCCTTACAGTGGGCGCGTCCACCGTTCTCGGTGCCGCGACCAACATGAACATGAAGCGCGATAGCGACATCACTCCCATCACTGTGAAGGGTAATGCCTTCTTCAAGGGTGATGACCGCTTCTACATTCGTGGTGTTGACTACCAGCCCGGTGGTTCCTCCGACCTTGCCGACCCCATCGCCGATGCCGAAGGTTGCAAGCGTGATATTAAGAACTTCAAGGACCTCGGTCTGAACACCATCCGTGTCTACTCCGTCGACAACTCCGAGGACCACGACGAGTGCATGAACGCTCTCGCCGAGGCTGGTATCTACCTGGTTCTGGATGTCAACACCCCCAAGTACTCTCTGAACCGTGCTGAGCCCAAGCAATCCTACAACGATGTCTACCTGCAGTACATCTTCGCTACCGTCGAGAAGTTCGCCAAGTACGACAACACCTTGGCCTTCTTTTCCGGTAACGAGGTCATCAACGACGGCCCCTCCTCCAAGGCCGCTCCTTATGTCAAGGCCGTCACTCGTGACATGCGTACCTTCCTCCGCGCCCGCAAGCTCCGTGAGGTCCCTGTCGGCTACTCCGCCGCCGATGTCGACACCAACCGTCTCGAGATGGCCGAGTACATGAACTGCGGTACCGAGGACGAGCGCTCTGACTTCTTCGCTTTCAATGACTACTCCTGGTGTGACCCTTCCTCCTTCACCACCTCCGGCTGGGACCAGAAGGTCAAGAACTTCACCAGCTACGGTCTCCCCCTCTTCCTCTCCGAGTACGGCTGCAACACCAACACCCGCAAGTTTGAGGAAGTCGAGGCCCTTTACTCCGAGAAGATGACCGGCGTCTACTCCGGTGGTCTCGTCTACGAGTACACCGAGGCCGGCAACAAGTACGGACTCGTCAAGATTTCCGGTGACAACGTTAAGACCCTTGACGACTACGATGCTCTCAAGAAGGCCTTCGACAAGACAGACAACCCCTCCGGCGATGGCAAGTACAACTCCACCGGTGGTGCCTCCGGCTGCCCCGTCAAGAATGCCCCCAACTGGGATGTCGACACCGACGCCCTCCCCGCCATGCCCTCCCCCGCCAAGAAGTACCTGACCGAGGGTGCTGGCAAGGGCGAAGGCTTCAGCGGCAAGGGTTCCCAGAACGCCGGCACTGCCTCCTCCGGCACTGCCAGCCCCGGCTCCGGCTCTGTCGCTTCTGCCACCGCCGGTGGTAGCGCCTCCAGCTCCACCAGCTCCGAGGGTGCCGCCGCCAACCTGAAACCCATGCAGATGACCTTCGCCCCCGTCGCTGTCGGCGCTGTGACTGTCTTGTCGACTCTGTTCGGCGCTGGCTTCCTTTTCCTGTAATGCTTCTTTGCCCGTGTTCTGGGTTTCTTCATCTTCACTTAACTTGCTTGACTTGTATCTTTATTTTTGGTTATTTCTTTTTGCCCGTGAGGTGACCCCTCGTGTGTGCCTGGCAACTTTTGGGACGGCGAGATCATTTATTTTGGTGTATAGCAGGCCTTCATATCTACGCCTAGTGTTCAATGGGACATAAACTGCTTTTCGCTGGGTTTATTGTAAACGACTATATGTTGATGGTTTGACTAGAATATACAGATGTCTATCAAGTATTATCATGCCGTTACATCAATGTTCCTTTGCTCTCCTTTCACCATATAATTAGGGCATCGTGAAAAGGACCCTCGTCCTTTGCATTGGGACTACTCTTGAACTACACGTTATTCTGACTGGAGTACGAGGTAGACTTGTGCTTGTCCCTTGTATAGAATTGCTATGATTTAATCGTCAAACGAAACTGTCAATTGGTTTTTTTAAGGATATATATGTGTTCGAAATAGCTGAAGTATCAGTAGCAATTTACAGACAGCGGTGCAACAAAAAATATATATAACAGAAATATAACCAGGTACTTACCAAAGAACAAACCCTTGCAGTGAACAAAGTCCACTACAAGGACTTCCTGTGAGGCTTGGGAGAACGAATCCGCGAATGAACCCTAGAGTGGGAATAACCGCGAGGCGCGTTAGGACGAGTCCGCAGATGATACCTAGAGTGAGGCCTCAAAACCTCAATATCAAACCTCATATAGAAAAGCCCACAAACTTGCCAAATAAGAATCCGGGTAATACGACGCGTGCCTCGATCCCAAGCTCCAAGCACAAGTGCCCCAACAGCACTCCCCCAGGTAACACCCATGATCTCGTTATACTCATCAGTACCGTAGTCTAAAGTGATAACATCCTCACTCTGCCGCGAACGACCAAGACGAGGATAAATCACCTCCAGGATATGATTCAATGTCTGGCTGTTCACGCAGTTGCAAATATATATATGTCTCAGAGTATCGATATCATATCCACGGCGGTACTGAGCCAACGCAATCTCAGACCAATGGTGCGTGTCACTCTCTGGATCGCGGTGGGCCATTTCGGTGAAAATAACGCCCGGGCCCATCGAGTGCATATGCATATTGATCCCTTCAGTGTTCCGACAGGATATGCTTTCTGAGAGATAGTCCTGGTCGCCCATTGGGAGACCGGCAGGTCGAACCTCGGGCTTGCTCCTCACGCACAGGTGGGCACCTCCCCTTCTTGCGCTCTTTGTCACCCATCGCTCTATTGAAGAAGATGGGTTCACGAGATCGTTCCATGAAACGTCGGATTTCTTGACCTTACATGGGGCTTTGCAGTCCGCATCATTTGCCTTATCTATCCATTGTGAGTAGTTAGCTCCCTTCTGGCGGTATTTGGCAGATTGAGCAGCATTGTCTTCTGAGCTTGGGCCCTGACGTCTTGGGTGCAGGTTTCCCAAAGCTCCAGGGCCTCCGAATGTGAATCCTGGGAGATTGGGAGTTCCGCGAAGTCCTCGGTAGCTTCGTCGAGGTGATCTGGCTGGTGATTGTGCTTCTTCTACGGTGCTTAATGGCTTAGGTACCGGGCAACGGCGTCCTTGCCGTTTGTGAATGGGAGATCCAGATGTTTCAAGGACGTTGGGGGCGGGTGATCTGCTTGTGCTAGGCCTTCGGCCTTGACGGCGACCACGGTGGGGAGATCCGGGACTTCCATTTGGGCTAGAGCTGTGTGATCTTCTTGCAGGATGAGCGCCTCGTCCGCGCTGAAGGCTGGATGGCAGTGTCGGCTTTTCCAACAAGTTATTGATCCATTCCTCGGTAAATCTACTGGAGTCATGTCGAGAGCGACTGCGGTGTTCACGCTCTTCACTAGAATGGAGCTCGCTTGAAGAGTTACTAGAAGACTCATTTGAGCTAGAACGGTCAGCAATCGCAGTATGCGCAGAGGGGGCAGTAAGTGCAGATTGTTTCGCAACAGGGTCAAGCTCAGGATCTGTACAAGGATTTACAACTTCAAAACGTTCAATAGGTCGTGAGATCTTCCGCCCATACTCAGGCCGAGCAGATATGGCATTTTCTATTTGCGATGAAGTCAGAGAGCTGCGACGTGCACGTTGCTTGCGAATAGGGGATCTAGATTCCTTCTTTGGACGGGCTGTGTTTGATCGCTCTTGAGTAAGGCGTGTAGGCCGGCGTCTGGGATGTCTCTGTGATGAAGTCATAGGAGCTGCCTCTGGGGGAGAAGTTTCCGGGGTTCCAGGTAGAATATCCGGGTGAATTACAGGGAAATCCTCGGTTCCAGAAAGCTGTGGGATCTCTGCGTTGAGTCCCCGCCTGGAGGTCCATCCGTAATTAATAGGTCCAGTCATGTTCATGTTCGATACACCGCGTCTAATGCCCCGAGTAGTCGAAGCCAGTGATTCGAATTCGGAGGTTGCTTCAGAAGCTAGTTCTTGGGGAGGAGTTACCGGAGCTTCAGGTAGAACCTCTGGGTCAACGAAAGGAACATCACCCCCTATAGCATGATGTGGGATAGTTGTGTTCAGTTCTTGGTCAGAAATATCAGGTTGAAGCAATGGCTGCTGAACGGCAGGATCATCTTTAGTAGGCTGGGGGGTATCTATGCTGGGTCCTTGATTAGCAGGCTCAGGTTGAGGCAATGGATGTTGAGTGGTAAGTTCAGTATCTTGTCGTCCGGTATAAACCTGGTTCTGATTGCCGTTGCGGCCCTGGCGTCTGGATTCTCTTCTACGACGACGACGATCGGGGTCAAGACAGGGAAAAGCCCGCTTGCTCTTTCGTCGAATGAATTGCATGGTTGCAAGTGTTGAAGAATAAGTTGGAAGTTGAAGTGTATAGTGAAGAAATTTAAAGGGTCTGAAGGTAGAATAATACTTGGAGACACGAATGGCTTTATACTTTCGAAAGAAGGCCTCAGTATATCGTCGACAGAGTGCAGTGTGAATATACAAAGGAAACCACAGAAGATAGACCGTGGTTAGACTGTAGCAAACAATGGGACAAAACTACCATCTGGGATTTGTAGTGTAGCGGAAAATAAAGATAGATTGCGAAAGCAGCCTTGACAGGCACGATAGGAATAGAGTTGTAGTAGGCAAAGAAACAGATCTTAGGATGAAGATGGTAATAGATCTATCAATGACTTGCAGAAAAGAAAATCGAGGCACTACAGCAATGCAAATGTGAGAACAAAGCAAACCGAAGCCAATGAAAAAATTGCTTAACATAAAACAAAGGACTGTATATATCAGTCCCAAAATAACCAGTCTCGAGGCAAGGGTCAGACACGGTCAGACACAAAGCAATATAGCCATGAACAAAGCAACGAAACTAGCTCGACCAAATAATGGTCTCGAACAACAAAGATCTAACCCCAGTGAGTAACGTGATTAGACAATGCCCTTTTCTCCTCCATGTTGGACCAGGTGGTATGTCCCTTGCGCCGAATACAATACTTGCATTCACTGGTACGAGGTGACAATGGCCCACTGATGGAAGAGACACCTCGTACTTTATGACAATAGTCACAGTAATAAGCATAACAACCGCCCAGTCTTATACATAGACCACCGGTTATTGGATCGCCGATCAGCACGTATCCATGCTCCATCCCGACGGTGAATTTCAAGTTGTCGGAATTGATCGGCTGTATTAGCTGCCGCAAAGGAAAGAACAGACAGTTCGAAGTCTAGATCGCATGTGGTTTGAACCTGGTCTGCTGTGAGGGTTTCATTTGCCGCTTGTGTTTCCAGGTGGCCGAGAGTATGGACCAAATAGTCATATTTGTGTTGACGCAATTCGTCTTTGTACAATACCCTTTCTTGTTCTTTGATCAGCTCCTTTTGCTGCTGTCTGTCATCTTCAGTCGTTGATATCTTGGCAACAATGTTAAGCAACCAGGCTAACCAAGTCAAGTTCAGATCGTCGCAGTCGTCTTCTAGTTCTGCGCAGACACAGATAACCAGTGTCAAGAGACGTGGGGTGAATAGTTGAATGAATCTGTCTACGATGACGACAGCGACGTGGAGGAGGACGAATTGGATTGCGAATAGTAATACCACGGACCAGATGATACAACTGGTAGATTGGACAACTTCATCGTCGCCTATGCATTCCCTGGGCGATATACCGAGACCGTAGGAGGTAAGGTCGTTGAAGGTAGCCATGTTGGGCTGAGAAGTAATTGTTCACTTGAAGTTTGTAGCAGAAGCTGAAGGGAAGAAGGAGCATCAAATGTACTATAAGCTGTGGTGACTCAAGGTTCCAATATCTAAATCGGGAAACAAACCCTATATTGATACCAACCTTGGGAGTACAGAAGTTTGTTTAGAATTTACCGGCAAAGGATGACGACATGTTCTGGGCCACCCAGTTTGTAGTGAAAAGGAACTATGAAGCACAGAGCAAAGATCAAATTATGCGCAATACAATAAACAGCACTCGTTTAGAGAAACGACTGTCAAAACGGTTAATGGGTGGCACCGCATACCTATTTGTGAACCTTGTACAAGCTTTCGAGGTTCATAGTAGGGCCTCGACCACATTCCACACGAGAAAGATGTTATTTGAAACGACATAGAAAGTAGAAAGTATGAGTATAGAAAAATTATGAAAGGAGAACCAGTGAATCTCATCCAGGATTGGATAAAATGAGACTGCAGTCCAGCTGCAGTCGAATCCCTCAATTGACATAAAGTCCATGGCCAATCAGAACACCTAGACCATAGAGTAGGCTCAAACGAGATCGCATAACTAAGAGTTAGCACCCCATCCCATAGACATCCTCCAATCCTGCCCAGCTTCACTGACACCGCGGACCAGCCCGACAACATTGTCAACAAAGCCACCAGAGCCATTATTGACACGCTCCCTACGCTCCCGCTCAGAATCAGAAGCAGTAGCACGCATGCCAAGCAGTTGCTGCAAAGAATAACCTTGAACACGCTCGACATCCATCCTGGTAAGAACATCGCCCTCCCCACGCCGGCGACTCCAAGCAGCCTGTTTTACAGCAGGAGCCCAGTACTCCGCCAGAGCAGACTCATCGCGACCCTGAGCATAGCACTTGAGTATAGCAGAATCGGTCTCAGGCACGAGCGAAGCGTTCCACTTTGTATGGGCGACTTCGTACCGCTTCTCCATGAAGAAGATAATGGGCCAAGTAATTATCCAGAGTTGGAGGATGACTACAATCCACCACACATAGCGGTTCGCGCGGAGTCGGTTGACCCAGTGGGGTGAGTAAATTGTTACGGAGCGGTGGGCAGTTGAGAAGGAGAAGCTGAGGGAGCCGCGGTAGTTTAGTTCACGGATATGAGAGGACAGGACGTTGCGCATTGCGTTGGAGTCGAAGCCCCCGAGTTGGCGGTGTAGGGTGAATCTGTAGTCAACCAAACTAGTTAGCGGGGGTTATTGCCAAAGGATGGAGAGGACAGTACGATTTCACGGGCGCAGGGTCCTGGCAGAACCGCTCGCACCATAGCTTGAGGGCACTTTGAAGCTTGTTCAACGTTCCATCGATGTTGGCGTCTTCGCCCAGGAGGGCATTGCTGTCGTCACTCAGCGCGACTGCCTGGCGTGTCTTAGGAGGTTTGTATGTGCGCGAACGCAGAATGCTTCCGCGGAAGGCCGGCTTTAGATCCTCATCTGTGATGATCTCGACTTCCATCCAGTTCTCGTGCATAGGCCGGCCCTCCCAACCGGTAAGCATGGTCTCGGCGAGATCCAGCCTGAACTCGAAGTCAGTCACCGTGCTGCTGTTCTTATCCTTCTTTCCATTGTTGCTTGATTCGGTGTGGTAGCCTTTCACATAGAGGAGCGGGCGCAGCGGCAGCTTGATCTGCTTACTGATAGCATGGAAGAGCTCATCGCTGTTGGTCGAGAGATTCGGCGCGAGTGTCAGGGCGACTTTGTCGTGTGGCCTAATGTCTTTTCCACCTGGAAGAACGTAGGCAGAGTTGATCAAGCGGAGAGGTTCGATGTGACGCTGGGTAGGGACGGGCGGGACCTGCGGAATGGAGAAGGACTCGGGATCATCGCTGTACGGTGGTGGCGCGTCATCCAAAGAATGGAGCGAGTGCGACGATGACGCGGGAGCTTCCTGGTTGAGGCGACCCATGCTTGAAAGGGGAAAAAAGTAAACAAAAACGAGGGGATTGGGGGGAACCTGGGTTTTATGTGAGGCTTGGGGCTGACATGAGGCTCAAGCGGAAAACCTCGTATCGCCACTCGGCTGCCTATTCCTTTGCTTATTTTTGAGACATATTTTGCGAAGAATTGAATGATATATTTGGCAATCTGATACTATATACAATGAAAGCCTTCCCACATCTAGCTTCTTAGCCGACATAGCACTGCATTGAGTTGAACGACCCAGGATCGCCTCTCCTACCACCATTCTGACAAGGCGCACCCTTCCCTCGCCAGCCATATGTCTGGCCAATGGAGTGATAATTGTCACATTTGTCATTATCAACCACAGCCTTTCTCCATATACATCAGCAGTATCCATCCAGAGTGTCATGTTTCGATGCTGCTTGTGGTCTTGCTTGCCCTGCTGATGTATTGCTTAAAGATGTCATTGAACTGGAACTGCTAGTTATGAGAGTAGCTGCAGTCTTGTTTCAGCTCGAACTGGTTGGTTTGGTAGTACTCGAAGACTGGGCCGGATTAGTGCCGGGCGCTGATTTTAAACTCAATGGTGTGGTGTATCTCACAGTGGGATATCAGGTAATTATATTGCCCGTAGCTTCAACATCAGCCTGCTTCCAAGGAAAGGTGAGTCTACTAGCTTTTGATGTGGCCGAGCTGGCCGAAGTAGTTGAGCTGCACTAGTGCGCGCCAGTGCCACATTGTTCTTTTCTATTACACTATCCTAAATGTCAGATTGATTCGGACAATATTCGCTCATAAGACTTACGAATTGAGCAGAAGGACAAGGATTCAACCAGGGGAGTTCTTTCCACTCGGTAGGACGAGCAGACCCTGGTACTTGAGGACCACAGACAGCACCAGGAATTGACACTGGCATAGGGCGAACACCCTTCTCCGTGAGACAGATATTGCCTCCAATCTGAAGACCACCACATCCATACCAGGCGTATGTTTCCTAATTCCAAGCTTCGATATTGGCAACCGTGATGTCATAACGCCTTGGCAATTCCCTTGCAGGTATCTTCGCCTCGAATGGTATACTTGTAGCAGACACCTCCAAAATCTCTCGGTGAACCTAGATTTCCTCCTGTGGAGCAGCACACGGGCTTTCCGATGCTTTTAGCGCAGTCCACACCTTTGTTATAGGTAGTGAGTAAGTTGACCGCGATGCCACATTTTGAAGCAACGCTGGTGCTGGTGTCACCCTCGCTAACGATAAAGGCGGAACCGATAGGGTCAAAACCACTGACATCACGACGGTTAATTGTGATCTAGGCATCGTTAGCATACTGCAAGAAAATTTCTTTCGGTAAGAATATTACTGACCTGGGGCTGTTCTGCGGACAAGTGCGCAGAAGCAGGCTGCACAGCGCGAGCTCCACGAAGCTCTGGGAATATTTATCTTGTGTAGAGTATTAAACAAGGTGAGTGGTTTAATGATACATCCTGGGTCTTTAAATAATTCTATAAAGAGTTTGCAAGAGACGTTTCTCTACGACGAGGGATGCCGGGGTGTCGAACATCATTGATGCAGGACATGGGTGAGGGTATATGAAACTTTAGAAGACAGCATTAAAGGCCGCGTCGAGTATGACTATCTATGAAGCTCTAGAAAGGTGTTCAATCTTCATTATGGAACGCCGATTAATTGGGCAGACGAATCGATGTTAATACTCCGCTACCGCCAACAAAGGAATGTGGTTGCAATTGAACGTCGCCATGGGTGGGAATATACTAAAATAGTCTTTGTTAAATCTATCTATTTTGAAATATCGAAACTTACCGATAGCGGCCCTTTTAAAAGCAACTGTGAAATAATCTGCTACTGAGTTGCTTGGCTACTAGGATCCAAGGCCCTGCATAGAAATCACCCAGCACCTCGAAGGGTTTCAAGGTCTACATCGGCCTTACATGACAGTCCGAAAAAGAACATACACAGAAGAAATGCCATGTGAGGTGGTATTTAGGATTGTCGGAAGACATAGTCTGACATGTATTCTCATTGAACTTTTTATCCCCTTGTCACCTTAATGCTCTCACGCTAAGTGCAGCTACAAGGATACCAACGACCATGTCGACTGTCGGAAAGTTGGAATTTGGAGAACTGCAGCATCAGGGTATTATCTGCAATTGAGTAAATGAAGCTTCCATCTGCTCGGGAACACTAAGAGCTCCGTTTTCTGATGATGTGTATCAGCTTCTTCTCTCATAGAGCCATCCTAGAAGGTTGCAATACGCACTTTTAGATAACACAGGCCGATTGAAGCTACAAGATTTTATCCAATGATTCCATAAAGCACACTTTTGCCCCATCCATGCAACTTGCCTCAACTTTTTCTGTGATTCAAGGGTCTCAAGGTCCCTCAAATCTGTTGATCGCATCACTCGAAGTTGCTATGTTAACTTCTTTCATACCTTGTAAGAAACACTTTGCACAAGAAATAGACAATAAGAACCTGGTCTGGACTATGCATCAAAGTTGGACCACCCATCAAAGTTTGAACATAGAGCTCTGGAACACTTCAGTGCACACAAAGAGCTTTTGCCAAGATATCGCCATGATTGATTTTAAGCTTCCTTTAATTACATGCCAATAGAAAGGCATAGTAACTAGAATCCTCAACAAGTGTGGTCGGAAGTAGTGCAAAGGAGTGCGGCCAAGGTTTGATTCCCGATTAGGCTTAGCGTCCGACCCTCTCGTTGTCTCTTTGTTTCCATTGTACGAACCCTGCCAGTTTGAACACATCCAAATGAACCAACAACCGATCAAAAGACCTAGACTGGCTCTGAGCTGTGTTGTGTGTCGTCGTCGCAAAGTTCGCTGCGGTCGCGAGCATCCAGAATGTGCCAACTGCACGAGAATGAATGAGACCTGTGTGTACAACACCGGAGTTCGCGACGAGCTTACTGGCAGGGTACAGCATGTGTCCTTGGATGATCAAAGCAGCAATACTAATAGCCGACCGACCAATCATCGTTCCATGCCCGACACGGGAGTATGGCCAGGCACTCAAGCTCCAGGGATACTGGGAACACCAGGGTCTGAAGTGGAGTCCCCAAATGCTTCGCCCCTTGATCCTCGCCCAGGCTATTCCACGAATCGAGGTGCAAGTTCAGATCATAATCGTCGGCCCTCGACAGCGGCAAAAAATGCCCCGAATGCTAACTTCAACCCCTTTGCTACATCGGAGCCATCATCTGCGCATAGACCAGTCCCAATATGCAATGACCACTTGAGCTTAGAACAAAGTGGACGTTCAAGGTTTATCGGACGAGCCTTTTGGGGTTCCATTGCTGGGAAGGTACAAGCCCTAAAGCTCATCTGGTGCCGAGATGCTGATCGCGATTGCGTGTGTTATAGGAAACCCAAAGCGATGATTTTTTCAAAAGCTGCCGTGTTCCCCATGAAATGGATTCATATGCTTCTGCTGCAAAGGTGTTTAGTCTACTGAAGACCCTGCCAACCAGGCCAGTTAGCAACGCCCTGCTTGAAGTATTCTTCATCGCAGTTTGGCCCATTTGCCCTCTCGTGGACCGGTTCTCCCTGCAGAAAGACTACGATGACTTCTGGGACTGGTGTGGAAGGAATGACGAGGCATTGCCATCGCAGAAGTTTATTGATGATCCGACGTTTTTCTGCTTACTATTTGCGATACTTTACTGCGGCGCATCAGCCGCGCCAGAAGCTCACTGGGGCAGCGTTCAACTTCAAAATGAGTGCAAAGATACGATCTTGCAGCAGCTGAAAACCAACTATACCGCCAGCCTTTCCCAATCTCGTCACCTAGAGCATCCGACAATCAACACTCTTGTCTCGGCGCTGTTAATTGGACCATTCGTTGACAAACACCATGAGCCAATGCAAAATTTGGTCTCCATAAGCACTACCGTGCGCATTGCTCAGAGTATGGGACTTCACCGTGAGGCAACATGGTCGGCTCTCAACCATGAAGCTCAAGAAACCAGGCGTCGGATTTGGTGGCATATAGTCTGGCTCGACCTGCAATCAAGCGTATCTACTGGCCTTCCGCCCTGCTGTGGGAGCGATGCTCTTGATGGAGTGAGCGTGGTTGCTTCTGGAGTCAATGATGGAGCTATCATCAGTTCTGAAGTCTTGGACCTAACATCATTGTTCGTCATCGGTCGATCCGAAAGCACTCGCTTACAATGGAATATTGTTTTTCACCTACAGAGCTTACAAGAAATGACCACGAACAAGCTTTCTGATCTTGCCATGGATGCGAAACGGCTTGAACAGACACTCGATACACTCATCGGCCGTATTTCCACACAGACAGTGATGGAAGGGACCAGCCAGTCCACTGATTTTACAAGATGGACCCGTGCGATGCTGACTTTAATGCAACTAGAAACAGCCATTCTATTGCACAAGCCGGTGTTGGTTTCTCCCATTGACAAAGACTCGAACTCCAAGAAACTGTGGACCAGGTATACATTTCTTTTATTCACTCAATTATTCTTTACTCACTGGTCTTGCAGAATTGTGCACCTCTGCGTGGCTTACTTGCGCGTTTTTATATGGTTTCACGATACTCCTGCGCTTTCACCCTATAGATGGTACTGGAACAGCCAGTACGGGCCCTTGCAATGCGCACTTCTTACCCTGACCTATCTCCAACAATCGCACTCGACAAGCGATATCCCGAAGGCTCGGTCGTGCCTTGACGATTACATGCGTCTCATTGTGGCACAATACCAGGCTCCCAGTTCTTCGCCAGAAAGTCATCCGGCCAGTGATTATGACACAGGCGAAGGCCAATTGAACGACAGGATGCCAATTGCTATGCAATTTCTTATTGATCTTCACATTAGCCTGGATCTAACCTTGGGCGGTACACCACAGGCTGGTAACACCGCTTCTGCGTTGACAAATCCCATCTTGACGGGAAATGAGCCGGGATTAGACGTGGAGTCTATTCCCAATATGGCAGAGCCTGAATTTGAGGCATGGGCCGCTTTTTCATTGTCCCAGATATTTTAACGCATTGGGGGCACGAAATATCCGCAGCTAAATATGCTCAGTGACTCTCGGTCTGACACCACAAACTACTGGTACGAAATCTCCCGACCAACTGGTTGAACGACCTTTGACATTTCTTGTGATTCCTTGTGAAAAGTGCTTATATCAAGGCTTGAAACTGAGTCTCAAAGCTAATGCAAGGTCTTTGCATCTCCAGAGGAAGATTGACAAGCCTTTTCATCTCTGCGAGTGCCTCTGCCCATATTGTTGTTTGTACCTCTAGGCCTGCTGGCGACTTGATGAATGCAGCCTTTCTAGTGAAAGGCACAAACCTATCAGCGTTTTCCTTCGGAAACAGAAGGGATGCAGAAGACTTATTTCATGATGGCCTTATCACCCAAAAACCTGCCATGAGACCCCGGCCCTCGACCACTAGGATTTCATTGCGAAGTTGATTAGCGAACTGTTGTACGCTGTCATACCGGTCTGCGTCAAGCTCCATCAATCTGATAGTAGCACTAAGATTACGCTGCTGGATCTTCTGGCCTCTGAGGAGGTCCTTGACGCAGGCTTCACCCTGGGCAATGTTGCGGACGGCTAGAATGACCGTTGAGGCCTGCAGTTGCAGTAGCTGCCGGGTTACTTTGAGACTCAGCCCCGAGCTTGCTCCTGTGACAACCTGCTGTCTTGCCTGTAAGGTCAATACCCGCTGGCAAGGGTGTGACCTTTGGCTGGATGAGTTTGACCATGTTGCAATGCGCTGAGTCTATATAGATCGGAGCTGCTCGTGATCCAAACAACATGGGAAAGGAAATAGATCGACGACAATCTTCATGGACAGTTTTCTGGGAAAGAGGACCAGCTATATATACTGACGTTCAGCATCCTGAATGCCGTATCACTTGCATCAGATTGCTAAGCACTCTCCCTTTTGGGAATATCTTAGCGCTAAGCTTATACATGGTCCGCTAGTCATGCAGATGACTCATCATTCGGCCGATGGTACGAGAATTGAACAAAGTCCAGGTACGTGGACTTTCAAGAATAAATTGTGATATCTGACTATCTGACAAAAGAAACAGAGATAGTACGAACATACTTGACTGAACAGCTCACGATGTGCATGGTATTATCAGAAGTGAGCCCTATGCCTTTCATTTAAGAGCAGCTGTCGATATTCCTGCTTCATGGACTACATAAAATTGCTACAATAGTTATGGATGAAGATGCAGAAGCTACGGTGCCTGAGGGCAGGGCAATCGTTATCGTTATCGATATCGCAGACAAACAAGTGCTGTGTTGCGGATTTACCTTTCCATGCTTTGCCTCCTCCCATCTTCTCAACAAGGCTCGCCTCTACGGATCAGCAGCCCATCCCGTCTTTCTATCATGGAATTCCCTCGCAACCAAGCCGCATGGCTTCCTGCTGGGTCCAAGCGACCCCTCGAAGTCAAGTCGGCACCATACACCCCTCCCGCTGCCAACGAGCTCGTCGTGAAGAACGCCGCCATTGCCGTTAACTCCATTGAGTGGACCAAGCAAGTCGTTGGAAATTTCCTGTACGACTGGATCCGATGCCCCTTTGTGATCGGAAATGATCTTGCTGGTGAAGTCGTTGAGGTTGGAGAAAAAGTCACTGGCTTCAAGCTGGGAGATCGCGTCCTCGCCCACGCAATCTCGATGGATCCCACCATCAACAAGTCATCCCACGGTGCTTTCCAAGAGTACACTGTCGTCCACGCCAAGTTGACCTCGGTCATTCCTGATGCCCTTTGCTATGAGGAGGCCTGTGTCCTCCCTCTGGGCCTGTCAACCGCGGCCACTGCCCTCTTCCAGACCGACTTCTTGGCCCTCGACCATCCCACCGCCTTGGGAAAGTCCACCCGGTCGACTGTCAAGACTGTTATTATCTGGGGTGGATCTACCAGCGTCGGAAGCAACGCCATCCAGCTAGCCAGTGCTGCTGGATATGACGTGATTACCACAGCCTCCCCCAAGAACTTTGAGTATGTCAAGGCCCTCGGTGCTACCAACGTGTTCGACTACAACAGCAAGTCAGCCGTCGCAGACATCCTCAATGCTCTCCGCACGAAGAAGCCCGTGGGCGCAATTGCAATCGGTAACGGCTCTACTGAGGCTTGCATGGAAATCCTTGCCAAGGCAGACGGCTCCAAGTTCGTCGCCCAAATCAGCATCCCATTTCCCGAGAAGGCTCCCGTCACTGCCTGGAAGCTTTTCATCTTCATTATGGGACTGATGTGGTGGAACATTTCCATTTATCTCAAGTCTGTGCGATGCGGTGTTGTGACCAAGTTTGTTTTCAGCAGCTCCCTGGTCCACAACGAGGTCGGCACCATGATCTACAACAAGTTCCTGCCCAACGCTCTTGCTCGTGGAGAGTATCGCATTGTTCCTAAGCCTGTCATAGTCGGAAAGGGACTTGAGCAGATCCAGGCTGCTCTTGACGTTCACAAGAAGGGTGTGTCGGCCCAGAAGGTCGTTGTCTCGCTTTAAGCAGTGGAGGACTTGCACACAATGGACAATTTCAGCCAATGATGGAATGAGAATACGCTGATACGAATGACAATACTTATGACCAATGGGATTTCTTCTGTGATCGAGGTGCCCGGGAGATAGGTGTACAGGGTTGCTATGGCAGGCCTGTAATGCCTCTTCGATGATCCGGGACTCGATAATTCCAGTATTTTTTATTAATTTTCCAATCCATTGATCTGTAAAAAAAAATCTCCAGCGTCTAACAAATATATTGTAGTTACTGTAAGATACTGATTGAACAAAAAGAATGTGTATTTTCGCATTGAATCAATGGCTTCGCTATATATACAACGGCACATTCAAAGAGCCCCCCACATTAAGAAGACGAACCGCACCCAAATTTCCTTAAAACAGATTCATTATATCCATAACGCATGGCGACCCCTGCTGCCCTGTGCCACCAGACAGACTACCCTGCACAGAAGGAAAATCCCCCAACTCATCAAAAAAATCCGACTCAAGCAGATCCAAATAATTCATAGCCAGATTATTCCCATTTTGCAGAACCAGCAGTGCTCGTTTGAGCTCGTCAAGCGTATTAAATTTATCCTCCGACACAGAGCCACTTGTACGCAGTTGATCTCCATGTGTTCGGAGAAACTTTGCGGAGAGAAAGAGTAACATTGGGGAAAATGCATGTGCCTGGATATGCACGTGAGAGGTGAGAGGTGAGACACACTACCAAAGGCCGGAATGAAGAGGTCGTACTCACCTTGAAGAAACTGGAACGGATAAGTGGTTTTGCAAGACTTGCGATTTCGCACGCTGAGTACAGAGGTACCAGGATGCTTTGGTCGTTTGATGCCCCTCTGAAGACTTCCGTCATACCGTAAATCCAGATTATGGCGGAGTTTGCTAGCATGTTCGTGAATAGCCGCATGGGGTCGAGAAGCTTTGGCGAACATGGTGGTAGGGAAAGGAGCATTAAGCGTTGCTGCGCTATTTGGTAGAGTCGGCTGTGGTGCTCCCAGATGTCCATACCAGGATTCAGTCCGGGGATTTTGTTGATAAGTGGGCTTCGCTTCAGGCTAATACTGTGCCAGCATAGGGCTGTCAACACAATTGCTTCGCCGAAAGGTGGTAGTACGTTTTGTCCCGATGTTTCAATGGCGTCTGATATGGATCCCATCAAGACTGGTCTACTGTGCTGGAAATCGGATTCGGGTGCTGGAAGAAATATCCAAACCTAGGACTGGTGTAAGTAGCGTTTGAGAGATTTGGACCGGGTGAGTTCTTCTTACAGGTTCTTCATGCAGAGTTAAAGGCCATTGGTCTGAAATGTTGAGGAGCCGATCTAAACAAAATGCCAACCAGAAAGTTCGACGCTTCTCTTCTATCTCAGTCCAGGGTTCAGCAAAAGATAAATCAAGTGCCGTTGTGTGGTAGCGATCTATCTCATATAGCTTCATCAGTTGGATGATTCGAAAGGCTCGTCCAGCAGTGATCCAAGCTCGACTATAGTTCATGTATCGGAACTCGTAGTGGGTAACTAGAAGCCAGCCTTGCGCAGCCTGCAAAGAAGCAGAGCTTGCACAGTCAGTCTGGTTGTCAAGCGCCTCAAGCTTGCAACGTGCACAGAGATAGAGGGAATCCCGCATATGTTGCAGATGCGCTGTTGCTGCTGCAGCCAGTGCCCACATCGCAGCTTGCAAGCCGGCGTATGGCTCTGCCTTGTAGCATTGCTGTGACCAAGCTAGATAGCGACCTTGGTGTAGCATGGGGGCAACAGGATGCACTCTATCAAAGTAGAGCTGGTCTCTGTGTGATTCATTAGCGAGAATTTACTTTGCGCAAAGAACAAACGTACAGGTCAGACTCGATTATACCAGAAATCCCAAGCTCTGGAGGTAAAGTGGACGCAAAGTACATAGTATTTGGAGGTGATTCCTCCACAGAGCGAGACATACTGCGGGACTCCCTCTTTGCGCTATCAATCGTACTCTCTGGCGGAGTAGGGAACTGACCCTCTTCAACGTTGGATATGTATTGTGTATTGATATCAAGGCCTACTTGATCACGATTGACAAGACTTTCAAGTGTTGCTGGACGAGCTATTAGTGACTTTGGTGCAGAGAAGGTGTATGTGGGGCACAAACCAATACGACTGCGTAAAGCCTTTAAATGTCCCCTTTTGGGACCTCGTGGAGACCGATCCTGATTCACATAACAAATAGCTCCTGAGTCTTCGCATTGATCACATTGAGGCTGCTGCCTATCACATCGCAGCTTTCTCTTGCGGCATTCCTCGCACGCCTATCAAGTTAGACCGGAAGACCACAGAGCATATGGAGACAAAAAAGGCTGCATGGACTTACCAGGCCTGGCTGTTGGCGTGATGCTGATGTCATGATAAGGTTAGCAGTGTACGAAACAAGGTTGATGCTTATGGCTTGTCGTGCTCCAAGAAGGTAAAATCATCACGCAAGCCAATGAGATGGGTATTTAATGCTGATATTTATAACGTTGAGGCGCCGTGAAGCCAATCTAACTCTGATATCGGCAGATAACCCTCATATTTGCCTTCCAAGGTTCTCATGGATCAATTCGGCGAGGTCTCCAACTTTATCACTCTAGTCCCTACCCTTGACCACAACCTTATTAGGTTATTTTGAACTTCTACCCACAGTCAACATCGCACGAGCTAGCTTCTAATTTGGTCAGTCCACAGGCCACAATTGATAGATGAAACTTGATTGAGCCACTGCTAGTTTTGTTCGTTATTTTGAAGAGACAATAACTCTATTTGCCTCGACTGTGTAGCGGTCAGGACCCGAAGTCCTGGTGATAAGTGTCTCTATAGGAGGCTTGTATTCTGATCACACCGTGCTGCGCCGGGAAGAAAGATCGGTAGTTGATTACATATGGGAATGAGCTTCTATTTGTCAATTTTGTGCTATCAATAAATGCCACAAGTTACCACGTGTGGCAGTGAAATGACCAAATTGGTGAGTTGCTGACCGGTAATAAGGTTACTGTCTCCCCGATGTGACTTGCTGATGCAGAGAGAGCATGCCGACTGGTCTGGCTGTTGGCAAGAGACTGCCATTGGCAGAATATGCTTTTTCATACGATTTCCTCCAGGAAGCTTACCTTTGATGAAATGATAGACCTTTGACAGGACAAGATAGCCTTTTAGCTCCACAAACATTAATATTATCATTTTTTGCAACCCGTGCGCCATTATACCGAGTTAAACGGACAGTGGTATGGCTTAGGACCTTTTCCAACTGCTCGGGTAGTTCAATATTCTCCCCGGGACTTTTTGATCAGATATTGCACAGGTGGTAGGTGCGTACAGACCAGATTCACTCATTGCAGGCTTCAATATTGATGTGTGAATAGCTTCGATTGGGTTGCTCAGAAGCAAAAAAGAAATCATCCGCGTGCCTTTTCCAAGCTATATTTGGATAGAGGGACAAAATAATGTAATATGGCATCATATGCCAGGTACAATGGATCACCCGAGCATCAGGCCTCTGGCTTTGAGTCAATTTCAAAAGCCTGGTCCATGAAAGTCGGTATGTTTTGAAAGCCGAAACTCGTTGCCGACGATGATGTTGCTGATCTGTCAGCTTACAGGCTCCATGTCGTCAAAATACCTATTTACTGCAACATCGGAACGGCAAAAAGTCTCCTCACCCCGGACTTTCTGGTACTTATTTATGAGCACCGACAGCTACTTCTGCAATTTTAAACTCCAGATTCAGGATGTATGTTCTTTAGTGGCGTAAATCTTTCCGTAAGAGCCTCATATGAGGACCGCATAAAAGTACACAAGTATGAGTACGAAGAATTTGTATTTCTCCTCATATTTTATTGACTTACGTTACTGCTGCAGGATATTGGAGCCCCATAGTCATACCACCGCTACACTGGGATTACAACTCCATGTGCGGTCCGTTGCTTCGGGGCCTTTAATATTCCAAATAGCACCCTGGTCCCAGCATTTTCAGGGTCACATTTGTGCCCGGATACATTGAAAATGGTGGGACTGCACAATTTGCCAAGCCCTCCCCAACGTTAATTCTCCATAAGTACGGAAGTATTTGGAATTGCAAAAGAATCACGGGCATTTGGACCGGCATATAGAGATAAGGCTTCTTGATGCCCCGGACCTTTTTTCGGAAACCGACATTTTGTTGACATTAGCCTGCTATTGAAGTACGATACTGAGTAGCAGTCGCAGGCACACGTCGCTCCTATAGTATTCAGATCCAGACTTCAGTACGATTTCTTCTTTTGCCAGCGAAAAGAATTGGCACAATATCAAGATGGTTCCACAGCATATTCTGGCCTTTCACAGTAGCAATGAATCGTGCCCCAAGCCTGAAACAGGAACACCACATACGTCACACGCTCTCTGCACTGCTTACAAAATGAGTCGGACAGTTCTGGGGCATTGTGTCAGAATGAAAAACAAGTTTTGGGTGGCCAATTTAGCAAAATCCAGCTGGAGGCACTATTTAAAACGGCAAGGAAAACTGCTTCCCAAATTGCAGTTCAGACTAGTCTTCAATAGGCTCATCTGGCCCAAGGTAGGGATTGAGGGCTGACGGCCCGTGCCGGGCTACGGGTTACTCCGGAATGGGCCAGCGGAGAAACGCAATGGTATCGGTACGTGTATTCGGTAGTCCATGCCTAATCCTTTGTGCAACAGGGGACCAACGGCTCTTGAACATAAGCTTGTGATTCTTGATCCACTGTAACTGTATCGTGTGAATGAACGCTTTAGAAATGTACTTTCACCCTTAGATACAAGTTTGAGCTTTTTATGCTATGATGCTTGTGAATAACTGATTTTTATGGCATGAAGAGATATTCTGCCATGGAGCAAATAAAGTCAGACTTTCAGCAGCAATTTCCCTCAGCGGAGCTTCCAGTAAGAACCCGAGGCGCATGGGAATTATCCAAGCGACAGAAACAAGACGCCTTGATGGGGACATCGGCAACAGCAACAGCTAGCTTAACCGACGCTTCAATAACAGCCGCTTCGTCCGTTTTACCCAGTCTAATCAGACACTCATGATAACCCTGGAGTGACCAAACATTGTTAGGATGACGACGTGGCCGAATAACAGACTTATCAAAGCCTAGATCCGCACGATAAGTCCGCGCCGCTTCTTCGATATGTCCTTGTTCCATTAGCAAGGCGGCATACGCGTGACGGACAGGCTGCATCCATGACCAAGGCTCGGCATATGGCAACTTGTCTTCGATGTCGATCGCAGTCCGGAGTGAAGCAAATGATTGATCGTAGTTGGCACAACGATATTCAATTTCTCCCTCTAGCATTGCCTCAGCAACCTTGAGTACATCGACGATTGTACTGTTGTAGGAGAGACGTGTCTCAGGGACCCGTGTGTACGCTTTACGGAACAGCTCCTGTTCCTTTTTGGCGGAGGCCACGTCGCCAGTCGCGGCATATGCTAAGCCTCTCGCATAGTGAGTAGTTGCAGTGGTACCTGCATATAGTTCCTGGTCGTTGGGCAGCTCTTGGCGCTTAAGCTCCTCCCACATGCCAAAGCGAACCATCACATGTAAGCGAGTAGGAACAAATTGTTCCAACCAGTCAGCCATCGGAGGTGACTCGATTCGAAGGACTTCCTCGGGCAGTGTGGCTTCCATGCGAGTGACTGCGTCGATAGCAGTCTTCGATTGGCCGGCAAACATAGCCGCATAAATCAAGGAGTGATAGTCGTGCATGCGGTAGAAAGTGTAGAAATTCTTCGCACCTTTCTTTTGAAAATATTTGTCATCAGCCAGAGTAGACTTATAGTTTGAAGAGATGGAGCGCCTCCAATCGCCGATGAGGATATCCAAGTGCGTGGGCATATGACGGACGTGACCAGCGTCAGGGATTAGATCTCGCAGCTGATCGGCAGGGTTGATTCCCAGTTCTGGGGTAGGCGACATTTCGATGTAGTGAATGTAAAGATGAAGCAGACCGGGATTGAAGTATGCACCATCCTCTTTCTGTGCAAGCGCCCGTTCGAGAACGGCTTTCACCTGCATGGTGGGGGCTTCAGGGTTTGCTTTGCCAGTAAAAAGGTCCCACAGGGCCCAAGGCGTCATATTCATCAATGCATCAGCATAAAGAGTAGCAATATCGAGATCATGCCCGAATGCTTCATACACAGGCTTCATAGCGGCAGCATAGCTTTTGTTGACTGCTGGGTAGTCCTTTGCGGGCTCATTGGTCGGAAAACGGAATTGAATGGCCTCGACGAGAGCTTTCTCGAGGTCAGTCGCACTGACCGCATGTCTTTGGGCCTTCCGTGAGGCATCGAAGCCTCGTTGAACGCAGGTGTGAAGGTCACCCTGGTCGAATTTCTCCCACGGCTTGTTGTAGTTAGGGCCAACTGCGTAAGCGAGACCCCAGTATGCCATCGCACAACAAGGGTCATGTGCAATGGCTTGCTCAAAGCAATAGGCACCTTCCACATGATTGAACGAATAAACCCATGTTAGGCCACGATTAAACCACGTCTGAGTATCTGCGCTGGTGGTGGTTATCTTATGGCCAAATATGCCAAGGTCGTAGTACTCGTCACTGGCTGAGACAGGAGAAATCGTTCCTCCGGCCATGATGATGGTTTTGAGGTGAAACGGAAGGTTGAAGATGGGTTGGGACTGATGGAGAAGTTGGATTTTATATGTGAAGTGTCGATTACATCGTGAAAGTGGGGTAGATCGAGTGGTGCCACGAATTCATCAAACGCCGTAAAATTGCTTTCAAGATCGGGCCTTAGCCAGGCACTTCTTTAAATTCGCACATAAGCCATGTTACAAGCCGATCTTTAAATTGACGTCGCTCTTAGCCGCATGAAGACAAACTTTGTGTGCTGATCGATTTGTATGTCGCTTATTTGCGGCAATATAGCCACGCGGAGTTATTAAGCTTTATCTTGATCTGAGCTTCAATCCCCGAGAACAAAGGCCGAGGTGTTAGGTGCCGAAGATCCCCGAAATGAGCTAGTTAATATCGGTGCCTAGGCGAATTGCCACTGGGCTCGCTCCATATATAGATAGTGAACCACGTCATTGGATATTGTTCCTCCGAAAAGACCAATAGCCCGTAATGGTCGAGTGAACAGGAAATAAGCTTTTACTATAAATGGCCAAGTAACGATCTGCCTAGTCCCGGCACGGCCAAACAAGACATAGGGTCGATGGATTCAGTTATTCGGCGCTGAATCGACATGGTAGCCTTTATTTGGAATACTACGCACGTTACGTGTTCTAAGGACCTTTCAAATACCAAATATATCCTCAATCTTGGTGGCACTGATGGTTTTAATCACCGCGAATAGCAATCATTGAGAGCTTGTTTTATTCTATAGCAATACACAACGATTGATTTTTATACAAAAACCAGTTTAGTTGAAGAAGGAAGTGAGGTAGATCAAATTAAACGGTCAAATAAATAAAGAGTTCCGCGAGCTCGAGAAGCGTGTCAATTTGATATTAGCAGGGGCGTTGAAAGCCCTAACCATGTCATCAATGATCATGGTGACGTTGAACGGTGAACGTATAAGTATAGTCATATAGCCTTCCCCAAAAGCAATACCACATTTATCCTTTACCTACTTTGGTCTTTTTACTTAACCCTGTTTTCATCTGACATGGCCGATCGGTGGGAAATGCAGGACACGAAGTCCCTATCTAGAAAGCATAACTTCAACGAAGGGCTCGATGGCAATGGCCAAGGGATTCAAGACCCCGTTGAGCCAGGCTCAAATGATATAGATGAACGAACCAGTAAGTAGTTGACTATTTTGATAAGGATTTCGGGGTTTCAACGCGCTAACACTGTTCTGCAGCTCAGGATTACAAGACAGCCATTGAGCGCAGCAGGGCCTTCGGAGGCGAACGAATTCGCCACGCAAAGCCCAAGACCAACAAAGGCTACAAGGAAAGCTCGGATGAGGAGGATATTGATATCTCCTGGCGGCCTGATCCGTCTGGCCATCCGCACAGGACCTTTTAGGTGGTTACCAGGCCTTCCTCGGCTTGTTCGGAATTGAGTATCTTTAGCTGGAACTTTATACTATTTAAAATACATAACACAATACCGTAGTACCCAAAGATGCCATATCGAGTATTCTTAATTCATTTTTAATGCTCAAATGCCTTCGGACGTATTGTACATCCGGTGTTTACTGCTGGATTGGCTGGATTATGTCGATATGGATGTGGTTTGGGCACATGTCGACAGACTCCTCAGCGGCATCCTCTGCCTTGGGGCGAGGGGGATGACAGGCACTCCTTTTACTGGTGATGATATCTACTACCCTGGACTGTTTGATCTCTGGGAACCCGAATCCCTCATATGCTTCAGCTTGTGGTTACTTATGTTGGACCTCGCTTAATCAGAATTGGAGGGCTATTGATGCATCACAGAATTCATTGTTAGCCTCGCCGTTTCTTTGAAGCTAATCGAAGGCAAGTGAGAAGCATCGGATATAGCCGCTTGCATACTCTAAATGGCATGGTAAGCCAGGAAAGACGCGACTTTAGGGCTCCGCCTTAGTTGCCGGCACATTGGAACCACCGAGTTGCTATGACGTATGGAGAACAAAAAATATGATCAATGCAAATTATCCTTGAGCGTTAAGGTTCATATGAGAAATCCAAATAATAAGTAGCCATATTCATTTTCAAATTCTGCACTTTTCCGACTTAACCCGACATCCCAAACAGAAAATTACACTGATCGCCATTCTACAGAACGCGGTTGCAAAGCACACGACCACTTACTGCATCGGCAAAATGTGGGGGTGGACCCTCTTAGCGAGAGAGCCCCAGGTACAAAAGACGCAGGGACCCCTGTATGTGCATTGATCTCGTTCGATTTTGTTTCCATTTCAATTCAAGCTTTAAAAATGACTACTACGTTCTCGTCTTTGCCAGTCGTCGACGTCGGACCTCTTGGATCGCCCTCGGGTACATCACCGGAAGAGGAAATGATCCTAAGCAAGCGTCTATATGATGTGTTCGCTACCACAGGCTTTGCGTACCTCACGAATGTACCTCTCAGCTTCAAGCATGAAGATGTATTCAATCTATCTCGGAAATTTTTTGCGCTGCCAGAGGATGAGAAGATGAAGCTGGCTAAGCGTTCGTTCCGTCGGGAACATAAGAACACATATCGCGGGTCAATATCTTAGATCTTCTTACTAAGTTGGTGATCCTTCTTTACTGACACTTGTGAAGATATTTTCCAACGCAGCCGGAGCTCGCATCCGACAACCTCAAAGAAGGGTTCGAGATAGGTCCAGCAAAGCCAATTCGAGCTCAATCGACCATCTCACCCTGTTCGAAATTCAACCTCGCCGAGCCGAATGTTTGGCCAGATAAAAATATCTTGCCGGAACGGCCTAATCTCGAGAAGCTGTATATTGAGCTACAAACATTGGCTTCAAAGCTGCTTTCCCTCTTGGCCGTGTCGCTGGGTAAGCCATCGGATTTCTTCACACCATATCTAGATGACTCTTTGAGCACGCTCCGTCTCCTGCATTATCCAGCTATGGCATCAGCAGCCTCCGGGTCAGGGTCTGCATCCACAGAAGAGGTGAAGCTTAGCTGCACTCCACACACGGACAGTGGTATTTTAACCCTATTGCATCAAGATTCCACTGGCGGCCTGGAAGTGCGAAATTCCTCTGGGGAGTGGGTCTCCACTCCTTATGTCCCAGAATCACTCGTCGTCAACATTGGAGATTTGATGGCGAAGGTTTCTGGTGGGCGATTTGTTGCGACTATGCATCGTGTTCGCGCGCCGGCAAAAAGCTCTTCCGCTGCTTCTGTCACTGGCCAACAGAGCGATGGTGCACAGATTGGGCGTATCAGCGTTCCATTCTTCTTCGAACCCGGAGAACATTGCTTGGTTCGATCTGTCGATGAAGACGAGGGCTTTGTCGTGTATGGCGAACACGTGCGAGCCAAGATGAAGACCTGGGTTGAATTCCAGGATGATGAGGATGAGAACTAACATGGTATGGCTTGTATATACCCTTCCTTGGGGAGACCCTGGATCCGTGGTCCGCCGATTTGTTGCCCCTGCGATATTCCTGTCCATATTCTCCACAAGCGGCAAATTTGACTCAAGCGACTCTCGAGTATTTATCTCGGATTATCTTCCATTGCGACATCTCCATAGCGACATCTTCTGTTCCCAAGTAACAATTCTGGTCTCAATTTCATATGCAGCTTCATTCATGTACCTTAGGACCAATTCTTGCCAAACAGGATGTCTTGGGTTTTGTTTTGTATAGTGAGTTTTGGTCAAGAGTATACCTACTCGACTATTGCACATTGTCACTGCGGAATGCATCCTGGAACTCACTGGAACGCGATTCAAATTAACGGGTCCTACATTCGGAAATAAAAGCAAACGGACGTCCATAGACTGTAGTGGGTGCTGCGCACACTCCTCAACCAGCAGTACATTGTCGCATAAGTGAATTTTGCATCTGCAACACTGGAACAGATCCAGAAAACTAGCATTGTGGGCTTGAAGTATGTGAATATTCCCACATCATTCAAAAGTGATAGGTCACATTCAGTAAAAGGATTAAGGACTGACGATGCGGCTACTCGTTTCGCCCCTCACCGCTATTAGGCCAACGAGAACGGAGATATATCACACTGTATATATAACTTCGTATGATCCTGCGTTTACCTGAATTGTCTTCTCCGTTATCTAACCGGTTCACTGGTCTAAGCTTGGAAGATGAGAACCAAGTCTGCATTGATTCCATGTAAATATCTATTCCAGAATCTATGAACCAAATCCACGGAGCTCCTAAGATGAGTGGCTCGGCTCCATATCCAACAGAAGCTATCCTAATTGTCAAGCACCTCCTTGCGCAGCCACCCATTGGAATATCTCCGCGATTTTATCACTGACAGCACCAGTCCGCGGAATCTCATGCCCACCACCATGATCATAAGTCCGGCGTTTCTCGGGATCACAAATCCCAGAAAGATGCACGCCAGCCACATACCGCGGATCTTTCGCGCCATATATATGCGCGGTGGGGACATTAATTCGGAGGGGACTTGTAATCTCATCACGCAATTCATCCTCGGTCAACCCACCATCCAAAGAGTCAAGACCAGTCCAGCGCTTCGAGCCTTGAGCCAGCACAGCCGAAGACCCAGCCTGCGATGCCAGAGCAGTTCTAGAAGCGGCATCACGCTCGCGCGCCTCGGCTGATACATGGAAACCCAGCTCCTCAAGCATGATCAAGGATGCGCCACCACAGACGAAAACTGCAGCTTTGAAAGGCGGTGGGAGGTGCGGTGTTTCTTCTTGGTGGAGTAAGAGAGCAGTAGAGCCCAAGACACATCCTTGGGAAAACATAAGCGCCAGATCGTAGGGGCCATTCTTGGCGATGTAATCGGTCAGCCAGTTATAGGCTTCTCGGATGGAGTCGACATCATCGCGTTCCCAGAAGGAGTAGTAAGGCGGGCTGTAAAATAGGTCTATACCTGGTGCCGGATTGCATTCGTATGGAGCATCGATGAAGTCGAATTCAATAGATTCGGGGAGTCTGGTGCGGAATGACGCTGGCTTGGGTTAGTGTTTTGGGGCGGGTTGTGGGGACGGGAGCTAACAGATCTGCGAGCGGAAGATGCTTCCACTGGTGCCTTTCCCGTGTAGACAGAGGACCTTCATTGTGGATAATTGAGAGTGAAGTGAGAGAAAGGGATGGTGGGGGAATATCAGCTTGACCCCGCCCCGCGCTTAGATGCAAGGACAAATTCTCAATGTCAGCCCTCGGCCCTTTTCTATCAAAGCTGAACTTGTAGGCTGATGCTTTGAGTCCGTTCTTCTCCTGTTCTTCGCCCTCTTTTGACTTTTGTTTTCTTCGGAGAAATACCAGTATCGCCCTTGCGTCGTAAAAAATGACACACCCACAGAAAAGGGTGTCTACGCGCCTTCAAACGAAGCTCCTCGCGTCGAGAAGTCCGTCTTTTTCGCAGACTCTGCGTTCAATATTGATAACCACGACTGGCGCGAGAATTTATCCGCCTCGCCCTCTGAGATGTCGTCACAAATTTCAATCCCGTACCGCCCTGATTGGGATACCTCGTGGCCGGAGGACATGGACTTTGGCCCTTACTGCAAGCAGGTGGAGTAAGAACTTGAAAAAAAAAACATGATAAAGCTGAAATTGTCGTTGTTTACTTCCATCCAGATACCCAAGCCCCAATCAGTTTGCTCGAATTAGGGCTCTGCGCGCGGGTATCTGGGAAAGTCATAGTCTGCCCTGAGGGTAACCGGAAGAGGGGAACTGTGTAATTCCTGTGCAAGAAAAACGGCATTGAAATGCTGAACAGTGATGACGAGCTGAGAAAGGCCATTTTGAAGAGGTTGTCTTTTAGGTTGTGATTCTCTGGGTCGACCTTCCGAAAGACGAGACCGGAATTTGAAGATAGCAAATCGATTGATACAGATAGGGCGCATGGAAGTGTATTTGCTTGCTTCTGACGGTAATTGGCTCCGTTGAAGAAACACCTTGGTATTTCTTGCTCCTTTGATAATTTTTGCGCCCATTGTGCAGATCTGCATCATGCTTCGCATCTTTGCATGTTGTTTGCGGCACTGAATTATATGAATGAACCTGCCTGGTCTGCTTATGAGATTTGTCCATGGGACTTTGTGTCTGAACTATATTGCTGCCTTATACCTCTTCGGCTCTGAATATGGCCCTGCTCCGCCATGAAGAGATTGAGAGTGATCACTCCGAGAAGCCGCCAAGCTGCGGGAGTATGTTTCGGGCCAATTTGGCTATACCAGGAACACGGGTCATGTGGAACCGTTTCCCATTTTAATGTTTCATAACTGAGGACAAGGCGGTGCAGACTTTGCGATGCCGAGGCAGAGAAACGGAGTCGGCGCAATAGTTGGAACGAGTGGGACTTACCGAAGAACGTCATGATCCATTTGTAATCACCGCTTTCAACTATTTAACGGCTAACTTCCAGCAATAGCTATTCATTAACTATACATCGTCTCAAAATGTCTACACAGAAAGCAGTTGTCGTCGTCCAGCAGGGCAAGGAGGGTCTTGTCACTGACCGCCCTATCCCCCAACTTCGGGATGACTATATGATAGTCAAGACCGTCAGTGTGGGCTTGAACCCCACCGACTGGAAGCACATCGCCTTCCTCTCCCCTCCAGGTGTCCTGACAGGATGTGACTACTCTGGAGTCGTTGAGTCCGTCGGAAAGAACGTGACCAAGAAATTCGCCAAGGGTGACCGCGTCTGCGGATTTGCGCACGGCGGTAACGCCGTCCAGCCCGAGGACGGTACCTTCGCCGAGTACATCGCCGTCAAGGGCAATTTGCAGTGGAAAATCCCGGAGCACATGAGCTTCCAGGAAGCCGCTACTCTCGGTGTGGGTATCGCCACTATCGGCCAGGCTCTGTACCAGAGTTTGAAGCTCGCTCTGCCCACAGAGCCCATCAAGGATAACACTCCTATCCTGATCTACGGTGGTTCCGCCGCGACTGGAACCCTGGCTATCCAGTTCGCCAAGCTGTCCGGCTACAGGGTCCTGACCACGTGTTCGCCTCGCAACTTCGATTTGGTCCGCAGCCTTGGAGCCGACGAGGTCTATGACTACAACAACGCCAATGCCCCTGCTGAGATCCGCAAGGCCACCGATAACAAGCTGAAGCTCGTCTTCGACTGTATCTCGCTCGAGGCCAGCGCCGCATTCTGTGACAATGCCCTGTCCACCGAGGGCGGCGAGTACAGCGCTCTTCTCAACGTTAAAATCGCGCGTGAGAACGTCAACGACCGTTTCACTTTGGCTTACACCACTCTTGGCGAGGCCTTCGAGTTTGGCAACATTCCCTTCCCCGCCAAGCCTGAGGACAATGCTTTCGCTGAGGGGTTCATTCCCGTTGCCGAGAGCCTGCTAAACCAGGGCAAACTCAAGGTTCACCCTCCCAAGGTTGGCCCCAACGGCTTGGTTGGTGTGATGGATGGCTTGAAGCTGCTCAAGGAGGACAAGGTCAGCGGCGAGAAGCTGGTCTATAACGTCTCCGAGACTCCTTAAATGGGATTCTACTTTATTTCTACGATGAGCCTAGTTAAGAACGCCAAATCACCATCTTCGTTTTTGTTTTATTTTATTTTATTTGTTTTTCTACAATTATCTGCCACAGTGGTCTCTAGATTGTACGGCATGTCCTCGAAAAACCATTAAGCTTTCCCACCTTGTACTACAAGTTCTATATCGTCATCATGCACTTTAAATCACCTATCTATACCCAGCTGCCCAGGCAGCTGCGCTATACCTTACCCCTCATCAAACCACCTGCACGATCCTTCCCCAGCTCGGAGGTCTCGCGTCCTCGCACGAGATACGACGTCAAACCACCTGGGCAGATGTAAGAGCCCAGTTTGATTTCAAATCACGGACGCCAATTAATAATTCCCTTTTCTGCCAACACCTCGGCAAAATATCAATGATGAAAAAAAATCCTTATGTAATTAAATAAAAACCTTCTCAAATAACAAAAACCTTCGTGTGAGACAAAAAAACCTTCGTGATAAAACAAAAACCTTCGTGTGAAACAAAAAATCCTTCGTGAGAAACAAAATCTTTCGTGATGAATAAACAGTTAAGATCCGCGGATGGGCTTTACCGCTTTGGGTTTAACCTCCACCGGTGGCGCGAAACCCCCGGCAGCTGATGAGCTTAGATTGCCGCCCAACCAAACACCCTCGGGGACCGGCTGCTTGGTCCAGTCTCCGCAACTCTGGGAAGCTTGTATGACATAAGATGGGTTTTCAGGGTCGCCACGGTGCTGTAGTATGTAGATTTTGGTTTTTCTGAGGGTAGTAGGATATTATGTCTTTCGTTTCATTCTCTCTTTGCAGGAACTGTTCGTTGAAATGTTTTTTTGATAATAAGAAAGTCCTCATTATTGGCGCCACCTCTGGGATTGGCAAGACTCTCGCCGATAAGGTCGTTCAGAGTGGTTCTAAGTTGATTGTCTCCGGAAGTAGACAGGCGAATCTCGATGAATTTATCAACAAGTTTGGAAGTGACAAAGTATCTGCGAATACATTCGATGTTATACAACTCGAGCAGGGAAGGTTCCCAACCTAAAATAACAGAGGACATCTAAGATACAACTCCCAGATCCCAAAATTCGCATCAGAAATCATCATCGAGAACCTCGGTCTAGATTGCGAACTCAGGATTCCAGAAATCTAGCCATCATTTGATTTCTCCTAGCCTGAAAGCGTGGACCTAGACATCTTCGACCAAGAGTTGATCACGAACTACATCTCAGCCGTGTGCTTGACCGAGGCATTTCTTTGGAAGGACTTCAAAGCTAAACAGCCATTACATTCACGACATCGCAAATGCCTCTCGTTCCAATGATGCGATGCCCGAAGTACGGTGCTTCAAAGGCCGCCTTGCACCATTTCATTCTCGCGCTGCACACTCAATTGCAGGATGGGCATCTTCTTGGGATGTGCTTGCAGGAGTTTGTTGATGAGGTTTGGAGTCGCTTGATACAGGGTGAAGAGCCGATTCCTGTTGGGTCTGCTCCAGATATTTTTAATGCGTTTGAGGTGAAGAGGTAGGAGTTATATCGGGATATGACGGAGATGCTTTCGGGGTTGTTGAAGTAGTTCTTGCGGTGAGGGTTTAAGTATCTGAAATGAGGCTAGATAGATTCCGCCGACTTGGTTCCATATACAGCTCACGTAAAATATGCGTCATGTCATGATTTTCGTGTATCTCAGCCGTCAATATAAGTACCCAATGGTGGGAAAGGAATTGTCGAAACAGCCTGTCCCTTACAAGCAGCCAAAATCACTTAATAAATGCGAGATATCATGAACGTGACCTGCTGCCATGCCATCTGACCATACATGCAGTGAGACCATAGAAGCATTAGATTCCGATAGCGCGTGGTCCCAAGAGGTCGGTGATCATTATCTCACAGATTAGTCCGCAAATCAAATGGCAGTGAGTTTACCAACAGCGGCCGAACAGAACACTTTCTCGTCTTCGAAGAATAGGCACTTTGGAGCATAAAGCACACGATAGTTGTACGGCGTACACTCAGCAAAAAGCCATGCATGTCGAGGGCTGACAACCTGGGGAAGTCGGATCGGTGCTTGCTGCCACAAATTCCCCGCAATGAGGCGTAGGGCGATCAGTCTACTTCCTATGAGATAGCCCGTCCTTGCAAAAGTTCAACAGGCCTCGAGATCCAGCTGTTATTTGCACCGTGCTGATAATATGTGGCGCACCAGGTCTGGGGTACACTCAAACACGAAGAAAACAAAGAATGCTCTTCGTCAGCGAGGGACCTCACATTACCTTTAGCATTAAATTATGCCATGCCTGATGCGGGCAGTATTCAGTCACGACACACGCTCATGTCGCATCAAACCGAAATTGCACCCCTTGATGAAGCTGACAAAACGCATTCTATGTTTGAGTGCAGTGAGCTCCTTCACGGGTTACTCCCAGACATCCAGCAGACTAACCTTCCTTCTTACAACACCACTGAGCCAGCTGAAGACAAGATTAGGCTTGATGTAGTCGCGTTCACTCCAGAGGACACAGCCACAGAAGTGCAACCAAAGAAGCCTCCGAGAAGAGAACAATAATTAGCCTATTATGTTCGAGCTACCTTTGGCAGACGAGACTGGTAGATGGATGTGATACGCGAGTTAATGAAGGTGTGTCCCCAGCCGGTGGAAAAAGACTACCAAGCGAAGTCAGGTAGGAAACCGACGCTCGTGATAGGATAGGTATATACATAAAGAGAAGAAATCTTCGAGCTCGTTTCTCAGTCGAATGCAATTCTGCTAGAATAAATTATTGAAATTTTCGATAGAATTGTGAACAGACTTATGACGCCTATCGTAGATTGGCCATTTAGGAAAATTGGCTATGTATGGGTCACAGTCCTGCTCAGCGGAGCATTTAATTTCATTCTAGATGTTGATAATGGTAAAAGAGAGACACGCAAAAATGGGCATGTTGAAAGCCCAAAATTCCAAGCTTCATGACCAACATAATGTTGAGATAGCCAGCCATGATCACCATCCAACCACCGTCACTTCAACTCAACACTAGCATTCGCACTCAGCGAAAGGGGCGTCAGAGTAGCCAGACCAGCCCGCGTCTCAGCATCCTCCAGCGTAAGAGTAGCATTCTTGCCACTCCCAATACCAAAAGCCCGCTTGACAGCCTTCCAGCTCTCAACGAGGATAAGGTAAACAACAGTACACCCAAAGACAACACCCCACTCCCAAGTTATAGCCTGGTGTTTGAAAACAAGCTGGTTAACAACCGGAAGATAGATGACCGGGAATGCAATTACAAATCCAGCCATCACGGCCCAGAACAGGAATTTGTTGTCCCAAACTGTAGGGAAGACAGAGAAGGTCTTTGGGTATCGAATCGGATCCATGTTGAAAAGCGATCGAGAAAAGTGTTTTACTTCCCAAGCTGTGACGAGCAGTAGGAATGTGAGCGTTGCGTAGGTAGTTGCCCGAGCGCGGAATACACTATCGCAGGTTGGGTTATATGCGGCATTACATCCATCTCCTAGAGATGAAGTACCCGTACCTGCTGCGTATATCACACAGACAAATGCAACTAAGCATAATGTGCCCATGAAAGTTCCGTATATCATTTTGTCAACAATCAACTCGCGAGTGAAGACACCGATACGGAGGTCATGGGGTGGTCTGTACATGATATCAGGCTGAGCCTCTTCCAACCCAAGACCAACAGCTAGGAACGAAGACGTAACCAAATTGGCCCAGAGGATCTCGAGTGGAGACAATGGGAAGACCGAGTCCCCACCTTCATCTTTGAATGCGAGCGCAATCAAGAGGAGTATGACTTGTGCAATGTTCGAGATGAGCAAATGCATAAGGAACTTTTGGATATTGTCAAAAAGCCGCCTTCCCTCTTCCACAGCCTTCACAATAGACGAGAAGTTATCATCCGTCAAGACCATATCAGCCGCTTCCTTAGCAACATCACTTCCATTTTTGCCCATGGCGATGCCAACATCTGCCCTTTTAAGTGCAGGAGAGTCGTTGACACCGTCACCCGTCATGACGCAGAATGCCTGGCGTCGATGCATAGCATCTACCATGCGGACTTTGGTCGCAGGGCTACAACGGGCAATGACCAGAGGTAGCTCTTCGATGGCGTCGATCTCCTCGTCGGTCATTTTATCAAATTCGTCGGCTGCCATTACCAATCTGCCAGCCTTTACGAGAGCCGTCACACGGTCGAGGATTCCGACTTCGGATGCGATGGCTGTTGCTGTTTTGATGTGATCTCCTGTCAGCATGTGTACGGTGATTCCGGCCATCTGGCATCGGCGTACTGCTGCGGCTGTTTCGACTCGTGGGGGATCGTAAAGCCCGACTAGGCCGCCAAAGCGAAGGCTTGATTCGGCTGCACTTCGTGGAGATACTTGAGCGAGCTGGTCCGCTGGAACGGTTTTGTAAGCGATGCATAGGACGCGGAGACCTTCACCTGCCATCCGATCGGCTGTGTCTCGGATACTTTGTCTCTCGGTTTCATCAATGTTTAGGTGAGGGATGATGGTCTCTGGTGCTCCCTTGGTGTATACCTCCATAGTCTTGTTCTGAGGGCTGTTGTAGACAACAGTCATTTTCTTGATAGCTGAATCAAATGGATATTCGGTATTCAAATCAAGCTGACGCCTCTTCGTAACAGAACTCTTCCCAAAGTCAAAGCGCAAAGCCAAGACATGAAGCGCAATTTCTGTGGGTTCACCAACTGCACTCCATACCTGCTTATTATCATGGTGCACAGTCGAAAGATTGCAAAGAGATATCGCCCGCAAGAATGTATGCAAGGCAGGATGATCCTCAATAGGCCGAGTAGAATTCCAATCGATTTCATCCAACTGAACAACTCCACTAGTCGGATCGAATGGATCAGTCGTCTGGCTCACAGTCAAAGTCCCAGCATCAGGAATCCAAGCCGAGCGCGCAATCATCTTGCCCTGGGTTAGGGTTCCAGTCTTGTCAGAGCAGATGTTCGTGACGCCACCGACAGCCTCGAGGCATTGGAGTTTGCGCACGATGACATTTCCTCTTGCCATGGCCTTTGTGCCAACGGCGATGGTGATTGTAAGAACTGCAATCAATGATTCCGGAATGACGGCTACTGCAACACAGATGCCGTATATGAGGACTTCGCCCTGTACATCCCACAGATTGACCGAGAAAACGATGATAGCCAATAAAATTGCCAGTGCGAAAAGTAGCAGTGCAAATTTGCTCAGCTTCACTTGCAATGGCGTGCCAACCAGCCCCAACATATTCATAACAGATAATTTAACCCGTTTCCACACACGAAGAAGAGGACCTGAGTCACCAAGATCAGACTTCGTCTGTAGCAGCTGGGCGATCCTTCCAACTTCTGTATTCATGCCTATCGCGATGACGATTCCCATTGCGCGACCCTGAGTAGTACTGCAGCCTGAATAGGCCATGTTGGTGCGATCGCCAATTGGGATATCACGTGCAGCGAGGGTGAGATGGGGAGTTTTGAGAATTGGAAGTGATTCACCGGTCAGAAGTGCCTCGTCCATCGAGGCATTCATGCCGTCGAATAGTCGGAGATCGGCGGGGACGATGTCGCCAACTGCCAGTTGGACGATGTCTCCCATGACGAGGGATTCGGCTTTCACAGAAGCTATTCGACCGTCTCGGAGTACTTTACAGATTGGTGCGGAGAGACGGTGGAGTGAGAGGATTGTCTTTTCGGCTCTGTAGTCTTGGATGAAGCTGTGAGAAGGTTGTTAGTTTAGTCGGTATTTATGGAGCGGAACTTGGTTCTTACCCTACGATGATGTTTAGGAGAATCACTGCAGTGATAACACCGCCTTCGATGTAATCATCTATTCCGAAGGATAGGGCCATGGTGATCAATAGGACCTGGATCTGTGTGAGCATTCATTGTCTTCCTTGATATGTAGTGTTGAGGAACTTACTAGTGTCAGACTGTTGGACACCTGCCTCAGCAGTATCCCCCAGATGGAGACACTCTCCATTTCACGCACGGTATTCGGACCATCGCGCTCGAGGCGGAACGCCGCTTCTGAACCAGAGATGCCATTTCTGTTTCACTTATCAGCAGTGTTCACATTCGTATACACTAGGCCGACATACCGGAGGTTAGTCCCGAGGAGAGTAGCAAGCTCAGATGGATCTATGAGATGGGCGTTCTGACCAGGGTCCTCTTTACTAGGAGGTAGATCGACGGCGGGATGATCAGTCGTAAGCGAGATGGATTTCTCGTAGGTAGCACAGGGCTTAATATTTAAGGGGCTGGCGACATTGGGGTTGGAGCTGGGTTCCGTATAACCACATATAGGAGGCTCCGTCGATTCCTCGACATCGAGAGTAGAATCTACGGTCACGCCCATTCAATAGGAAGGAAAAGAAAAGGGAGAAGTGGCAATGAGATGGATGCTCTGAATATAAGGTTGCTTTGGTCACCCTGATCACTATACCCTGGGCAGAGGAAAGGACTGTCTTCAAAGGGAAGAAGCAAAGGTAAGAAGAAGGTAGAGTACAACCTGGAAGTGGCTTTTGGGCGTGGTTTTTGTAGGCAAATGGTCCCAAATATCTGCACATGGCCAGCTTCCTTTTGAACCAGATGAGGGGATGCCCCAGTGAGGGGGGTTAATCATCTTGCGAGGCTGCGATGTCATTGGGGCAAGCCATACAAGTAGACTCTTGGCTCTTGGTACCCTTGGCGATTGCTGCTCATCCCGGTTTGCAGTCCACTCAGATCTTGGGACATGGGTATGCTGTAGTGGGATTGGATGGTCTGCTAGTCCGGGGATAAGCCACACTTCATTGGTCTCTTGGGAGTCGTGGCGTTCTATCCCTGGGTCGGGACGCTGGCGACGGCTTCTCAAACTCCGGTACTTTGATATTCATGGGCGACCTTCACTAGTGTTAGATCGAGGTGATCGAACTAGGGAGAGCATCGCCTGTGTGAATGGTGTAACTGTGGACCAAAACTGTATTAGCACAGCCAGGCTGGGCATTCCAAGATCTCGGCATCTTGGTACTGACACGTCCATTTGTCGGGGGCGACCTATAGGAGTCGTAAGCGGGGTTTAGCTTGATAACCGGATTAAGTTGGGTGCTTTAGACTGGTGGGCTGATGAAGTGGGAGATAATGTAAAGGAGAGAAAGTACAGGATCAGTTACTATGAAAAGTAGCGAACACAGTACACAGAGTAGATCACATTTGTCGGAAGTAGAAGATACCGCGAAGTATGTGGTGGACCGTCCATCAACCAAGTACCCAGTACAAACACCTACAGCCAATCAGAACGGGCCAGTGATAAAAAATTGCGGGAAGCTTCATCTCTTAAAAACGATCAACAGAATAGCAGAACAACAGCTTCTGTCTTCCCCATATACCTTCAAGATGGTCGGTCCCACAGCATCCCTCTCGCACTTACATCGTGCCGACGGTTCGGCGTCATACAAATGCCCCGCCACCGGCTACAACATCCTGGGTGCCGTCAATGCCCCAGTCGAGCTCCCAGGACGCCGTGACGCATTGAAGCCAGAGGAAGCAACCGTGGAGGTCTTTGTCAAACCTGGTACTACCACCGCTGGTGTCGGAGAGAGATATGTCGAAGGACTCTTGCGCTCTGTGCTAGGCAAGGTGGTTTTGGGCCGCGAGAAAGGATTCCCGCGTCGTGGTGTTGTCCTCACTCTGGCCATCGTTGGAGGTGAAAACATTGAGCGTGGTGACTCTGTGAGTATTTCCAGACTTTTTTTCCGGTGCTCTGGCCTGTCTTTCTAATCTATCTAGTACCTCACTGTTTTCCCAGCTCTCTTGCACGCCGGCTTGCTTTCTATGATTTCCGCCTCTGTTCCCCTGTCGATGACTTTTTCCGCGACTCTTCTCGGTGTAACCAAGTCTGGTGACATCGTGCGCGACCCCTCTCCCGCTGCTGCCAAAGCCGCCGTGTCCCTCCACGTCTTTGCGATCTCCTCCAAAAACCACCTTCTCCTCAACGAGAGCGAAGGACGATTCGACTTTGACACTTGGGAGCTGGCCCGCCAAAACGCTGTCACCATTTGCCAGGGTTCCTCCAAGGGCTCCGACGGCGATGTGAACATGGAAGAAGAAAAGAACGCCAGCGGAAATGGCTTCATTCGGGAGACAGTGGAGGATCAGATCTACAGCGACTACGTCTACAAGCTTGACTCGATTTGAGCACAGCAATACACGGAGAGTCAGAAGTGATATAGGCCGAGGGTGCAATACCCCTGTCCCTGAGCTGCCGTCACACCTAGTCCTTTTCTTTCCACGCACACGATTTCCCCAGAGATGTCACATTTCCCACTCGACTAGGGTGCGACAGTACCACCCACTACGTGCCTGAGTATGACACCCGATCGAGGCACCATCACCTGACTGTCGCTGCATGTACAACACGCTTTGCCTGCCACAAGCGACAGTCCTGCAGAGGCTTGTTTCGCTCCCTCGGACTCTTGTAGTCCGAAATGAGCATGGTGGCCCCTTGGGGACCACTTGGTTACGTCGCTACGGTGAGAAATGGAGCGGTGAAGGGGAATAAGTATGTCAGATCGCAGGTGAGCGATTTTCGGGCATTTAGGCTCCATAGAAGTAAAGCGAGCACAACAAAGCCACTGTTCATGCAATGTCTTGACATAGTAAGATAACTATAGACGTCAGTATCTGAGCGCACCATACATAGGCGAGCAGAGTTCGACTAATGCGGGAAAGTGATTAATCCACGGGTCTCTCTGTCTGGGGAGAAGTCTATCTTTCTCCAATGACTTTCTCTCAATCCCCGCCAAACCCTAAGCCCATCCTCAATTTATCCGGGCGCATCCTTGTCATAAGTGGAAGACGCTAGAACCCCATCTCTGACCCACGACAGATCTCGAGACGTCGGATCCGCAATCCCCGTTACATCCGAGTCACCCTTGATTACTTTCCTATGGCGAGCCGCGATACCCTTCAGTCTGACAATTCATCTCTCTCGTGCTCACCAGTCAGTGCGGCGCTTCTCCGCGACTATGCCCTTCACATAGGACCCTCCCAAACCCACACCGAGATCCCCGACACCCCTCACGGCACAGTCTCGCCCAAGTCTGAGATCCAAGAAGAGGGCTTGTCGCTGCCTCTGACGCTACGGCCCCTCACGAAGTCCATTTCTCGGCCTCGGTCCCAGAAAGCGCTGTCGACTGACTGCATCCCGCGACAAACCATTCTGAAAGCCCTAGCCTCGCGATCCTCGATCATCACCAATAATCCGAACACGATGTCGGCGAGTTCCTGGACGAACTTGTTGAACAAATCCACCCAGGCTTCCCCGCCTTCCGATGACCGGCAGCGCCGCGGCAGCAATGCCTCCCAAAATCTTTCCACAGCCCTTTCCAACCTGCAATTAAACGGATACCTCGATAGATCGCCGGCAACTGCACGACTAGTATTGCAGTCGCCATGCTATTTCCACCAGCGTTTCGACGACGCTGTCAATATAAAGAAGGTGCTTGAGGAAATCGCCGATGACGAGTGGCTGTCCCACTCACGGCTAGTTCAGACGGCAACTGGTGTGCGTGAGGTGTCCAAGCAGCTCCAGCGCCGTCCGATCAAACGCGCTGTGCGAAATGTCATGATTGTCACCAAGGCTCGGGATAACAGCCTGGTACACTTGACTCGGGAAGTTGCCGAGTGGCTGCTTTCAACGCCAAGATATGGGAACAAACAGGGTGTCAATGTCTATGTGGACGCGAAACTGCGGAATTCCAAGCGCTTTGATACACCGGGTCTTTTGCAAAAAGATCCCATGTTTGCGCAGATGCTGTATTTCTGGACACCAGACCTCTGCTGGACATCACCGGATAAATTTGACCTAGTCTTGACACTAGGGGGTGACGGCACCGTTCTCTTCACTTCATGGCTGTTCCAGCGTGTTGTGCCACCTGTGCTCTGCTTTTCATTGGGCAGCCTCGGCTTCCTCACAAACTTCGAGTTCTCAAATTACAAATCACAACTAAATGGTGTCATGGGTGATGTTGGCATGCGAGTCAATCTGCGCATGCGATTCACATGTACCGTTTACCGGAAAGACCGGAGTAAAGGCGCAGAGGCAGGTGCGGTCGAGGAAGGCGAACAGTTCGAAGTTCTGAACGAACTGGTCATCGACCGCGGCCCGTCTCCCTACGTCTCCAATCTAGAGCTTTATGCCGACGACGAACTTCTCACTGTTGTCCAAGCAGACGGCTGTATCTTTTCCACTCCAACCGGCTCAACAGCATACTCCCTCTCAGCTGGCGGCTCTCTCATGCACCCTTCCATCCCCGGTATCCTCCTCACGCCCATCTGTCCTCATACCCTCTCCTTCCGCCCAATGGTCCTCTCAGACTCCCACCTCCTCCGCATCGCAGTCCCCAACACATCCCGCTCAACCGCATACTGCTCCTTCGACGGCAAGGGTCGCGTCGAACTCCGCCAAGGCGACTATGTCACCGTCGAAGCAAGCCAGTACCCCTTCCCAACAGTAGTCTCCAACAACAACGAGTGGTTTACAAGCGTCCAACGCGCTCTTCGTTGGAATACCCGTGGCGCAATCCAAAAAGGCTGGGATGGCGGCGACGGCGCCGACCTGAGTCCTGACCCCAACGAAGACGAGCAATGGGACATCGATACCGACACCGGCGTCGGCGGTACAGATAGCGGCATCGGTCCCAGTGAAGACGGAGACGCAATGTCCCCCAACCCCATGCGTCGACAAATGAGCTTACTCAATATGTGAGCTCACAAGTGCAAGTTAGCGATTCTTCTGTTTTGTTGTTTGCTCTATACCTTTTTTTTGGTTTCTTTCTCTCGGGATTATATCTACATTCTTATTCCTTTCCCATCTGTCACTATCAGCGTCATAGGATCTATTTGGCGTTCGGCTCGCATTGTATCTATCTATCCATTTTCCATTTGTTCATTGGCTCGATGGCTGGCAGAATCATGTCTGGCTTTTTCATGATTATTTTACCTTGTCAATAGATTATGACATGTTGCCTCTACGGCAGATAGAGTGCTTCGGCGGGTTCCTTTGGTTGACTTTCTTGCCTGGATTTTTATCTCCTTTCGGGCTGTGTGAAATATATGTTAGCTTTGGAACTACTTACTTTCAAAGCCTGTCTATTATATCGACTAACGGACTCATCCTTTAGGATTATACCAATATTCACTTCCACAAAGTATGTATTTTCGCTCTCCACGATGACCATATAGCAAGCAGTTCTTGTCATCACGGTACACACTTAAAACAAAACGGAATGCACAACTGCCACGTTGAGTAACGATACACCTCCTGGACCACATGCTCATAATCCGGAATAAGAATACGCACATCGGAGAGTATCTAAATCATTAGCGAAAAGTTGATTGTTTCAATCATTGGCTTCGACAATATGATGCACGGATTCCCCAAAACTGATCTTTTTCTTCTCCCCTCTGCCGCCCACGGATCTGAGAATGCAATGGGGTAAACCGAAAGGATCTGGCACGATATATACCTCAATAGATTGGGAAAGAAGCTAAAGCGGCAATAGGGCTATAAATGGATACACCAACCACTGAGAGAGAGATTGCCATAGGGTTGGGAGGAACCATTTGCGATGTCAAGGAATTCATTTGAATAACATGACCTCTACATCTTCCTGGGTGCTCAGTTCTTGCTCTTTTGACTATCGAAAGTACAAAGCTAAATATATACTAAGCTTTAGAAGCCTCAAGCAACAACTCTCATGATTTTAGAAATTTCCAGTATCAAGTTTGCAGATATGTATCAGGATCTGGGTAATGTACCAATGCTAGTCAGCTTGATACCTTCGTGCTTCCCGATATAGGGGAACCTAGGTACATGTCAGTATTGCAGCTCTTCAAATTTCTTATAAAGTCCTCTTTCGTCATAAAGGAAGACCGCTTTTAGACCCACTAGATTCTTATACTAAATTCTAGAGGTTCCTCGGGTCGTGTCAACATACCCTTAAGGGTGCGTGTGACACTTTCCAATATCTGGTTCCAGACGGGGCTCCCGAGAATGTGCATGATAAGCTATGCCCAGAGGAGAAAGTGGGAAATAAGGTTGTTCTATTGTGTGTATCACAGTTGGAGAGAAGTCGGCTACACGGGCAACTTGATAGGCAACTTCAAAGACTGGTTCTGAACTACGTCTCCTATGCCACCCTATCAGCCACCTACAATCACACTATGAATTTCAAATTATCTGTTTAAGAAGTCTTCACGCAGTCAAAACTGCCATTGACTATGGAGTATAGCGTCGAGAAAACCAAACTTCGGCAAGAACATAGCGCAAGGTCCAAGCACCGGCCTTACAAGGCTTCCACCGGGCCGACAAAAAAAGGTATGATCACCTAGGAATAATGAAAATTATAGATCCAAAGCTGAGATAATGATACCATCGCATATGACTCAAAGCAATTCTCCTCGAGTTGCCCCCATAGCGCCGGAGGGGCAGTCTTATCTCCATTGCTTATGAGTTCCCCCGCAACAAAGCCGAATCTTTGGGCGTCGGTCCCGGTTGGTAAGGGCCGGCCCCACAGCCATCGCGCAGACCTTCTCAATACGGAAACCCTAACAGAATATCTATCTTATCACGCCCTTAGCTGCTTTGGCCACTCCGGGGTGACAAAGTATGGGGGAGAGCGGATGGTTCCGAAGGTTATAAGATGTATCGTCTACCCCTTGCTAGGTGACATTTGCCTCTTACTCATTATTCTTGACTCTGCTACCATGTCGACTATAGAGGATGACCCGAAGGTGTTTCAGGGCATGCCTAATGAAGATGCCCGTCTGGAGAATTTGGGATATGAGCAAGGTTAGTCTACTCAGAATCCTTCTCGATGTTGACTTGCAACAAGCAGGTTGCTAATATGTTACTGCAGAGCTCAAGAGATCTTTTGGTCTCGTGAGTATGATTGGATTTAGTTTCAGTGTGGTAACATCGTGAGTAGCATATCACTCTGCTATGTCGCATCTGATCTGTACTGACAACATCCCAGATGGACGGCATTGAGTGGTGTATTCATCGTCGGCGTGACTTCCGGCGGTCCTCCTGTTATGATCTTCAGTTTCATTGGTGTCAGTCTGTTAACATTAGCTGTCGCCATTCCTATGGCAGAGATGTGTTCGATGTACCCTGTGGCGGGTGGTCAATATTCATGGGTCGCGGCACTGGCTCCTCCCAGTATAGCTCGAGGTCTTTCTTACGTGACTGGATGGTTCATGTTGATTGGTAATGTTTTCGATCCCATTGCCTCTAGACACCTGCTAATACCGGTATAGGTCTATTGGCTATGGGTGCCACAAATAACTCGATTGCCTCGAACTTTGTTCTCGGCATGGCCAACCTGATATTCCCCGAATTCGAAATTCAAAGATGGCAAACTGTCCTAGTCGCCTACCTCGTCGCATTCCTCTCAGCCGCCGTGAACCTCTGGGGTTCCCATTTACTCCACCGAATCTCAAAAGCGATTTTGATTTGGAACGTTGCATCATTTGTTATCGTTACAGCCACTATCCTCGCCACAAACGATCACAAGCAGCCAGCATCCTTTGTATTCCAGGATTTCCAGAACGGAACTGGATTTGGATCCGGCATGGCCGCTATTATCGGTGTCTTACAGGCTTGCTTCGGTATGTGCTGCTACGATGCCCCGTCACATATGACAGAGGAAATGAAATCGGCCTCGAAAGAAGCGCCTAAGGCCATTGTTCTCGCCGTTGTACTCGGTGCAGTCACTGGACTCATTTTCCTTGTTTCTCTCTGCTTCTGCATCGGTGATATCGAATCGACAGCTGGCACGAGTACCGGTGTACCCGTTATTCAGATTATCTATGATTCCACAGGAAACAAAGCTGCTACTGTTATCTTGTCAAGTTTAATATCAGTCATTGTCATCGTGGCTGGAAACAACATTCTTGCTGAAGGCTCGCGTGCTGCGTATGCCTTTGCCCGAGATAATGGTCTGCCTTTCTCCAAGTTCTTTAGCAAGGTCGAGAGCAAGTCTCACGTCCCTGTCAATGCTGTGCTTCTCACTCTTGCTGTGCAACTTGCGCTTGGTGCTATTGAGTTTGGTACAACCACTGGGTTCCAGACTGTTATTGCTATCTCGACCGAAGGATTTTGTAAGTTTCTCTGTTCCGCTTTCTTGAGAAGCCATCGCTAATCTCTCATTTCCAGATCTATCATATGCAATGGCACTTATCAGTCGCCTGGCTGGATACTTTTTCGGCCATGTAACTAAGCTCGACGGGCCCTACTCTTTCTCCGTGCCAGTCTCTATCGCTCTCAACATCATCGGACTCCTGTTCCTTCTCTTCGCCGCCATTACCTTCAACTTTCCGAGCACAAACCCTGTTGATCAGCAATCTATGAACTATACCAGTGCTGCTGTTGGTGTTATTGGCGTTATCAGTTTTATCACCTGGATTACAACGGGTCGCAAGCAATTCTCTGGCCCTGGTGGTGTGAGCTTCTTAAGTGGACAGAATACCGCACAAGAGGTCACCGCAGCAGATGCACCGGTGGCCGAGAAGAAAAGTTGATTGGATGTTTACTGAAAAGCGATATATACTTATACATAAATCCTTGTCTTGGAGCCATATGTCTCTAACAATTATACTCATTGGGGAAGACATTTCGAGTTATCTGCAAATTTCACTTATACTTCAAGTGACTGGACCCAGCGTAGAGTCATATGTTGCCGCCTTTTGGACGTCAAAAAAACGTACTGAACATCGGTTTCGTTGATGTTGCCGTTTGAATGTAAATCCGCAAGATTTTGTACACACAGCGGCAGGAACTCATAGCGAGCTAGTCAACTGGGCGTTTCGGGTAAGAAGAAAGACATTAAAGACGGGATAGAAGCAAGACACATTTGAACGCAGAATGGAGCACGCCAAGGCCCCTTACTTGGGATCAGAAAGTAAGCACCATATTTGATCCAGCAAGAAACCATGAAGCTGGTGAGAAGGAATGTATATTCAAATCCACACAGCAAGGACGCAGCCTCAGCTTCCGATGCCTGAGAGTCTCCAAATGACCCTGAGGGCATCACTGACAGATTGAGATCAATACAAGAGGAGCGAGAAGCAAGTGATGCCTCTTCGAACTCGCGCACCTCTAACGACACTTGGATCTGGGGTATCAAACCAACATCCCTTTCTGTGGAGCGCTCTAACTAAGAGGACATACTTACCACTGTTATGAGCACTGCTGCGGTAGCCAACGACCAAGCAAAATATGGACAGGCCGACTGCAAGCAATCAGAGTCTGAACATTTCCCTGTGCCCATCAGTGCTGTGGTTGAAAACCACCAAGAGCCATTCAGTGTAGGCGAAACAGCAGCCGCGGGAGGTGGATGCCGCTTTTAGGAAGATGTGGAACACCAAGAGGGTCTAGAAAATTGCTAAGATAAGTTACGAGAGGCAGAAGAGGGCTTTTGAGCTTTGGCATAGGCAGGATGTTGAGATTATCAGGCGTCGTCGGCAGCTTCTGAATGATGCCGATCAGGAATTGGAGGATCTTTCCAGGTTTTGATAGCGAGGATGGGAGCACATCCGGTTCAAATTAGATGGGATTTTCCTGCAACAAGTAACCTTGTCAGAGCTGAATATATCATCGAAAAAGAGGAACCTGATGTTCCTCTTGGCTCTTTTTGCAACGAATTATTGCGGAATTCAAAATTACAATAGATTGTTCACGTGGCTGATACTGAGAGCATTTTGATGGGGATGGCCTTTGAAATGCATGTCTCATTCGAGCAAACCATACCAAATACAAACGCTGCCGAGTTCCCATTACCTCCATGAATGGTTGTGACTGAACTAACAAATGAGTTCTTCCTCCTTTCGTTCAATTTCCCGTACCTCTTGACGGATACACCCACATATCATGACTTCGATCTTCCTTCAACCTAGTGTATACATCTACCATGAAATCTTTGCGTCTCTAAGGCCTCCTGGGTTTGGGCCGCATAAATGGTGATCGACGCAGTGCTCCGGCCTGGATTCTCCACACAGGGCGCGCTAAATTGAGAAAAAGGGGCCCAAAATCACTCAGTAGTTCCCGAACGAAAGAATCGTCGGAGTTATATAGGCTCGAACGTGGCGACGGGATGTTCCCAATATCCTTAAATGTGAGATACATCCAGAGGTCTTTCCAATAGGCCAGCGATATCTTCGCGGCTTCGTGGGATAGGTCAACATTTTTGGCAACCAGGTAAAATGAGGATTTGATACCATGGCACTTAGGATGTTTGTAGAGTTGAACATCGGAAAACTTGTTGAAGGCGTGGAGTATGCACACTGTGTCCCAGGATTCGACGCGGTGAAGGAGCAGAACTATCGAACCCCCGTTTTTAAGTCGATTAGTTGCGAAGATCAATTGTGAAACCGTTAAACGCGATCGTTCATGTTCGCTACGGTACCGCTCAGTTGGATGAACATTTGCTACCGCGCCACCGCAAATCACTATGTCGTACTGGTTGTCATGGTACGGACGGGATGTTTCAAACTTTTCGGAATTAGGATGACCGGCTGGAATGTGCTCATTCGAAATGATTTCTTTCGAGTACATCGTAATATCAGCATATATAATATGTCGACAAATGTCATTTGCCATGACTTCATGGCCACCCGCATGAGGAGGAAGCGTAATAGCATCAATAAGAGATCCAGGAAGTTTTCGCTTGGCTATCGTACTGAATCCACCAGGTGCCATGCATAGGTCAAGAACCTGGGAGCAAGCCGATTTTGAAGCGAATAATCTCGTCGTAGACGCTAACTCATTGCCTATCTGTATCGTCATATTGTAGAAACTTTCCTTGACTTCTCGGTCTGGATTGGTCGCGTTTCTTTTTCGATCATCAAAGAATTTGTCTCCGTCTGGTTTCGACCAGCCCTAGGATCTTCAGCGTTTGTCGGGCCTTGGGAGGAACAGACGCAGTCTCACATTGTCCTTCAGCTCACACAAATCTTGGTAAGTCGGATCTGAAGATATGAAATCATACCATAATTGACTAGATTCAGCCATGGGATTACTGTTTACTGAAATGAGCTTGGATATAATCCTAAGAAAAGTAAGTGAGGCAGCGGGTAGAGAAGTAGGAGGGGCATAGGTGGGGTTTTTGACGCATAAGTACCCGACAGGCCATAGTGAATATATAAGCAGTACAAAATCGGTCTCAAAGGGGCTTAGGCTGGTAATCTTCAATATTGCTCACGACAGTGGTTGTGAAAAGAGAAGCGGTGATCGATACAGCATATGTCAGAAGAGAATTCGAAAGAGAATTCTCAAGGAGAGAGAGTAGTGAGACTCGTTTTGATACGTGGCTCAGTTGTAAGGACAAGCCCCAGACAAAACCTTCAGCATTTATCTTGTAGACTGCCTGTCAACCATTGTAATCCACTTCTGTAGCGTATTGGCAGTGGGGCCTGGAAAGATAATATCAATGCTTGGGGTGGAAGCTGATTTCGCTACTGTATCGAACTCCAGAGAGTAGCACCTCGTCACCTCTACACTCTTAGTTTTGCTCGCCTCTCATGTTCTCCCCATATGTGACCAGTGACGGGAGACCTGAGCGTAAGATTATCTTATCGGTGCGAGTTGACGTAGAACGATACGAGGTTAAGGCTGAAAAGAGTACAGCATGGCAGGGTTGTGCGACTAGATCTGATACTCATCGCAGTATAGATCATCTTCTCATGTTTGTATTGGCTGTAGATTACGAACCAGGCTACACATAGAGGGACGATCCTCAGATGCCTATGTCATATCTACGTGTACCGAAGTGACAATTCCTTCATACTCTATCTTGCACGTGTAACCCATTGCCACGTTCAGCCCCACGGTTCTTGATGGCCCGATCGTGGCATGTCCCCTCTATTAAACATTAAAACAATGCACCTGCTGCAACCACTGTAATCTGAGCACCTGAAAATCCATTTCTAGGATAGTCTGGAGATTCCCTAATATCCACATAGTGTGAGCCGTCGAAATACAAAACTTCGCAAGGGATGGGCAGAGCCGCGTAACATGCAAAATGACGCCTACCGCCATTCCCTCGCTTCGATGGGCCTCTGAGCAGAATTGACCGATCACCAAGCGGCAGGGATCCAGTACACATAACTGGCGGTCTGAATCTACGATCGGCCCCCACCCCCCAGCTTCGCCAAATCAGCACGGAACCTTCACCCCACTGACGACGCTAGATCAACACTAGATCTGACTGTCGGTGTAGTCGGGTTCAAAAGAGGCGGTATGTTGTGCCAGCTATCCAATCATACTGATTTCCCCTGGCAAATTCGGGGCTATTTCCGATCACTGGCAGGACATCTGGAGACGCTTAGATGGTCGTTTTTATTTGACCGGGGAATTGGGACATGACGAATACCGAGTGATCCTGGTGGGATCGGCGATGCTAGAGATATAGGACGTTCGTGCTTGTAAAAGGTTTTCTGCGCAACGTGCATGTACATGGCCAATTGGGGCTTGTTCGTGGGGCTGGGCACACCTTAGGATGAGAGGTGAGATTTATCTGAAGATCTTTTTTTGAACTTATATTGAGGTAGTGGAAAGTGAAGTTATACCCCATAGTCTCCCAAGTACTCTATCTCCGTGCCTTTTTCAAAGACAGTACACCATGCTCGCCTGGTTCTTATTCGGCAGTGCCGTGGCCTATAACCTGGTCATGATCATTTATCGCCTTCATTTCCACTCCCTTGGTCGATTCCCTGGTCCTCGACTCGCTGCTGCGACAGGACTATATGAGATCTACTTTTCAGCGTGGGGCCCTGGTTTCTTCGAGAATGAGATCGACCAGATGCACCAGAAATATGGTTAGTATACTACCGTGGTACCACATCAACTCCAATCTGACTTTGCCAGGTCCAGTGGTTCGCATAACTCCCGATGAGGTCCACGTCCAGGAGCCATCTGGCTCTGTTAACTATGCCGACCGTTGGATCAAAGATACGCGAGCATTGGAGTCCGGTCGCCCATTGCAACACACCCATTTCCAAATCAGGAAGCGATCCATGTCTCGAGTTCGGTCGTTGATCCGGGTGGAGGTCAATCAAATCATCCGTGGCCTGATCGAGAAGCACCAGGTGCATAAAGTGTTTAGTGCAAGACTTCCACTTTTCATTCCACTCGCGCGTCCACGGATCCCACCCGGATATGACAAGGAGGATGTTCCAGTCTCAGATATTCCCCCAACGTCTGGTTCTCGGGGTAATTGAGGCCATAGAGTTCAACCCCCGCACAGTTGACGAGAAAGAGTCGGGAGGTTTAAAGCCACCCGTTGGCAGGTCCCTGTTTTTCTGTCGTCCACATTCCGATCTCTTGATATAAGTGTGAGAGATCTAGCAGAGGGATCTAGCAGAAACAAAAGGAGAGATACCTGTGTGTGAACATTGATTACAAAGGCAACCCTGGAAAGTTCGGCTCGGCTTGGCCCCGCCTAAACGCCTCATTTTTATACCGGGACACGCGATCGCACCTCAACTCTTTCTCTGCCACATTACAGCTATAATTAATCATGGTACGTCTGCCAAATTGCTTCAATCTCTCAGAGCTGGACTCTGCATTTCCAGCCCCTACACAATGAAACCTCGAACCAAGGCTAACCCAATCGCAAACAGCCTCACGCCGACTCCTCCTACTTTGCGCCAGGCCTAACCAAGGCCGACGTCTACACCCAACTCCTGGACCAAACACAAGGTCTACTGGATGGCCAACGGAACTGGGTCAGGTGAGTGACGTGCGATCCCTCCGAAAGCAATGCGACCACCCCAGAACCAGACCCCAGCTAACCCCACACCAGCAACCTCTCCAATGTCGCATCCCTCCTCTGGCACGCCTATGCCTCCCTCCCAGCACCCTCCTCCTCCGTCAACTGGGCCGGCTTCTACATCCGCGATGACAAGTTCCCTGCCCTTGCTTCGCCTGTCTCCTCTCCTCCACTGCCAGGCGCGCCAGGCTCCGGCGGCGTGACCATCTCGACTACATACTCCTCCTCGGAGAACCAGATCCTGCTCCTTGGACCCTTTATGGGCAAGCCTGCTTGCCAAGAGATCCGCTTTGGACGAGGTGTGTGCGGTACCGCGGCCGCGAAGGGTGAGACCGTTGTTGTGCCCGATGTGCTCGAGTTCCCGGGACACATTGCATGCGACGCCGAGAGTCGGAGTGAGATTGTTGTGCCGATTTTGGTTCGGGGAGAGGTTCGTTCTTATTCCCTGGTATTGTGTTGTGGGTCAGTGTGGGCTAACTTTGTTTTCGCAGACTGTCGCTATTATCGACATCGACTGCACCGAGCCCTCCGGCTTTGACGACGAAGACAAGAAGTACCTTGAGCAGCTGGCTACTTTCCTTGGCGATAACTGCGATTGGTGAAAAAAAAGAGCACTATACATCTATAATGGTTATGAAATATACGGTCTAGGATAAAAGTCGTTTGTTAGAACTGCGAGTTTTGCTGTTGGTTTCCTTTCGCGCAAAAGTTTTGGGATTTTTTTCTATGCAGGGCCTGCTACTGCCACAGGTCTTTGTGTATCTCTTTCGTGTATACTTAGAATTCTTTTTTTAAAAAAATTATAGAACTTTCCACGCAGTAATTTTCTTACTCGGCATGGATTCTGGGCATGTGTCTGCGACTCAAATGCTGTGAATAGTCCATTGGTCCAAACAGGTCGCTTCGCCAAAGTCCATTTTCGAGTCTCGGGCATATCGATCCCCATACGGAATGATAGAGCATTGAATCCAACCTCCGTCACAGGCCCAAGAGTCAGATCCAACTCCCCTCCATAAAGCCAACAAGGCACATCTTCCCCGTTGGTGTACCGAGCCTGGAACTCAAGCCCATAGCGAAGTCGCTCCGGAATATCAGTCTTGTACAGATCCTCCTGGAAAACATCCTGACCGAACCATAATCGACGATCGCATTAGGTGATGAACTCTCCCCGCACGTTGCGACAGGATACTCCCCATCACTAGTCATATAATCGTCGCAAGAACACGAGCCTTGAACAGTCGCATGGTATGCTCGTAGCTCTGAGCATCTTCAAGGCAAACAGCCGTACCAATTGTTGCCTCGTTCATAGCTACCATGACACCAGCATGCCTAACAAGCTCCCCGGCCATGGCACAAACAGATCCAATCCAACCCGCCTGCAAACGGGTATTAGATATATGGTGGCTTTTTTTGGTTGGGTTCTTGGGTTTCGCTTTCCTTCTGTCTACTATAGAAGATTAAATACAACTAAACTGTACAATATGTTGATCTATTCCTGTGAGTATCATTAGGATCTAGCATTCATTCAAGCGAACATGTTCATGGTATATCTCAGACATAACTAAGATTCAATGTAGATGAAACAGACCCGGGTCGGTTAGAACTATGAAACGCAGGATGGGCAATATGGAACTGTTGATTGCAGGGACTAACGCAAAGATCTCCCCTGCCAAGTTACATCGTGCCGAAATAATGTCATTTAGCTTCAACTGAAACGAGTCACATCTAGGAACTGGTGATCCTGCATCTTCTCGGGTGGAGATGCGATTTTTGTCCATGTCAAACACTTCATGTGGGCCATGAAGTTTGATTGAGTATGCTATAGTGCAGAAGCAGATCATGATGTTCAGCTCTCATTAGGTAAAATAAAGACCTGCTGCTCTCGTAAAACTTTCATACTTCGAAACTCGGTCTCCAGGTCATTAATATTGCTAGACGTTCGTAGTAGCCTGTTTTTAACAACCACCCCGCTAACATACCTTTTTCATCGGAGCAGCGACCCTCATTGCCACGTCTCATAATAGCAACCAGTAGCTTCATTCTGATTCAAATTTAGAGCTTTCGACCAAGAGGTTCTTGAAAGAGTCGGGTTAACCACCACTACACACCCGCTCCGCACGGCAGCGGCTCCACTGCCCACCCTGTCTATTCTGTCTATTCGACTGACCCCGGGGCAGAAGATCTTGCCGATCTTTTCGGCATCTGTGTCCATGCAGGTGTCAGTGTCAGTGTCAGTGTCAGTGTCAGTGTCAGTGCTCATGTCTGAGAGAAAATGGGAAATCGGCAGATCTCGGTGCCTCTGCGGCTGTAATCAATCCGTCTCAGGGATTGTTGTTACCCCTGACCATGCCCCACCTAATGATGACTTTCTGAGTACATCCCGATATCGATATCCACTTTTCTCATGATTGTAGATGGTAATATAGCATGGATGGATTGCCAGACGGTTATGAGGAGCGGGATCATGTAGCAAAAGAATCTTGACAAGGATGAGTAGACCGACTATCATACTACAACTCTTCATATTGGTCATTTTGATCACTTGATGTTGTTCTCAATAGCTTCTAATAGCTTCAAATCAAAACATCAACGTACAATGTAACACAAATTATTGATCTTTCTAGGATCGGACGACATTCATACTCCGACATTCTCAAATTCGACCAATACTTGAAACGCCAAATTGAAGCTCAATACTACGCTACGATTGCTGATAGAGTTTGCAGATCAGCATGTATACTGAAACGCCGCCATGTTTCGTCTTGATAAAGCACCACATATAACAAACTATGTACATTCATGGAAATGAATGCAAGCTCCACACAATTACTATAAGAAGGGTAACAACAGCACACCCAGAGCTGTCCATTAATAGATCATACCTAAAGCACAAGTCGAGAAAATCCACCCAAAATGAAATTCACCAACACAATCCTCCCAACTCTCGCCCTCCTCCAACCAACCCAAGCCCTAGTCGGCATAAGCTGGAGCACGAGCAACGGCAGCAAACCTCTCAACGAGATAACCTTCCCAATGAACGTCGCAAACGCAACCCACGAAAGCGGCTACTACTTCGCGCAACAATTCAACTTCGCCAACCAAGAAGACGTAGGTTACACCGGTCTCCAACCACGCCCGAACAAAAACTCCAAACCACAACTCCACGCCGCCTTCTCCAGCTTCATAGCAGGAACAACCTCAGCAGACCCAAACTGCAGCGACGGGGCAGACGGCGGCGCAGGTGTGAGCTGTGCAGTCGACATCGAGGGCTCGTATGCGCATACTTATTTACTGCATATCAACAATACAGCTGGCACGACATGGACCGGGACGTTGATTGATGCGGTTAGCGGGAATGAGACTCGTGTTGGTTCTTATACGCTTCCTACGGGGTCTGGTGGTATTCAGGGGGATCAGATGGGCTTCGTGGAGTATTACCCTTGGAATGCTGCTGGCGGGCATTCTTGTGCGGATCTGCCCAGGAGTGCGGTTACTTTTGGGAAGCCGGTTTCTCCGGGGAGAATTGGGGCTTTGAAGGATGCTTATGAGTATGGAGATTGTGTTGGAAAGGTTGGGTTTGAGACGCATCGGACTCTGAGGGGCGTTGAGGTTTCCATTGGGGTTTGAAATGGTTTAGTTGCATTGCTAGTATTGTAGTTCGTCTGGGTACCTTGGTGGATATAAGATTAGGATCGTGCCTTAGGGTTGTTGTATACTTGACTTGTACCACCGTATATAATTATCATGAACAGACAAGCACAATCTTCTCTAATAAATCATTGCGTGTAGAAAGCAAATGTAGCTGGCAATTACAGTATAGCGGGGGCCGGTTGCGCAATCTGGAACAAGAACAAAGTCCGCTATAGTGAGATCCCAGAGAAATCAAACTATTTGCACCGTTGTCTCCTATCCAGAAAGTCCATACTCCCAATCCCTTCTCTCTATAGTCACGAGACCTGCATTTGCCTTCGTACGCCTCTTACCCCACTAACCATAAATACTCTGACCTCATCCACAGTCCCCAATTCACCAGATCTGCCACCAATACAAAAATGGGACTAAAAGCCCGCTGCCAATGCGCCAAGGTCCAATTCACAACCCCAACAGACAAACCTCTTAAACTATGGATCTGTCACTGCACAGAATGCCAACACCAAAGCTCCTCAGCCTTCGGCATTACAGCAACATTCCCCTACTTTGATCTCCCAGCATCCATGTCAGGGCTAGTGAGCAGCTACACCCGAGTCACGTCGAAAGGCCGTGACATGGAGTGTGTTTTCTGCAAGGGTTGCGGTTCGCGGCTTTTCCATCGGTTCCGGGATTTTGTGCCTGCGCCGGGTGAACAGCCGCATGTCTCTGCTATTACTAGTGTCAAGGGTGGTTGTTTAGAAGACCTTGATCGGGAGATGATGAAAAATGCTATTCATATTTGATGTCAGGAGGCTATTGTTGATATCCCTGGGGGTATGGAGAGGTGGGAGGGGGCGCCTCCCAAGCCGAATCCATTGGTTAATTAGATTAGACGGATGAAGGAATCATTGAACCGAAAAAGATATTTGGTTTTTCGTAGGGGTTATTATAATAAACACAAGTATACTCAGAAACATCGAAGCACTATTAGCCAGAAAGAAAGTGAACCCCACCCCACATATATAAGTCACTCTATCTACCAGATTTTAGGCCGCGGCCGCGACTTGCCCGATTCGGATGCCGCCGCTTTATGAGGGCGCTCAGGGTCCCGCTCACTGAGTATTTCACAGCACAGGGTGAGTACGCCGTGTCGTTCATCCTAAAACGAGTGGTGATTCTCGATTAATTGACCTAGACCTAGAACCCTCTTGCAAGTGGTGGACGGACGATGACCCTTTCGACCATGCAACATCCGAAAGGATTACAGCCTCGGAGCGAGCAGAATCTTATCCTGGCACAGTGTTTGAGCCCAGTCGGACATCGGCCCCCTTGTCTGTTGCATATGGTCTCCCTGAGCAGGCCACGCGGCTCTCGGGAGAAACGTTGGTCGATGATCGACGATCCTGGCAGGGGAGTCGGCAGTTGGGGGCTAGAGTGCCAATCACAAAAAGTGGGTTCGGCAGAAAATCATCGAAGGTGGCTTCTAGTTAGCCAGACATATTAATAAGTTACCCGGCATAATCCATCCATTCAGACAAGTCGCAGGCCTACTGCGTTTATCTGTATGACCGCGCATGTATTTGTCCTAGATGATTATTGTTGTGATATGAGGCTGGTGCAGATCAGGAACCAAGCCGAACCATCGGAATTAATCCCGAAGTATGTATACGAAGAACCAATTTGATTTGCAATCAAGTTGAAATTCTGGTTGTATACATAGCGTCATGTTTCCCTCTGAATAAGAAGACAATTTCATACCTCTGAACTATAACAGATTCCCGAGTGAAGGTTGCCAGATTTTGGATGGTGATTCGATGACCGACCTGAACTTCGCCTGGGGTTGGCATCTCCGACCCGAGACTTGGATCAGGACTTCGTTGGGATTGTTCTTTTGCATCGACCAAGAGCTGTCAGCAAGATGTACATGTCTAACCTATGATTGGTGATCGTGGATCGATCGAGCTTTCGATAAAGGGGCTCATAGTGGGGAAGAGACAATAATGACGTCAGAGAAATGCTGCACAAACCGTCCTCCACAAGTCTTCTCACCTCGTTTAGAGCGCGCGACGCCACCTAGAAGAAAAAAGGCATGAAATTCTCTTGGCTTGTTTCTTGGTGAAAATATATAAGCGATGCCATCCCAGAGAGTTGACAGTGTTTAGGCGTACCATGCTTTTACTTAAAAGGACGATATTTATATGGTTAACGTCATGTGGCAGCAGATGAGTGCTCCAGAAATCGTTGGTCAATAACCTTGTCCTCCTAAGGACACCTTATTTGATGATGACTAAAACCAATCAGCTCGTTCATTCGGCTATATCGACACGGACTTCCCCAACCCTAACGGAGAAAACGATACTAGTGTCATCATATATGGCTACACACCCTCCATTGGGCTTGCCGCCTTTGCCGCGGCATGGTTCTTTGTTCACCTGGTCGTGCATACCGCGCAAAATTTTACAACTCGCTGTTGGTGGTGGATGACATTCTCCACTGGCTTAATTTTCGAGATCGTTGGATACATTGCGCGATCTTTATCAGCCAAAGAGGATCCATACAACCTTATCTTTTTCGTTCTCCAATACTTCTTCATTGTGACTGCTCCGGTATTTCTCGCTGCGGGGATTTACACCATTTCTTCGGCACTGATCTCCCGACTGGGGAAAACATACTCATTCCTCAAGCCGGCGGTCATCTTGGGATTTTTCATCACTTCAGATGTGGTCTCAACCATCGTCCAGATCGCAGGTGCTTGTCTAGTTGGCGTGAAAGAATCTCAACGAGAGGATCCCACAACGGCGAACCACATTTTGCTGGCTGGTCTTGCCTACCAAGTCTTTGCAATGAGTATATTTGTCACCTTGATGGCAACATTCCAATTCCGAGCTCGACATGCCATAAAGGAACACGGTTACCGACTCTTCTGCTTTGCCTGTTCTGTTGCGACTATCATGGTTTATCTGAGAACCATTTTCCGCCTGGCAGAGACAGCACAGGGTTTAGGCGGAAATTTGTCAACCAATGAAGTGTTTTTTGCGTGCCTCGAATTCGCACCTATCGCCGTCGTGGTTCTTTTGCTTGGTATTTGGCATCCGGGTCGCTGTCTAGGAGCAAAGGTGCGCGTTTGTGACGAGAATATGCAGCTATATGGTGACTTGAGAACGTTTCCTCATTTTCATGCATAGCTAGTTGCTAGAGACTTATCAATAGTCTACCACATGGCAACCACTGGATGGATGTGTACCAACCAATTTATGTAGAAATACCTCGACTATATTGCCACTGAGTTGCCTATCTAACTTTGTAAGCCACGCAGTTGAGTAGGAACCCGTAATGACTCGTTCAAGCCTTGATTTACCTTAAAGCATTGAATTTCCCCGACCGTCTTATTGTAAGAATTTCCTGATCGTTGGGCATTATGAGGTGCGGGCTCTGAGACAGTAGCAAGGTTGATTGGCTTTTAGCGCCATACATCATAGCATCGGTTAAGATGCGCGTTGTGAATTAGAAGCATACAATTTACTCAAGAAAAGGTTGGGCGCACGACTAATTTTTCGTCGTTTTATCAGAAGAATCCTGTCTTATATCTAACTATGCTTCTCTGCAGGGCTTCGAAAGATATATGATCAAAATGGATATCCATAAATCATTGGGAATATGTGTTGAGTATCGCGGTGCGCCGCCAATCTCCAAAATCGCCATTTTATCAGAAAGGCGCTCCTAAATGACGATCTTCGGAGCTGCAAGATATCAAATAATAGGTACATAAAGGTTTTGTGGCGGGCGAACTTATAGGCGTCAGCGAGGGCGAACTATTCCTATCATTCGTTTACCTTCTGCTATGGTAACTCAAAGCCCATTCAGCAAGAGCACTCAGGGACACTGGGATATTGCGCTCGTCTAGGTTGCCTCCGACTCCTATTGGGAATAAGGTGGGAAAAGCAGAAGTAAAATAATAAGGATCTGACCAATGATCCATTAATGCAACTTGGCTATAGGTCCTGTAAGAGACTTCTGGGATTCTTTGACCGGCTGCAGGACATTCCTGTATAGGATTGGGCCTTTCTAAATCTTGTTCGGATGGATGGGATCTGCTACCAACCATATTAAGTATGGTGTTCAATATATGTAAGTCAGAGTTCTAGCGCTCTCTATTGACGTTAATAGAAACGGAACTAGTCAGGAAGAGGCTATAGTCGTTGGAATCAACACTTTTATTTTGTGCTGCTTAGAGATCATTCTCGTAGTTACCCTTTGCTAGGTTAACTATATACCCTTTATATTCATGGTAGTCGAACTAGTCGAGGCGGATAATATTATCCTATAGCTCCGGTGGAATGTATAAGTCACCCCAATTGTCTAACATCGATTGATCAATAGTCAATATCTCATATAGATGATTGTGTCGAACGAGATATTGCAACGCAGCGAGAAATTTGACTCTCCGTATAACAAGAAATAAACTTAGGTTCTTATACGTTAGTGGTCGATCACCTAACCAGAAAACATTAATCAGTCTATCCAATCTTAACTACGGGCTTGGCAGAATTTGAAGTAGCGGACCCAGGTTTTGCAGAATAAGAATAAATGGCCTCGCAACGTACGATGGCTGATAGAAGAGCGCCGGCCGCCTAGACGCAATTTTAAAATGACTCCTAGAGGGTGACGCCTTGCAATAACGCACTCCTCGGTTATAGGAAGATCGTCTAGTATAGACGGGCAGACCTAGTAGAGAGTTACGTTGACGAGATTCTTTGCAAAAAACTTAGGGGCAGCCCCTTGAGGAGGGGCTTTGTGACAGGATAGGCATATATACCAGGCGCGCTCACGCTGGCCGCAGCGATCGAGAGTATCCCGAAAGGTAAGAGCAAAGGATCACCATCATTAATCGGGACAATATCAGCATCTAGAACGAGCTTACCGCAAGGACACCGCGATCTTTTCGAAGCATTTGAGGTCTTCTCCTCATAACTGTAAATTGAATTTTGTATAACAGAAAGTGTTATTTCTGGCGGAAAAGATTGAGTAACGGCTGCATGACGTTCGTATACATCATGTAAAAAGCCAAGTGCCTTATCCAAACTGTCATTGAGTGCTTGTGGGACTAGAACTCTTTGCCCTTCGCACGTTTTATATATCAGCGGCTGCCAAGGTTGTTTGCATGAGGAGCATTGAAAGCTATGCTCCAAAGATAAGGCCATAAGAGCGGAGCGAGTCAAGAATGGAAGGAGAGAATTGTGTAGGGGGCGAAGGTAAACTTGCCCTGTATAGCAGGCGGGGTATCAGGGCATATGAAAATGAAGATTAACAAGGACGTGGCGGTATACAATGGGGAAGGTAATATTTACAGAGCCCAGATAGTAAAAAGAGTAAAATATTTGGATACGGAAATACTCGAAAGGCAGCAGTGAGCGTACAAGGCCCAAAATCGTAAAATAAAAGCATAGAAATAAAATCAAGTGCTGGAGGCACGCGAAAGTATTGGTGTAGATTAGGGCTACGTCGGCGAGGCGGAATGACAGGCGAATAGCAAGAGAAGAGCAGCAGACAGCCAGAATGTGGAGGAAGCAGCACCGGCATAGGCAGATTACTGCGATAGCGGACAGAAAGGGTATACGGCATAACAGACAAGGATGATCCTTGCAAAAAATACAAAGCGGTATGATTAGGAAGCAAAGAGACAAAAAGAGACAACCGAACACGAGAAGGAACGTAACCTGGGATCCAACCGGCACCAATGAGAGAGAGGCTAAGCGGGAGAGTAGGGTGTGTGTTTGCCGCCGTGTCTTTGGCAGCGTCGATGTCGGCGTTGCGCAGCCGTGGGGTTGGTAGCCTCTTCCACTCCGTTCCTTCGTTTCAGGGCAAAATCATCCATCCATCTATCCATCCTGTGGACTGAGGGCGTTCATGGGACTGTCGATTTTGTGTCCATCAATAGGATGGATTATTCCAGGATCGAACAACGGTCTTCTCGGGGCCATAATGTCGTACAAGCCTGATCGCCAGGTTCCTTGCCGACTCATGCTGTTGTGGTATTAATGATAAGGGTATTGAGAAGTCTAGAGCCCTCTCGAGAGAGGGCCGGTGACGGTGAGTTGCCATCGCTGGGAACTTGCGTGCCTTGGCGGCGAGGATGAAGATGGTGAAGGAGGCATGTGATGAGCTGACTCATATCAGGTTCAACGTCGGCCTCACGGCATCTTACAAATTAACATCCAAAATATCCTCTCTACCGTGATACTCACACATTGTTTCTCGGCCCGTACCCACAAACGGCACTAATCCGTATCTGGTTACTCGACAGGCAACCCCTGCCCGGCCGTATCCCGTCATAAAATCCATGGATTTCAGCGACGAATGAGTCATTGTAAAATACTGTAAGTCTCCATAGAAGATTGGGTCCTCGAAGGGGTGGGAAGGGGTGGAGAGAAATAGCGATCTGGCCCTCCACGCCCAGCGACCCCGCCCTTTCTTGACTTCCTCCCGCAGCCTTTCTCTTCGTCTGATCGCAATTATTCTCACATTCGCTCTATGACCAAGCAAGCCTTTCCACTACGCAGTGGAGAGTGGGAAACATCAAGCCCTGCAGGGTCTACTGCAGTATATTCAACTGCTTCAAACAAGATGCATTATGCCATGGTCTTATTCCCTGGCTTTGAAGCCCTAGACGTCTTCGGGCCGCTGGAAGTTCTTAATGTCCTCTCTGAGCAAACTCATATTCGGCTGTCCTTATTATCCTCATCTGTTGCTCCTGTTTCAACGCGTTCTCCAGATCCGGCTGCCCACCGAACAGGTTCAATTTGTTCGCAAGAAATAGTGCCAACAGGAACATTCAATGACTTTGACGCTATGGGCGCAGACCGCAGCTCAGAACCCAAGTCAGTTATTGATGTTCTCCTGGTCCCTGGTGGTGCTGGGACACGGTTCCATCATACTATCAACCCTGTTATCGAATTTGTTCAGAAGGTATTCCCATCGGTGAAATACATTATCTCCATCTGTAATGGGGCGGGTGTATTAGCAAGAACAGGGATCTTGGATGGAAGAAGGGCCACCACCAATAAGCTTTTATGGGAACCAACAACTGCGCTTAGAAAAGAGGTCCATTGGGTTAAGGAGGCAAGATGGGTTATGGACGGGAATACTTGGACCGCTTCAGGGGTGAGCGCTGGTATTGATGTGACACTGGCGTTCGTCCGACAGGTATATGGAAGAGATCTAGCCGGAAGCATTGCAAGAGAAATTGAATATGTCTGGGATAGCGAGGATGATGGTACAAAAGATCCGTTTGCATCTCAGCCTCAGTTCCTATAATTCATCATAGAGAGATACGAGGATAGAGGTTATATAGGAGGATATAATAGCTGAGAGTTCAACTATTTTCAAGATACTGTGCATCATATAAAAGGTAGCTTCAAAAAGGTATTCTCGGTGCCATATTTCGCAGATAATTCTAAAAAATTCTGAAGATAGTGGTGCTCCAGAAGGATGGAGATAACAGGAAAATGACGTAATGGAAATTAAGAATCCCTTGCGCATGTCATATTGATTTGTATGACTGGGGAGACTGTAAAGGGAGTAAGTCAGTTCGCGCATTGCTTCGCGGGCCAGAGACGCACTAATGTCACAACAGGAATGTGGGAATCGCTAAAGCTCTCGATTTTGGAGAGGGCTTGGCATCAGTCTTGGCAATTATCCGTTTCCAGGTAAAGACATTCTTGGCATAGAATGTCCTACCTTGGCCATAGCACATGGTGATTTCTTGGCAATATTGCAGTCATTGAATAAGCCCCGACCAAATTGCCATGGTATGGACGGAGCCATTGGTCATGCAAGAAGGTTACCGGAAACGAGATTGACTCAATCCCTCTTGTACGGTAATGCGAAGGCTCCCTCACTTTCGTCGATAATACGTTGATCGAAAGAAGTACCCTAGTAACTCGCGCGTCTGTTACTTAAAGCTCGGTATAGATGCTTCTGGCCGAAAGAACAAGCGGCTGTAGCGTGGAAGTGATTTTGACCCATGATTTTTTGATGGTCGGCTGGCTCATGGACTTTGGGAAGTCATGTCGGTCACTTTCTCGGAGAGAGCTGGAGCTTTTGTGACCGACCTGTAGTTTTGGACAAGGGAAAGCCTAGAAAAGACTAGGTCAATCTTGTAGCCTTCATACGAGCGGGATTATGTTTTCCTAATTTATAGGACAAAGATGCAGCTATTTGAAGAAAGATTATTTGTTTTTTTCCCTGCCTAGCGGGGTTTCAGCCTAGTAGGCTGCCTGCCACTTGAACTTCTCGGTACTCGTAAATGTTCGGGGGTTATCTGAGAGGCAGGGGGGAGGGGAGACTGCCAAGAAATATCAGTTGTCTCTTGGCGGATCTTGGCGGTGGGGGTAGAAGAATTGCCACAAAACCGACATGAGTCCTTAGCGAGCACCTGTGGCGTTACCGTATGCTGTGAGGTTTGGGAATCAATTCCGTTATTCTATTGGGCGACGCTTCTCCTAGATTGCCTGACTAAGTTGGAACGCTAATGGAAAGAGAACGAACTCTAAAACTGCTGGTCACCGATTTGGTCGGAGAAAAAGCAGAGGTCAAGAATAACTAGCATATATAGATTTGATTGGTTTTGCTCATCTGAAGCAAATCGTGATCCCTGCTAAGCGACTAGTTCGCAGCCTCAACACGACTAGATTCATACAGTACAGTCTGACAATCTAGCCTTCACACTGATGGATTCCTCTATTGAATTTCGAGCAGGAATGGAGACCTATTATGGACACGTCCGCACCTCTGCGGACGCACTAATTCTCCTTGAGGCTTGTCGCACTGGTTTACTACCACGAGTGCAGAGACGATGGTCAGAGAAGGAACGGCAATTAATTCGATCTGGCTCTGTATTTGTTTGGGATGAGCGGGAAGCAGGTATGCGAAGATGGACGGACGGCAAATCATGGAGTGCCAGTCGAGTCTCCGGGAGCTTTCTGACTTACCGAGAGATGGAAGGCAAGCGTGGTGGCAACATCTCTCGGATGTCTGTATCCAAAGCCGGCAAGACACCTGAGAGCACACAGGACACCGATGCGGATCACGCTGACAGGGTGGGTGATGAGGGACCGGATGGTTACCAATATAAGCCAAACGGCTTAGTGAAGCAGTCATTTAGCACCACGACTTCCTCTGGCCAGCACTTCCACCTTATCAGCTACTACACTCGCTCCCACCCTTTTGCCGCCAACTTGCAACAACCCACTATAGATCCTACCTTGCGACATGTACGACCTCAGAAAAGTTTCTACCCCAAGTCAACGGCCGACGACCAACAGAACCTTCCAATGGCTTCCCCTAGATCTATAGCCGGCGTAGTAGCCGGTCCGATCATCCCTCGCCCTATACCTTCGTATGCTTGGCCTCCAACTCCGCTGACTACCCCACCTACTGTCGCTGTTACACCCTACGGTGTTCCTTTCTACGTTCATCCTGTCTTCTCAGCTGCACATGCGCCAGGTCCTCCCTCATATGAGCACCAGCAATGTAAAAGCCTTCCTCGCCCCGCGTTTCAAGCTCATGTTCTTCCCCCGTCTCCACACTGCATTCAATATGAGAGGCCATATTCTGAATCAGGTCTACCTGCTGCTGGCTGGCCTGCAGCTGGTCCGCCAGTCTATCCAGATAGCTCTTCCCATCTTGTGCCTGAAATTTCACCTCAGCAGATAAGACCACGGGATATCGGGCCAGTCGCAACTGACTCTCATCTGGCTTCGCCACGAGTACCACTAATCGCAAGTATACCACCACATGGTGTTGTCAGCGGTACCCCACATCTGCTGAAGCAGACTGTTCTCGTTGCGCCGCAGCATGCTGGTCTCATGGGAACCCTACCTGAGCCTACTGAAACCGCTCGTCGTGTCCCCTTCATCGGCCAATTGATGAATGGGACTTCGCCTACCCCTGTCACCTCCCTGATTGTTAAAACGGGCGAATCTGGAAGTCGACCGGGTGACCGTACTCCTACTGGGGGCGAGGGGCCGCGAGATATTCCTCACGAGAAGATCAGCCTTGATGGAGAGGACATCCGGGCGCTGCGCCGGTTGAACCGGGTATTCATCTAAAATGTCGAACTTATTTCATATTCTTGTAAAGTTTCTTGTCTTCTAAAATACTCGTGTATTGGCTATCTGCACCAAACCTGAGCGGAATACTCACAAGCTCTTGTTGACATAGAGTCGTCAACGTCTCACGGAGGCGCGGTTTCCTGCTATGTCACCCACATCACTGAAACCTCAATTGCATTATTCTAACTCCGCAAGCCGACTTTTTTTGATCCATTGTCGTTGATCCCTGATGCTTAGCCTTCAACTCAATTGAGATGTTCCAATTCAAAATTTGCTTAACTATGCTTACGCAATATATTGTACGCTCAAGATCAGTGATGAAGAGGCGCTCGAAAACACGATTTGTGGGTAAAACATTAGGGTGCGATAGGCTCTGTTCTTTGGGGTATCTATGTCGTTCGAACCTACCTTACTATGATGCCTAAACCCTAGAGCGATTGCGAGAGTGAAAGTAGTTTTGCCTCGAGAACAACCATTTCATTGAGAGTTTTGGATTAGATGAACGTACTCAAACCCTGACCGAAAACCGCCAGGTCTTGAGCACAGTCTTGCGGCCCACCGGCTCTTCTTCCTGTGTATCGCTGTGTTGATGGGTATGAATTGGTGGATAGGTTACGAGGATCATTTTGTAAAGTCTAGTCTGAGAGTACTACCTGCATCATAAATTTCAACAGATATGTTGAAATGTAAGGGCACGATGATACTATGTTTAGATTCCTGCATAATGGATGGTGTATACCAGAAATATCAGGCATGGATCAGTCAGCTTGAATCCTTCCTAGAAATGAGTACCTATAGTTCAGGGGCAAAAATAGCATTTTTTATAGAGCACATGAGCACTTTGCATCTTCTGGCTCTGTTCGCAACGTGGCCCTTTGCTCGAGATCGCTTTACAGCTGGCCAACAGACATTACAATCTGTTCTGACATATGGCTGGTGCAGATCAGGAACCAAGCCGAATCAACAGAAATAATTTCCCCACTATGTATACGAATGACGAAGTTTAATTCCAGCCAAATTGGGCCTCAAGTTGTATGTAGTCTCTTGTATACCCTCAGAACTAATGGAAATTTTAATTATTCATCTAAATCATATGTTACAACTTTCTGTAGCCATTGATAGGCCTCGAGATGGAACCGCAAGACCCGCGTACCGCCCCGCCCCGCCCCTCCGCGGGGCGGTTCTTGGTTACAAAGTTTAGACCCGCGGGGCGGTTTCAGGATGAGTAGAACCGACCCTCAAAGTTGCGGATCGACCCGGCGGGTCTACAAACATAACAAACATCTAAAACCCCGTGATACGTATATTTTATGTAGAATCGGCCTATATTTTTTAGTATTTTGCTTTTAGCCTAGTTATATTTATAGATATTACGGAAGGTTTTAATATGACTATTCCTTTATTAAGCGTTAACTAATTTCTGCCGAAATAGTCTTTATTTCTACTAATTATATACAAAATCCTTATCCTATCTTAAGCGTTTTGGAACGCGCCTAGACGAACGCCGCTAAGTGCTACTTTCCTCCTATAAGTAGCTATTATTAGGTAGAGGAACCTTGTTAGTATTATCTAGTTAGATAAGATTATCTAACGTAGTCTCGGCTCGTCTCTTCCTAAGTGTACGCTTACTAGAAGGTTAGGTAGCTTTAGTAGTAGAAGGATCTTCCTTATTATCACTAATTGAATTAAATCCCTCCTCTTTCTTCCTCTCTGTATCCTTTCGCTTACTCTCTACTTACTTCTCTTAGGTAGAAAGGTACTCCTCGATTAAAGCAAGCTATTCTAACTCTATATCAAATTTTGCTATATACATAAATATTATCAAATCCTAGATAGTCTACGGTTTTAGCGAGCCTTATCGATAGTGATAGATATCGCGAGCGGAGTTAAATAACCGCTTAACGCTAGAGCTACTAGCTAGGGTAGTGAGGACGTCTTAGGCGAGGCTTGCTAGAATAGGATATTCCTTTTAGTGTTCCTTCTAGTATACCCGAGAGGTTACCTATATAATACCTAGTAAGGTTAGTATAAGGAAACCGAAGGAGTATATAAGAAGTAAGATATAGAGGGATAGACTTACTACTTCTAAGATACCGCGTAAGCTTATCTATAGTAGTCGTTTCGGACTAGAGGGATTCGGTAGGGGTTATAAGGATATTAATATTAGATATATTGTTTCTTATAGACTAGATTATTGACGGAGACTATTTATAGCGCTCTTAGTAAGGCTAAATATAAGTCTCTAGGGACTTCTTATAGCGTGGCGCCTAGTAAGGCTCCTATTCCTTTCCCGAGAAGAACGCTAGCTTATTCTATAGTCCTAAGATAGTCGCAATTGCATAGAGATCGCTAGGAACATTATTAGTTTTCCTATAATACTTAGCAAGCTTATCCCGTGTATAATCTAGCGCTAATTTTATCACCTTTTTCTAACTAACCCTCTTTCGCGCTAGCTAGGCTTTTGCCTTATTAATATAAGTGAATAAGGTATTGTAGATACTAAAGACGTTATAAATAGTAATATCTATGGTTGCTAAGAGAGATAAAGTGAATTTAAAGAAGGGATAGGTGATTAAGAGAAGATAATTAACCTATCGCTATTTATCTTTATCTATCTTTATATTAGTAAGGTTAAATTTAGTATAGAAGCTATTAAAGGTAGACTATAGCCGCCGGGTACGCCGGAGTATTAGGAACGTTGAATTTTAGCGTGTCCGAATATCTTAGATAGGTATAAGTTTTGGCTCTTCCGTCTAAAGTTTTATAAAACTCTTACGGCGCTAGGGACTTTTGTTGATATAAACTACGACCTTACGAACCTAGAAGATAATAGAATAGTTAGTATATAAAATAAGAGAGAAGTAAGAGAACACTAGACCTTGTTAAGTGTAACCACAATCTTCCTATTCTCTTGCTAGGCCCTAGTCCCTTCCTCTACCTATTCTATCTCTTCCCGATTGTTCCGCGGGTTCGTATCTATCTAACCAAGAAGCTCTTTTAGACTAAGCTATATAATATACGCGATATAGGGTATCTAAATAACCGGAATATACCTAGGTAACTCTAGAGACTCGGTAGCCTCTTAAAGACTACCTAGCAATATACCGTTATTAGACGCGTTATTAGTAGTAATAGTTAACACCCGATAAACAATATAATACTTCTTAAGAAGGTTTAGGAGAACTATGCTTAGATAGGCCCCTATATACGAGCTATATAGTGGCTCAAAGCTAAGTAAGATCTTATAGTAGTTCTACTCTTGGTCAAGAAAGTAGCCCGTTACTACTATAAAAGACTAGCGAAAAGGTAAGATCTAGCAATCTAATATAATAGAGAGTTTTGCGCCCTAAGGAAGCTTGCGAAAAAGAGTATACTAGCGTTGTTCCACTATCTCCCTAAGGTGCCGGCGGACTATAAATACGGAAGGGATTTTAGGTATAGAGGGAGTAAGTCGGGTTATTTCGATAAGGGCGCGGAATTTAGGATACTTAATAAGGAGGAATAGTAACCGCGAGGTAGTAATAAAGGTAATTAACCTCTCTATCTAGGCTTGCTAGGTAAAATATAGTCTCTAGGGTGTATAGTGTGCCTAGTAAGAGATTTTTATAATATTAGTAAAGAAAAGGATAAAAGGTAAGAGTTCTATATACCCTATTTGATATTATCCGTCTAATATCTTGCGACCGAGGCACTAGCTTCCGACAATTGACCCCTTATATATAGTGCTTATTTATATAGGTTGTTCCCTGGTGGCGATCGGTAGGATAAGCTAGGATATAGTTGCAAATCTTATATATAACCTTAGGAGTTCTATCTTAAGCAGCTATAACCTATTTAAAGTGATCCTAGCACTCTAACTAGTGCTTAATATCAAAGATATTCTGTTTTATCTAACTTCCAAACTTAGTCTATAGCCACTATACAATAAAATCATTATTCGCTATCTTAGTCTAGAGGATATAGATCTTCTTTCTTAGAGGGCTAACGCGTTAGAGTGTTTCGGGAATCGGAGGAGGCACTACTAGTTAGGTAAAATTCACGTTAGAGGTAGAATTTGGCGTGTCACGCCCGTCGAGGTTAAATAGCCCGTTAGAAGGAAGGAAGAAGAGGGTATCTACTAGATTATCGCCGAAAATCGATAAGGGATAGTTATCTAAGAACTAAGAGGTCTAGCTCTATAATATTTTGACGAATTAAGTATAAAATAAAAAGGGGGAAGGTAAAGAAGAGAGATATACTAGAATCTTGAGGGAATTAACTACTAGTAGGGCTAATAGAAGATATAGATAGATTATATCGAATTCTATCTAGTGATTGGATAGAGAGCGCCACTATATCGAGGTTCCTTGCGGTTCGAACCGCACAGAACCGCGAAGAACCTTATACACCCGCAAGAAGAACTATATAACCCGTAAGAAGAACCGTATAAGTTATCGAAAAAGGCCTTAAATTCTAAGGTGTGTTAAAAAGTGATACTAAGGGATCTCGAATATAGGTTAGAGATACCCTCAAAATCTAAGGTACGTTAATAAATGATACTAAGGGATTTATCTATACTTGTGAGGGAATTAGTAGTAGAGAGGTAACTTTCTAACGTACGTTAGAAAATATGGCTATATTGCACTTGATATTGTGATACTTCAAATATATATTTCCGACCGTATATATCGAACAAACTACACCTTTTACTAGAACTCGCAACAATATTGCTAATATATCCTATTATAAGGGCAAGTAGGTAATTTCAATACTAAATAATCTATATACAATTATATTTCATCAAATTTCAAAACGGTTGGTGGTTATTTAGGATAGATAGAAGGGTAAGACCAAAACAGTGTTTAATAACCGTAAATAATAAAGATGATTTATCAAATTATACGTCCAAAAGAGGAAACTCTTGGCAAAATTATGCATTCGCGGGTCTATAAGGGTCGACCCGCTTCCGAACCGCATAGACCCGCGGGGCGGTGCGGTTCTAAGATAGGATGGTTGCGGGTCTACGAGGGGCGGTTCGTGGTTCAAAAATTTAGAACCGCCCCGCCCCATCTCGAGGCCTAGTTTAGGTTAATAATAGACAATGCTTTAAATAATAAGATATTATTTAATTCCCTCTAATAGGGTCTATTAGATAGTGTTATTATTGTTCGAATCTTATACCTTGCTTACGTTATCTAACTTAGTCTAAACTAGCTCCTTGATCGCATTAAAATAGTTCTACTAAATAACTTAACTAAGACAAAATAGACAGAGAAGCAATCAAGATTAGCTTATTTAAATATATAGCATCGGAATCGTGAGATATCCTTTATATTAAATAAGGTCCGCTATCTTGCTATTTATATAAACGTAAGCCTTTAGCGCCAGGAGATATTTTACAATCTCTAGACAAGTACCGTGAAGCTAGTACCGATCTAAGATATAAGGACTCGGTAGAATTTAACCTTTCTAATGCTATATCGGGCAAAACGTCTATATCCGATCTTTGCGCTATTTTATGCAGAGTATAATTGCGAAGAGATACTACTTTATAAGGACGAGTGGCGTTAAGTTGACTATCTTCTTTATATCACTAAGCTTTTTTTCGCCTACACAACTTAGCTATCGAAGACTTAAGATATTACTACGTATTACGTCTTCAAGATCTACAATAAACTCTTTAAGTATCTTGAGTATTTAATAAAGTAGCTACGACGTAAGCGTGTGCTATAGAAGAAATAGATATTTTACGCACTTAAAGCTAGTCGGTTAAAGCTTAATAAGTACTACTCCTAAACCGATAATATTCGAGGATATATCTATATAACTAGTATAATACTAGCGCCCGTGAATAAGTTTAAGTTCTTTCTTACTAATAACTAGGATTAGAAATAACGTAACACGTACCGCTTATCCTTCTAGGAAGCTCTAATTCTATATCAAGAATAGCTTTTAGCCCTTGATTAGTTACTAGATAGCTCCTAAATAATAGCTCGGCTAGGATCGAAGCTTGATACAATACTAGATAGAAGTAATATCTAGGGAAGTATAGCTACTAATAAAATAACTTATTATCTTGATAGTAGTACGTTTAAGCTAAGCCTTTTAGAATTCTAACTAACTTCGGATTAGATCCTATTTAAATTGCTCCTCTTATATTCTAGCGAGAGAACTAAGCGCGATTCCTAGCAATTGCTGCTCTTGCGCGTGATATCCTCTCTTTCCCTACAACCGGGGTAGGCGTTGAACGGCTGTTTAATACTGCTCGGGATATCTGCTATTACCGTCGAGGAAGAATAAAGTCTTATATAATCGAGGATTTAATGATGTTTCTTTGCACCTTAAGGTTTGACATAGAAGAACAAGAGGCGAGACTTCTTGAGAAGTTCTTCTCTTATAATAAGCTAGAAGCAGCAAAGGAAGAGAAGGATAATAACCTCGACGACATTGAGATCGAGCCAATCAGTGATACCGAGGAACAGGAGACTTCAATTGATAAGGAGATAGAGCTAGATAAAGCTTTATTGACTATATTTAAAGGGCCGACTATACGTAAACCCTAGGTGCTATTGCCAGTGAATAACACCTAAGTACGTGCGTTAGGACGGAAGCGAAAGAATTGCGATAATGATATATTCGAGTACTATTAGTTGGTTAATCGATTAAAGCTCTCCAATTCACAGATCTTCAAAAAAGCCTCGAAATAACCCTGTATTCTGACGGCCGTCAAAAAAACTAGCAATATAGCTTAATAACCCTATTTTCTGACGGCCGTCAGAATTGTAGCCCTATAGCCTCAGGAATCTATTAAACGTACAATTAAATTAAACAGTGATTATAGAAAGAGGCCTTGCTTACAAGTCAAATACCCAAAAATACAGCCAAAAACTGCACAAGTTATGTAGTCACGAGTCTTGACATGTTTGCATTGTTTATGAACCCAGCTGGGGGCCCGGGCCCAGCACTGGGCCAGAAATCCCGACCCGGGCCCAGTACTGGGTTGGAGAACCCGGCCCAGAACCCAACCCAGCCCGGGTTGGGCCCGGGTTGGGCCCGGGTTGAGCTGGGTTCTGCGGAAGTCTAATAACTCCCATGGGAGTTCCCACGGGGGTCTAGTCCCGCCATGGGAATTTCCCATAGATGTTTAGTCTCATGGGAGGCGTCCCATGGGAAATGTCAAGGTCTATTAAGGCGTGTAGCGAGAGTTGAATTCGGTACTTTAAATTGGCGTGCTGCTTCACGAATAGAGGTAAATTCTTGCTTCTGAATAGCCTAAATAACTAATAAGACCCTACCCTCTTGCTCCGTACGTTTTTGAGAGGATTGGGTACGAATTGGTGGCATAGTGGGTGGTTAAAGAAGAGAGGTCTAATTAACTGACGCGTTTTTGGTAGGGTGTCCAGCTCGCTTGTGTGTCCAGTTCGCATGTGAATTACGTTATGCTTAGTATAATGACTAATTCCTTGGCATCGGATCTATAGTATCTCCGGTTTCATGCAGTATTCGTAAGATATTGCCGACGCTATACCTGGAGATCCCCAGGTATTCAGGGAAAAGAGAAACCACGATCATGCTCACTGAGCAAGAGCATGATCCGCCCTGATCGGACCCACCCGGCAGACCTTATCCTGTATGTATGTGACTGTACAGACTGGATTTTAGGTGCGCGCCAAGAAGACCACTTTCGGCCTGGTGGGCACAAACGCAAGTTGTACTCGCAGAGCATGGTGTAACGGATTATGGGGAAGAGCCTACCGCTATATAACCGGCGCTATAGGCTGATCTAAGGAGACAAGCAAGATGATGTTCACAGCATGAAAGAGCGACAGACCTCTGTGAAGCTTCAACCTGTCATTCAACAGTCTGCAGCAACCTGATGCTAATCCAAAATATTGAAGAATGCCTTATCCCGCTAAAACAGTCATCTCAACTCTACGAGATCCATCCGAGGGGTTCCTCGCGGTCATACAGCGAGATATATTTCAGGAAACGTCGCAGGCAGCGTGTGATACCTCCCACGCTATCTCTCCCACCACTGAAGGGCTGGACTGCACAGATTTTACAGGACCGCCCGAAATCAGTTTCACCACTTTAGTCTCTTCAATTTATTCTCGAACTCTATCTTACATCACGCTATACCTATTACAGCTACTCGGCTCCTGAAATGTATTCTTGGCAGTAATCTCGGACGATAGTAATTAACAGCATAAAAATAGCTATTGTATCACTGCTGTATGGCCCACGCCTAGTCTGGAATCGTTTCCTTTGCAAACATACTAAAACAGATCAGCATATTTAGGCATTCATGCCGACCACTCATTTCTGTCACATCCCTCCCAATTTCGTGCTACCAAGTTGTCCCTTTTTTTACCAATTCTCTCTATAATTATAAGTCTCTGCCCCTTTCTTACATTTTGAAGTCAGCTCAGAAGATTGATTTTGATAATAGTAAAGTGGAAGGTTGTGAATTCAAGACCTTCAAGTTCAGCCACGGGGAAATTCGCATGATCGAGGGAAGGGTACGCTATATCAATCTCAACCCGATCTCACCTCTTATTCTTAACTGGCTGGCACCGTGGTTGAGCCTTTGCGACAGTACGGCCACTTGATACCTCCGGAGTGCTTGCTCGTCTTTTATATTATGTAAGGACTCCATGTTTACCGATACGAGGCTGAGTGGAATTCCAAAATTTTAAGCTTCATAATCCAAAACCCTGCGCTAACCAGCCTAAGGACGGTCCATATACAGCTAGCGCCTAAAATCATAATCTCAGCCTTCGGGTTCCATTTTAGTTAGTGCTGACGCTGACAGCAAGAGGAGAGAGAAGCGTTACCTTCGAGAATCCCCTTTTGTCATTATAACCTCGCATCCTCAGTCTTTCTGCAATCGCACTCTCAGGAGTACAATTATCTTTGTTTTATCTCCCAAAACCATTCACACATAATGCGCTTCTTTGAAAATAATCTCGCCGTTGACCAGACGGACCGAACCCCCATACAAGTGCTTGGTGCCGGTCTCCCTCGTTGTGCAACAAGCTCTCTGCAAGCCGCCCTTGAATCGCAACACATCGGTCTGACTCCCTGTATGCACTTCGCGCATATTGCGCCGAACGCCGAACGCGGGGACATCGTTCTAGCTGCACTCCGGGAGAAGGACTCTACACGGCGTCACAAGCTACTTTATAAATTATTCAATGGTTTCCAAGCAACCACCGATTTCCCTGCGTCGATGTTCATGGATGATCTTATGGATATGTATCCGGACGCTAAGGTCGTGCTGAACAAGCGGCCTGGTGGCGGCCGCCAGTGGGTGCAGTCGATCAAGCTGCTTACCTTCGCAGCCTCACCGGTGTACCACGCTCTGTGCTTCTTATGGAAGACCGACCGCAATGTGGCTGCCATGTGGCGCCAGATTATGGAGGTCTGTCAGAGCAAACTGAGTCTAACTGCGGACGAGCTTTTGACGGTAAAGCATTATGATGCGCATAATGCTTGGATTCACGCCGAGGCAGCTAAGCGCGGGCGGGAGGTCTTGGAATTCGAGCCTCAAGATGGATGGGAGCCTTTGTGCGTAATTCTCGGCAAGCAGGTACCAAGAGATGAGCCTTTTCCTCACCGCAATGATGCGTCCGAAGTTCGAATGGTCGTGAGGATTCTGTATGCTCGGGGTGCAATCTCCTGGCTTGCGCTAGGTGCGGTGGTGTTTAGCACGGTAAGATGGCTTGTGAACGGGCAGCTATTCTAGCCCATCAGTTCAAAGATTGCAATGGTCAATAAGTCCATCAGGGTCAGGTTTTGCTTGCATTGGGAAACGGGAGATCCTCGATGTATGATGATAGGATAGGACTACGCCAATTGAAACTTGATCAAGAGATCGAAGGCGTTCATCGAGTTTGTTATAATAGCGTAGTTGACCAATGAGTCTTTCATTATAATACCTAAGTTAGTTGGGGCCGTTTTTGCTTAGGACGTTATTGTCGGGCAGAGAAACACGTTAACGTAATTCACATGCGAGTGGGCCACACAAGCGAGTGGGCCACCTACCGCGGAATAGACCTTGACATTTCCCATGGGACTAGCGAAAATCTAGTCCCATGTCCATGGGACTTAGTCCCATGGGAGTTCCTACAGAGGTCTAGTCCCGTGGACCCACTCCCATGGGAGTAAAAAAAAAAATTGGTCCCGCCATGGGAATTCCCGTGGGACTCCCATGGGACTAACAAAATTTCCCATCTATACATTATTTCCATAATAATAATGGATAAATTGCTGAGTTATTATAATAAAATACGGTAATTTAAAGGTGTTTTAGCGAGTATTGAGACTAACAAATATTTATTACTTTTGATATATTTTGACCATAGTTTTGTGATTATTTAGTATATCTTTAATTTAGAAAAAAGCTATTGTAAATAAAATACCGTTCGGAACCGCCAAGAAATGCATTATTTATACAAGTCACGAGATAGCTAATGTTTGCATTGTTTACAGTCCCATGGGAATTCCCATAACTCCCATGGGAGTTCCCACGGGGGTCTAGTCCCGCCATGGGAATTTCCCATAGATGTTTAGTCCCATGGACCCACTCCCATGGGACCAAAATTAGTCCCACGGGAATTCCCATGGACAGTCCCATGGGAGGCGTCCCATGGGAAATGTCAAGGTCTACCGCGGAACGCGTCAATTAATTAGACCTTCCTTCTTTAATCACCTACCATGCCACCAATCCGTACTCAATCCTCTCGAAATTTAGTAGAGCAGGAGGTAGCTATCCAGGCTATTAAGAATCAAGAACTTACCTCTATACGCGAAGCAGCACGCCACTTTCAAGTGCCCCGTTTAACCTTATAGCGCCGCCTTACCGGTGATATCTTTCGTCCTACTCACGCGCAGTAAACCTTAAATTGACCGAACTTGAAGAGGAATCTCTTTAGAAATAGATTCTCTCTATAGACTCTCGTGGAGTAGCCCCTCGGCCTTCTACTATACGAGAAATAGCGGATTTACTACTCGCGGCGCGTGGATCTACCCCTCCTTCGGTCGGCCAAAATTGGGTTACAAACTTCGTGAAAAGACACCTAAACCTTGCTACCCGAATTTCGAGATGCTATAATTACGAGCGCGCGAGGTGCGAAGATCCAAAAATCATTTCTAAATGGTTTTCTCTCGTTTATAAGACTATTATTTAATACGGTATTAACTCCGACGATATCTATAACTTCGACGAGACCGGTTCGCAATAGGCTTAATTGCGACCGCGAAGGTGATTACGCGAAGGGAATTCTACGGTCGGCGAGTACTCTTATGAGAATTCCGTGAGGAGCTCGCATGATCATTCGATAATGTACGGTACAGTAGCTATATACATGGCAGGTGCGGGTGCTGAGTAAGCACCCCACGTGATAATACCCCATGAAAAACCTCATCCTCTCCCACCTAGGAGAGCTCGACCGCGAGTTCTCAGGCTTCCAGTATCGTACATACTCGCTCTGTGCCGTTCAGTGTCGTCCGTTCCAGTTCGATAAAGTTCGGCAGTGTTCGTAAATTCTGACGGCCGTCAACAAAGTACTGCTAGATCGTCCCTTTCGCAGTAGTAATTTATGACCCAGGTCAGAAATTAGGGTGGTCAGCAACGATTGCGAATTCGGTCGCATTCGGTCCTACACCACCGTTCGGCCTAGTTCAGTAACGTTCATCTCAACTCGGGCACGTTCGGTTACATTTAGTCCTACACCACCGCTCAGCCCTACACAACGGCGCCTAGTGGTCGTCAACATCGATCGGATAGGCGCGTTCTATCGCAGCCCTTTCAGTCCGATTATGGACTTTTCTACGTCCGTTCGTAACTATGCAGGCCAAATTTAGGGTTGGTGTGTATGCAAACATAACAAACGTGACAAACGTGACAAATATAGCGATATTCGGGTTTGTCGTTCTCGAGGCACTTCAGATTGTAAGGACTAGACCTTGACATTTCCCATGGGACGTCCGCCATGGGACTGTCCATGGGACTCCCATGGGAGTGGGTCTAATCCCATGGGAGTGGGTCCAGTGTCTGAGGATGTCAGGGTTATAGGATCATGTGATAAGAGGAAAGGAAGTAATAAAGAAGAGAGTAAGAAGAATAAAGTGAGAGAGAAGAGTATAGTGATTTATTTCAGTCGGGGTATCACTCTCTATTTATGTTATTCCCCCTAGGTGGCAAATGCTCTTGCCACCTAGTTGATTTATCAGCATTGGTAATTTGATTTATCAGCAGATGCTTCTAGTTCTTTCTATTAGCTTCTATTGCCGATAGTATCCGAAGGTATTCGGTTATAGCCGAGATCTCGGTTCTTATTGGTTCGGGATCTTATCTTATAGATAAGATCCACTATATTATAATTGGTCTTATAGGAAAAAGTGGCTTTTTCCTACCCTCCATTATAAAAAGGGTTCTTTTATAGTCGTATAGACTTCTTGGATTGATACCCCCCCGTAAGCTATATAGGGTAGGGTACTCTATATAGGTTATAGTATATAGTATATTGGCGTATTATTATTATAGTAGTATTTTTTATGGTATAGCACTTAGACCTAGTAGGTTTAAATGATATTGATATAATGGTGTTGCTAAACACTTAGTGAGTGTATCTGCCAGTTGGTCCTTTGAGCTTACGTGTAGTAGCTCAATTTGGCCAGTAGCTATAGCATTTCTTGTGAAATGATATATAAGCTCAATATGTTTACTTCTTTTGTGGAACTCAGGATTTTCAGCCAACTTCTTCGCAGACATACTATCCACTAGTATTTTTGGAATAGAAGTGGAATATCCGAGTTCTAGTTTCTTATTGATATAGTTGAGCATATTAGCTAAGTAAATAGCTTCTTTTGTGGCTTCTTTTAGTGCCATATATTCTGCCTCGCAACTACTCAGTGCGGGTGTTTTTTGTAATTGTGAATTCCACGATATAGGGTTATTTTGTCCTATAGTAGGACTAAGGCTAAAGATATAGCCTGTTGTAGATCTTCTATTATCTAGGTCATTCGCCCAGTCGCTATCAGAGTATCCTTTTAGTATAAGGTCTTCTCCAGCACAGTTTAGGGTAAGCCCTAGATTAGGGCTTCGTAAAAGGTATTTCCAGATTTTATTTAGTGCCGTAAAATGCTCGCTATTAGGATTGCTCATATAGCGTGCACAATAGATCACTTTATAGGTTATATCAGGCCTAGTTTTTAGTGCTAGGTATAGTAGTGAACCAATATGTTTTTGGTATATTTTGACGTCCTTAGGGTCTGCTATAGTGTCATTTTTTCGTAGTTTTGCCCCTGGTTCTCCTGGTATTAGAGTAGGCTTATATCTTGGGTTATTTATTATATTAAACTTTTGTAGTAGTTTTGCAGTATATTCCGACTGATTTATATATAGCATCTTTGTGCTATAGTTTATTTTTATAGTATTTCCTAAGAAGGTAGACATAGGGCCTATTTCTCCTAGTTTCACGTATTCTCTTATTTTATTAGTTATATTTCTTATATATTGTATATTAGGATGTATAGCCAATATATCATCAACGTGACATATTAAAATACAGCCTCTTTTATGGTTTATAAATATTCCTTCGTCGTACGGGAATACGTCGAATTCGAATCTTAGTAGTATAGTGGCTAGGTGTTTATACCATAGCCTAGGGCTCTGCTTTAGGCCATATAATGCTTTCTTTAAAAGGCAGCATTTCTTATTATTACTATATACCCCGATAGGTAGTATGGTATAGATATTAGCGTCTATATCGGCGTGAACAAAAGCGTTTTTCACGTCGTATTGTCTTATTTCCCAGCCCTTATTCACCGCTATTATCAGTAGTAGGTGCTAGGTCTCTGTTCTACACGTAGTAGAGAATGTCTCTAGGAAGTCTATTCCTAGTCTTTGGTTAAAGCCTTGTATAACCCAGCGGGCTTTGTATCTAATAGTCTTATCACTATTAGTTATATAGGACGGCTTTACACTATTAGGGTCTAGTATAGGTTTTTTCTTAAAAACCCAACGGCCTCTAATAGGTATAATGTTCTTTGGTATATCTATTATATCGTAGGTATTTTGTTTTTCTAGCTCACTTACTTCTTCAGCGCATGCGCGGAGCCATTCATCTTTTTCTGGGCTATTTATAGCCTGATTATATGTATTAGGCTCGTCTAAGTGAGACGTAGTTAATATAAAGTTATTATTAGCGGGTAATTCCAGGCTCGCTATTATATTATTTATAGTGGTATCTTTTATAGTATAGAAGAGCGTATTTTTAATCGGGATTTGTATTTCAATTTTATGTTTTGGGTCATAGTCTATAGCTTTATAGCTATTGTTATTAGTATTGTTATTGGTATTCTTATTGGTATTGTTATTGGTATTGTTATTGGTATTGTTATTGGTATTGTTATTGGTATTGTTATTGGTATTGTTATTGGTATTGTTATTGGTATTGTTATTAGTGCCTATATATAGGCCTATTTTTGAGTCCTTCTTCTTATCTGTTTTCTTTATTGGTTTTAGGAATTGATTCTCTGTTATAGTAACGTCTCTTGACCATAGAGCCGTCTTTTTGTTATAATCCCATAGTTTATAGTGTTTGTATTCGCTATAGCCTATAACAATAGCTTCTTCTTTTCTAGGAGATAGCTTTGATATATAGGAGTTTTTATGGTAATAAGCTTTTGATCCCCAGGATCTTATATTGCTTATATTAGGTTTTATTCCATAATAGGCTTCATAGGGTGTTTTAAACCCGAGTGATGTATGT